ATGTTGCCACGGCTCGTAAACCAGCGGTAAGCCCATTGCTGGTCGTGTGGCCGGGCAAGACATGTCGCGTGCTGTTGTTGTTACAAAAGACCTTGGTGATGATGTTGCATACTCAAGGGTAGTCTTGAGGTCGCGTGGCAGATGCATGCTAACCCATGAGGGCCAAGCGGGACGCCGAGAGATGGACTGCTCGCCGACGGCTGCTTGACGCGTTCGATCGCAGCTTCCTCGTTTCCACTTTCACCCCCACTCCAACGCACTAAAGCGAAGCATTAGAAGAGGGCGCGATACTTGTGCTCTCCGTATCCTCAAGTCTTGATGCGCGCTGTTTACTACCTAGGTACACGGCGGACCTTTTGAGGAGAATGCCTCCGCAGGCTATGTTTCAATATTATGCCCCCGGCGCAGTACTGCATCTGTCGTTCTACGTCTTATCTGCAGTGACAGAGGAAAATGTTTTTTGCGAGAAGAGGAAGATGTCAATGGTTTTATACAAGTTCTTGCCAACTCGGAAAAGCCATGTGTAGCTCTGGCCTGGTTCTACTAATCTTTCGTCGTAGTCTGACAACAGATCCAATACAGGTTTCAACTACAGCGGTGGTAAGCTACGTCTCTGTCTCTCGGAGCCATGATGTTACCAGTGAAGATCAAAGACATTGTTAGGTCAGTTTCACAGTCATTACGTTCAGTAGGCATTTTCTCTTTCAGACATTATTTATTAATCGTCCTGTTGTGCGTTGTTTCCGTGTCTATGCGTACCGTTGTAATTTCAATATTTCTGCATTCACTTGTGTTGGTGAATGGGCTTTGTGGGACGAGCGAAGAACACCACCTTTGTCCGACGGCGTCTGCAAACACTATACACCCGTCCAGCTTTCATGACACTGTCCTAACAACCACGCAACGACCAACGGTATTACCTTCAACCTCATCATAGTGACTCCACGCTTCAGCGCATGCGAATTTATCCTCGACATTGACGTATTTGGTCCGGCGACACGGGATATTGCACAATGGCGGATGTCGGCCAGTTGTTGTTGCAAAACGAGCTGTTCATTGCATTGGGCGCCACTCTTTTCGCTGCGCTTCCTGTTATCAGCCCGTACTGGCTGCCTGTCCTATATCCTAATTCAGCTCCAGAACAGTATCAACTTTCTTCGGGCGCTGCAATTGCTACTACAGTCACTCGAACTGCCACCATATTTCCAAAGCCTACGACATTGACCGACAAAGTCTATCAGACTATTGTGCAGACGCGAACTGCAACACGCACAGCAACCACTACAGCCACAGTTCCGAAGACGATCTACGATACGGTCACAGCACAGATAACGTCAGTCTCAACGTACTACGACCGATACTCTATCACGAAATGGACACATCTCTCGGTCGATCGAGCGACGCCTTGCACAACCATGGTTTACACCCCCAAAGTTACGACACAGAGTCGAGCGCCCCCTCGAAACGTCGTAACCCTGCCGACGACAACGCCCAAAATTTCCTCGTGGGTTCCATGGGAATTCTTCGCATTTATCCAGCACCTTCTACTTCTCATCTCGTTGATCGCAAATATGATTATGTGGGTTTGGGATCCAAGGGTGATCAAGCTTTTAGGAGATGTGCAGGCGTCACAAGAGACTCTTGAAAGTATGAGAAGAAGCCGCCAGGACCTAAAAGACAAGTACCACACCGACCAGGCCCATCTTATCAAAAGATGCGAGAAAGCGGAGAGGGCTGCTGTGATGGTCCAGGCAAGAAATATTATGCTCCAAAAACTTGGCGTCCCTATACCGAGTGACGAAGCCGATGACCGAGAGCTCAATAGAGATATGCTTGTTAACCTAGTGCAAACCAGAATGAATGTGTTGGCCGACGAGAAACAGCGGCTGGGTCGCCTAGAAACGGAAAACAGTGATCAGATCGCGGAGATCAACGGACTCAAAGAAACTATCACAACCCGGTTGCGTAACGACTATGTACCAGGCGTCAGCCGGAGCTTTGATTCGTTGCTCTTCGATAAGCAACGGGAGATTGATAATTTGCGTAAAGAGATTCGCGGGGGCAACTTTGGCGAGGATATCAAGACAAATCACGTACTCCACCAGGAGAAAGATGTCGAGCTCAATGAGCTACGACCTTTGCGTGGCGAAGTTGAGATCCTAAGACAGGCTCTGGCCGAAGCCAAAGAAGAGATTACACGAGTCGAAGAAGAGACAAAGGATAAGGGTGTTGCAGATCAACGTCGCCGGAACGAAGAGCGAACCAGTCTGCTCATAGGACGGAGTGAAGAAATCTTTGTTTTGAAAGACAAACTTGCCAGCAAAGTTACCGCTTTAGAGTTCCGCTTGAAGGAGAGGGTCGAAGAGATCAACATCCAGAAAAATAAAATCGCTGACCTAAATGCTCAGTTGCACAAAGCGAAGCGTTCGCTAACTTCATCTCACAAAACCCATCAGCCACAGTCGCCTGCCCGCCCAGTTATCGAAGCACCTAGACAGCGTTTCAATGGTACGAACTCCAAGCAGAACACTTTCACAGAAAACGAGGATTACCTTCGACGAAACCTGGACGAGAAAGATCAAGAGTGCAGGGATTTGCAGCAGAACTTCATGATACTTGCAAAGCAGTACAAGGAGAAATTGGAGAGTCAAATCATGAACGAAAAGGAGCATTGCGAGAATGAAAAGAACCTACTGCGTCGACGAATTGTTGAACTTGAGAGAGCCCTCGAGGTAGCACAGATTCACGGTTCTCAACCGTCAACTGTTACTGGTCCTACTACGAAAGAGCTCCAGTATGGGTCCACTATTCCAGAGAGCAGTTCAAAAGCCCATGAAATTTCAAAGACGCAGCTCGAGAAACAGATAGTGGATCTGCAGGAAGCCAACGAAGCTATGGCCTTCATCGAGACGAACTTGCGCACCCAAATCGCTTCATTGAGCAAGGACATACAGACCAAGGAAGTAAGGGAACATGAGCTCTCAACTCAGGCTTCGAAGTCAAGAGAACAGTTGCAAGCCAAGTGTGCCCAAGAGCAAGTTTTGTTTAGCCAGGTCGCGACACTCACCCAGCAGCGCGATGCCGCCGTCGAAGAGACTACGGGTGTCAAGAAGCAACTTGAGGAAGCCATGTCCAAGGGCGAGGCTGTTTGGGGTGAGCTGAGAGAGCTCAAGGTAGCGAGGAACAATAAAGAAACTGCGCAGAGAAACCAGGATATGGGCAAGCTGGAGAAGAGCAACATCGATCTCCAGGGGCAATGTGATCAACTCCGCCAACAAGGAATGCACGAGATCAACAGTCGTGACCGGCAGATCCAGAAGCTTCGAACTGACGCAGCCACCGGTAATCAAACCATTCACGATCTCGAGCAGCGGCTCTTGGTACTGAAGGCAGAGAACAACACCCAAAGTCAGGTTATCCGAGCATTAAAAAATGAGCTTCAGGCGGAGAAGGATAGATATCTCATCGATGTAAATGATCTCAAGAATGATGTCGATCATGCGCAACGCGAGACTGAGAAAGAAAAACACGGGCGAAAGGATGACGTTAGATTGGCGAGGGAGAGGGAGGCAAAGGCAATCGACGAGGTGCGACGTGAAAGACAACAAGAGATTGATGATCTGAAGAATTCTCAAGAATCATCAATAATCAAGAAGCTGCAAGAGAGAGTTGATTTCTATCAGATGGAGAACACTGATCTCTTGGAAAATGGAAAAGAGGGTTGGAAGAACCTTCTCCTAAGGAAGAATCAGGAGATTCAGAAGAAAGAATTGGAAATCAGTTCCGCCAATAGCCGCATACGGCACTGGCACAGACTGTATAACATCTTTCACAGAAGGTTCGAGGGCCTTCAAGGGAACAAGGCATACAAAGAAGGCGAGGTGAGCTATGCCGAGGCCAGAGCTGGCCTTTTCATGGGAAATGATAGCCACATCTCGACCGCGATGGAGAAATGCGTAAAGTTCACCGAGGACTTGGAAGCTGAGGTAGGAAGACTGAAGGAAGAAGTGGAGAAGTTGCGGAAGTACGATGAAAAGGTGGTGGAGGAGGAGATGAATATGGATGAGACGATAGAGTAAAGGTAGCAGTGGGTAGGGTTATCTCGAGTGGGGGCAATTGAATCAACACCAGAGAAATTTTGCAGCTTTAATATCAATGTGACACATATCTTGCTTAGTTCGGTGTAACTCGATTGCTATACTTGATTGACATAACGCTGGTAGAGGTTTGCCCCACAATAAACTCTATGGAACGTGGAACGAGTATCAGGCAGATGCGAACCAAGCCAAAAACTCTGATTCGCATCCGATGTCATTTGTAGTGGCCTCGTGACCTCGTGCTGTTGAAAGCCGTCTCACTACATTATCGTTCCACGCAGACCAGAAAGTCAGCGAAATCCTCACTACACAAACCTTCGCATTGGTCAGCGGGCAGGACCGCCGTCCCTCGATCCAAGGATACATCTAGAGAATGAGAATAATCTATTGCGGTACATTCACCCATAGCTATTCATGAAGCCACTATCGCTTATTGTTTGTAGGTGAAGACTCTGGTTCCGCATTTACGGCTCACCTGAGTGGCCAGCCAGTTCCACGTCTCCAGCGTTCACTCTCACCTCGACAACAGCAGAATCTTCCTATTGTACCGTGGGAACTGCTAGCTTCAGCAGTCCAGTTTTACGATAAATACTGTCCTCATCCTCCTTTCCTTCAAGTATCTTCATTACTCTTCTCTCACAATTCAAAGCCTTGAAGAACTTCTACCAGAACTTTCCAACACACACACTGCGCAGCAACAAGACTTTTCAGTACTTCAAACCACTTCAGTACTCATCAAATACCACAAACGTATCGCATATTACCACACGCGCGCTAAAAAAAACTTCGGTACTCACCAACGCACACCATTTTGAGCATACGTTTCGCTTGTCCTTGTTGAATACCACAACGCCTCGCACACATCAGCCTTAAAACACACATACATCAGAAATGTCTACCACTATGACTGTCACCGACCTTGAGGTCCTCAAGATCAGGTCTGCCACCCTCCTCGCATCATCCAACACTTCTCTCAAGGCCGCATCCACCTCTATCACCAAGGTCGAGAAGAAGATCCCCAAGATCGATGCCTCCACCACCAAGCTCAAGAAGGACGTCACCAAACTACATGACAGCCAGAGCAACCTCAAGGCCACCGTAGAGTTCCCTGAGATGGTCGCCAACGCTGCCGCCTTGGAGCAGGCACTTTCAACGATCCGCGTCCTCAAAATGCTCAAGAAGGAAGCGATCGAGGAGAAGACAAAATGGCAGAAGAAGTACAACGAAGCCGCTCTCGAAGCTCTGAGAGCTAAGAAGGAGAACAAGTCGCTCATCAAGACTGTCGCCGAGCAGAGTTTGGCAATCGACGACATACGCTCCGAGGTCGAAGTGTACTTCAAGGAGTCAGCTGAAAGCTACAAGAGGCGTGAGGCATCGCACGAGGCGTATGCAGCTGAGCTTGAGGAGCTCCTCGATGTGCAGCGGACCGACAAGTATGCTCAAGCAAACAAGATCCAGTGCGTAGCATCTTCGAAGCTCTGGAGTAACTGAGTGTCTCCTGGGGGTAGTTTGGGAAATCGTTTTTATGGTTCGGTGCGGCGCGAGGGCTTTTTGGTATACTTGTTGGGTTGGAGTTCTTGGGTTCAAGGCTACGCGAACACCTTCTGGCGTACTCATAGTTTGTTTACAATGCATGATTATTGACAACGTCTACTGCAAACCTCTCCAACTCATCTTCCTAAGTGTAGCCCCATAGAACCAAAGCCCTATCGGCATCACTATCCCCAATGTCATTGTCAAGAATGCTAATAGACTGTTTCCCCATCCCAAACCCAATGTCTCATACATCTGTGGTGCAAAAAGCGGAAAGCTAAAGCCACACATTGTCCTCATAAAGGCTCCAACACTTGCTGCCGATGCTGCATAACGTGCCTCGTATGCGTCAGTGGTGTAGGCTTGCGAACACTGGAAGCCGATGATCAGGCCGATGGCGAGGATGACGGCGCCGAGGTTGGGAACGATGAAGTGAACTTCGTTCTGGGCACTCCAGCCGTAGATAAAGAGACCGATAGGACAAACAACGCCCGCTATAAGCATAGGCGGCACGCGGAACTCGGGTAGGCCTTCGGTAAGGTTGTAGTACGTCTTCATACGTGCGTACAGCTACTTCGATGTTAGCGTTGCATCTTCAGCATCAGTGAAGTTGTAGATGAAAAACGTACCCCATCCATGAGCGGATGCGAAATCTGCAACCCAATCATGAAGCCCAAGCAAAGCGACAGGTAGTTGAGCGATGCATGCCCAGTGTCCATATCATAAACGTCCTCAAAGACCATCGGAAAGGTTGAAAGCATGAGGTACATGACGCCGTACAAGAATGCGCGATAGATCGAGGGTGCCTGGGTGGCAGGATGTGTGAACATCATGATGAAGGGCAGGATGAGCCTCTTTCTCAAAATCTTGCTCATGCGATCACCTGTCTCAAACTCTGTCCGCACGACTACATCGTTCCTTATGCCTTTCATCGCCTTTCTAACCGCTTTAGCTTTCTTAGCGAGGATGGCCGGGGCGAAGGTCTCGGAGAGGAAGAAGAACGCTGTGACCTGAACAAAGACAGTGAAGATAGAGGTGGCCCAGAAGATCCAACGCCAGCTTACGCCCTCAGATATGTAGGCACCGCATATGGGAGCTACGCAGGGCGCCAGCCATGTCAGGATACCATAGATGGCTTGGCCTTTCCCGCGTTCTTCTTTCGACCAGGTATCAGCGAGAACACCGTTGCACAACTGCAATAATATCAGTCTTGCTCTCTTTGTCTCCTAACGAATTTTTGAAAGCGAACAGGGATTATACATACAGCTTGCGGCGCCGCTCCGCCAAGACCACTCAAGAACCGAAAAGCAAGCATCTGCTCCTTGGTCCGCGCAAACCCACAACATGTGTTGAAAAGCAGATACACAAGATTGGCATACTGCAACACGGTAACGCGTCCGAAGATCTCGCTTAAAGGTGCCAAGACGAAAGGTCCTTGAGCGTAGCCAAGGAGGAAGATGGTCATGACCAGCTGGCGCATGAATCCTTCCGGTATATCAAAGTCATCTCCTATATCCGGCAACGCAGGTGTTACCATAGTCGACGAGAAAGGTGAGATGAATGTAAAGAGTGACACGAGTATTGTAGCTACCCATTTGCGTTTGTTGCTCCAGTTGAGCGGGTTGCGAGGGTCGTTCGGGCCGTCCCAGGTAATCCACACGTCATGTTAGTGGCAGTGCCATAAGAGATCTGAAACACCTACAATGATGTCGTCGCCTTTCGGAAGACCCTCTTCCATGATTTCTTGGCCGGCTTCGTAGCCCGAGTTTTCTTCTTGCTGCCACTGTCGGAACAGACGTTCGGTGCTAACGAGCGGATGATTATCACCCTCGAACGAGAACCTTGGGAGTTCCAAGGACTCGCGTGCGCTCCTGTGGTCTACCGAGGGTCTACCAAGCAATCTGCCTTTAAAATTCATGGTGAGTAACGAGTGTCGAAACAGAACGAATGAAACGTGATGATAGCGAACGGAGCTTGATGATACCTTTTCGTGTTACAGGCGCAGATCGCCTGCATATAATTTCAAAATTTCTCTGCCAACTACCACAAATCGAGGCAGTGCCAAAGGGGCGCTCACCAAGCGGAGGCTGTTCAGGATGCGAAAAGTACTATACGACCTAATGACCTCAAGGTACAGTATCAAACGTGTAGCGCAAATGCCACGCTCCAAGAACAATGGACTTGAGATGCCGAGTCACAGGTCAATAAGGCTGCGGTGAGACATATGCCGACGTTGTGTTCAAGAATAGAAACCTGTCGCGTGAGCACATGGTAGCCACTGCGTCTTAGATCTATCGTGACCAATAGCAATGTAGCGGGTGCTGCCACGAGATCGCAAGCTTTTTTGTGGTGGAGACTGATCATCGATAACAGCCTTCTTTGTAGACGTCAGCTAGCTGGCTGTGCTCGGGATTTTCCGCCAAGAAGGTACAACTTGGTTTTTCGCTAAACCGCTTGGTGAAGATACGCGCAATCGCCGCGATTGGCCCGAACCGAGACCCTCAAGGAAAGTCAAGAACTTTGGCTCTGCGGAACTATCACTGATTGAGTTCTCAAGAAGAGCCAACCACAAACTAGAGCTATACACATGGTAGAACGCATACTAGCAGGGCTGTGCCTTTGTAGTCGTAATATCCGGCTATGCTGCGAGACCAGGAGCTTAGAAATGCGGACTTGATGTTTAGTAAAGGTGTAGATACTTGCATCTTGAATGACGTTGTTGCCATGGTCCTGAGGCTGGAAGCGATACCTTAGGTGGCACTTCCAAGTGGTGCACCGGAAATAGCTCTACGGGCTATGTCGTGTGCTGTTCATCGTGAAAGTGTGCAACTCCAGACGAGCAGAGTCTGGGTCGAAGATATAAGTATGTCGTATGTCCAGAGAAAGATGGTATCCAATCACACACAACCGGGTTGACATTCACTCTACATTACCACATTTCCACTTTCGCTTTTCGAATTCATTATCAATCGACCGACGTCCTACTCTATTAGCGACAGCCGTGAGCATACTACCCACCCTTATTTCTTCGAACAGCCAGCATGATCGCCAGCGTACCAACAAGCATGGAGCTCGGTGTACACGGTGCACCGAAAGCGTCGCCAACACTTCCGCCTCAACTCCCACGATTACTTTCGCTGAAAACTCTCAACTTACCGCAACAGCAAGTAGACGACCTTGTGAACCCGGCATCGGCGGTGCTGTCGACTCCAGCATCAGAAATCCTGGGCGGGCACCCACTCAGGATTCTGGTCGCACCATCAGGGTTCAAGGAGAGTCTAGGCCCAGAGCACGTGGCCGATGCGATCGAAGCAGGAATCCGGAAGGTACTGGACGGCAATTCCGTTATTCTGCGCAAGCTTCCTCTGCACGATGGCGGAGAGGGCTTTGCTCGAGCTCTAGTAGCGGCTCATGGCGGATCGATTGTTGACGTGCCAGTCACGGGCCCTACCGGATCATTGGTCCAATCGCACCTTGGTTTTATTGGCAAAGACAAGAAGACGGCTGTGTTGGACATGGCAGCAGCTGCAGGCCTTCGTTTAGTGCCAAAGGACGAGCGCGACCCAACAATAACCACGACTTACGGGGTCGGAGAGTTGATTAGGGAGGCGCTTGACGCAGGGTCCACAAAGATCGTCATCGGTTGTGGAGATTCTGGGACCTCAGATGGAGGGGCGGGGATGCTCCAGGCTCTTGGTGTCCGATTACTTGATGCAGATGGCAAGGAGCTGCCCAAGGCTGGCGGTGGTCGGTCGTTGGCACACTTAGCCAGCATCTGCTGGGACGGTGTACACCCCCGGTTACGAAAGACTGCTGGTAAGTCGCCTAGCCCAACTTACATACCTGTTTTAACCCCATACCAGTTGAGAAGGTCCAAATAGAGGCCGTATGCAATGTCAAGAACGTATTATGTGGCCCCAAAGGCGTCGCGCGAGTGTATGGCCCGCAGAAGGGGGCCACGCCTGAGCAGGTCGATATGCTTGCAGCATCCCTTGAGCGGCTGGCGCAAGTTGCTCAGTCGACACTTGGAGAGGACATCTCTCAGACCCCAGGCAGCGGTGCCAGCGGTGGTCTTGGAACCGGTTTGATGTTGTTCGGCACTACACTACGCGCCCGCGCTGAAGCCATCAATGAGTACTTCGAATTCGATCAGGTTTTCGAAAACCGGTGGGATTTTGTCATTACCGCAGAGGGCTCCCTGGATTTTCAGTCACCGAACGGAAAGGTCAGTCAATCTTTTATTGTCGCTCCCTTTGCACTTTGCTGACGACGACAGATGACGACTGAAATTGCTCGGCGCGCAAAGAAGAACGGTGCGCAAGTCGTTGCACTAGCCGGCACCATCGGAGAAGGCGCAGATGGCTGCTACGGTGCTGGCATCAAAGCCTTCACAAGTATCCTCCGAGAGCCGGTAACCCTGGAGCAAGCGATCGGCCAGACAGAGGCATTGGTCAAGGACGGCGCCGAGAAGGTGATGCGCATGATTATGGTAGGGTTGGCTCTTGGACGACGGCATCACTGAGAGCGGTGTCGCATGCACTGCCTGGAACAAGAGTTCTTGGTGCCTTGGTAGTGCCGCGATGGCGTGGTCCCCCAACAGGAAAGTTTCTCAATAGCATTCTAGATTTAGCAAGCAATGATAATGAAGTAATGATGAGCACTGTTGTTGGAGTCCGCAAAGGGAGGAGGTTGGTAGGAACGCGTCATGTCGCGTGTCTACGAGTTTGTTCAGCCGCGACTGCTTTCCACACTAACTCAACGGTAGCGTCGTTGCTGCTCCAACTAACACAATTCCATCAAGAGCAATTTCTGGTCACATGAGCACAACGTAGACAGTTTACTGAGGTCAGAAAATGATACATCACTACTGCTATTCACACAAACGGCTGTTGAGACACTGCTATATCCAATCGGCTGGGCTCTTCAGGTTCTTCTCCTTTTCCATTCCTTTCGTCTCCCTCGCCTTTTCATTAACACTCTCCATCTCGAATCCAGCAACCTTCTTGTACACCCTTCCAATCTCCTCCAACTCCTCTTTTGGAATGACATCGTACACATTCTTGAAGCCATCCGGTGCCCTTTCCTCCGCAAGTTGCAAGACGTGATCAGGACCGTTCGCTCGATTTGCCATGACGATCTTTGCGGTAGGCGGCAGCCTCTCCAACTCGTATGCTTTCAGTGCACCAGCAATATCTGAAGTGTTGTTGGAGAGGTGCTTGGCAAGTGTCTCCGCGTCGATGATAGCTTGAGATGCGCCATTGGAACCGATGGGGTACATAGCGTGCGCTGCATCGCCCATGAGCGTAAGACGACCGAACGACCAGGCTTCTACAGGGTCGCGATCAGACATGGGAAACTCGAAGACCTTCTCTGTGCTGTTGATCAAGTCCTTCATCTCCAAACCTCCGCATCTCCATGTCTCAAACGGACCTGCGAAAACGTCTTTCTTGACAGCCTTAGTCCAGTCTGTCTTTGGTGGTGTCAGGTCCACGTCATCTTTGTCGCGTATGCGCAACTCAGCGATCCAGTTTACGAGGCTTTTGCCTTTGTCAGCTGATCTTTGGCTGATGGGGTATGCGATAAATTTCTGGTCGGCGTGGCCTGCCCATACCATGCTTGCGCCTGTCAAGTACTGCTCGCGCTCAATGCATCCACGCCAAAGCATGCGTCCTGAGAAGCGTGGTGGTCCTTCGCCAGGGTAGAGAAGTCTCCTGGCCGTGGAGTTGATTCCATCAGCAGCGATAAGGATATCGCCTGTTACACTTGACTCGTCCACTGGCGCACCGTCCCTCCTGTGCGAAAATCGTGCTGTGATGCTCTCATCGTTCTGATCGAATCCAGCCAAGGCGTGGTTTAGGCGAAGAACATCATTGCCAAGACGCTCCTTTACAGCGCTCAGAAGCAACATCTGGAACTCTCCGCGATGGATCGAGAATTGAGGCACCTCGTATCCTGCATCCATGCCTCTAGGCTCGCTGAGAATGGAATCGCCATGGCGATTGTAGAAGTTCAGCTCTTTTGTCTTGATGCCCGTCTTCTCCAGTGCTTCAAGTAAACCTAGATTCCGCAGAATCAAAACTGCGGACGGCTGGACATTGATGCCAACACCGAGCGTTGTGAGCGTCGACGCTGTCTCGAAAATCTGAATGTCGCTGAAGCCGGCGGCATGGAGCGCTAGCGCAGTGGTCAATCCACCGATACCGGCGCCTGCGATGAGGATTTTTGGCTGCGTGTCCAAGAACGGCATGTTGGGAAACACTTATGCAGAGTCGATATATAGTCAAAGGAGAGGGAATCTCGCAGTCAGAGGCAAGATACACAATACTCACTACCAAGTCGGTCCTACTCCCGCGTGTTTGTGGAGAAATTACGTTAAAAGTGCTCTTGAACATACTGCCGATTTTAGCTGCCGCGGCTCGAATGTAGCCGTAGTAGAGCAATACCCAGTATTTCCTCTCGTCCCGCAACAATATTAGCCTCATCACCGGTATTCGCATGTATTTCGGGCACTCTTCGTGTGGAGTGTGGGGAAGATAGAGGGTCAAGTAAACTAGTCGCCCATGCCATGGCCGAAATCGGTTGGTCGGTCGATCGCCCACGAGAGCCTTGCAACACTCCAGTGCACTCAAAGAATACATCTCAAACTTTGACATCGAACAAAATGTATTGAACTCTAATCGAAACACAATTGAAGAAAGTCCCAGAGCTTAACAATTGTAGCGTCGTAGAGGAACATAATTAATAACTTGGTATCTTAAACAACAAAACCGTCTTCTCCATGTGAGCATAACCTTAAAATGATCCAGCATTACATCCCTTATCCACAGCCAGACGACTCTGACTAAGGAGCATAATCCTCATTACCATCTTTGTCGTATCTGACATACTTAACCCTGTCCATACCATGCGTAGCCCGGAGGTGGCCTAGGGAATTAGTAAAGCTTAGATGCTTGTCACGACGATGATGCTTACAGTTGTCAGGAAATGAGCAATAGCCTTGATCGCGCTCGAGGGCGCATTGATGGCCGAGATCTGAAGTCGAAATGTTAGCGGCACTGTGAATGTATACCAAGGTGGCCGTAATGATGGTGGGCTCTGAAATCCTCTTGATCACTATGTACTTACAGCAGTCAATGTTTTCACAGTAGCGGTTCTTACAAGCCAAACTGCGTGTTTTATAGCGCAAAGCGTTCAGTTCAGCCGTTGTAAGCTTCGGCTCATGCTGGAAGTGACAGAACTTTCCATTCTCGCAGTGACCGCCAAGGTGCCAGTGATTACACATCTTCTTGCCTACTTTTTTCATGCGTGCTTCAAGCGAAGCTACAGCGGAAGGATCTTTTGGTGGCAGTGGTTCGTCAAGCCGTTGTCCACCTTTGTTGTAATAAGCATACTTCTTCTTAGTATTTTTCTTAGTAGCAGTTGTAGTCGGTACGACGGAAATGTTGCCGTTTTCAGGAGCACCAGATTTGCCCACAATGGCTAAGGGATTTGAGTCAGCCGTACGTCGTCTCGTATTTGATACGATTGTGCTATGTTACTTACCCCACGAAGAGTCGCCGTTAGATTCACTAGGTGTGGCCGCTGACACCGGAGTGACGCTAGGCGAGGGAGACACCACTGGGGCCCTCGAGATGAACGTGGGCGACGTATTGTTGTCGTTTGTGACGGAACGAGAGAGGGGCTGCGGCTGTGCTACAGGCTGCACCGGCGACTGCACGGCCAACTGACCGAAGCCGTTGGTAGGGGGCGTATAATCGGGCAGGGGCTCGTTCCTGAAGACGTCGTCGAAACGAGTGCGTTTGAAGTTGACTAAATCCGTGAATCCACGGTAAGCTGGTGTTGTCTCCAGAAGTGTGATCCGGCCGGCTTTGGCGGCATTGTGTTTGAAGTGTTCGAGATTTAGGAGATATCCTGCGTCATGGCAGCCACCAAAGATGATGTGACGGCAGGTGGGATTGTCGCTAAAGGTGCGAAGCATTTCTGCAGACAACATGTCAACGCTAGTCACTATAATCGGGAGAAATGTAGTACCCTTAATCTTGTGGTCGGCCCTCTCCTTTCCGTGACCGACGTCGATAACACTAAATAAGGGTTGATTGACGCTGAAGCGCTGTGCAAAGACTCGCAATTCCTGTGGACTTCGAAGAAGGCCAACCGATGCCAGCTTTTGTGAAAGCTTATCGAGACTTAGATAGACTTGGACCATAATCGGCCAGTTACCGGAATTGTTGTAGAGCGAAGCAACATGGTCGCGCATTGCATGGTACAATCGTGATGCAGCTTCCGACCCACCGTCGCCACCAGCGGCTTGAAGTAACGCATCTTGAAACTGCAGATGAACAGTCAACAACTAGAATCATGGGTGGGTTGACTGTGCCGCGATATCATGTGAACGTTATCGACCATGCAAGGGCCCAAATCGATAAACTGTTGCCAGGATAGACGGAAGATTAGACTCAGAGGCCTGGAAATACTTACGATAGCTCCATCACCATCAATAAGTGCCAATACAAACGAACTCGCTTCCTGCAGCCTCAATCAGCACACAAACCTGCAAGGCTGAGTTTCCAGCGAGTAACGCACAAGCTGACGTTCGTAATCCCCCACCAAACCCTGTTTCTCTTCAACGGTTCTCTGGTAGTTTCGCCTGATATCCCTTTCACTCAAATAATCATTCTTCAAATTGCCGTGTTCTTCAGACAAGGCTTGATACTTTGCTAGAATTTCCTATTCCTCTGTCAACGTTTATCGCACGGTCGAACACGCGACTCAGCGACACGTACGCTAACGAAATGCTCTCTGGCCTCATCAGATGCGCGGAAGGTTTGCATTTGATGGACGAACCGCTCGTAGTCGCTGTAATTAGACATGATGACGGAGAGCCTGGTATCGTTTAAAAAAAAAGTGCTCGGCCGTGGTTCAGTGCGGGTAAGGTGAGCTGAAGGCAGCACTCGAGATAATGCGTGCAGAGTGGAAGAGGGTCCGGGCGGGAAGCCTAGACTGAAAGAGTGCGGAGCGGGGCGATCACATCCACCTTGTGTAGAATCAAACACCCAGGTTCACTGCGCTTTGTTGCAAGGAAATCAGGCTGGTACTTGCATGAGAAAAGATGTCATAAAGCGTCGAGATTCTCAAACAGTTTTGGTAGATATGCTGTTGGTAGATTTGTAGTAAATGTGTTGTTTCTCTCAACAGGGCGCAGCTCTTTTTCGTGCATGAGCTGCAACGGTGGGCCATGGGAGGCACAGGCGAGCGTATCGCCGTCTACCCTTTTGTGTGACACAGAACATTATTGACAGCACACAGCCCGATGGCACGACGAGGCAAGAATGTTCTAGAGCTTGTAGAGTGACTGCAGGTGTGCCTCAGAGGATTAGGTAACGTTGGATCAGCGAATAGCGGAGATGACGATGGGACGTCCTTGAACAAACAAGACACGACAGGTGCGTCAAGATTCTTGGACAGCGTGAGTGTCTCCGGTCATCAACGACAAGCCTGACGAACAGCTGAACGCACCTAAACGAGAAGCTAGCTATAGCTCACTATGACTGGTGGAAGCGAATCGAAGCAGGCGTAGAGCGAGCGAGAGGACCTTATAGCGACTGGGGTTTGACAGCAAATGACCAAAGCTTTAAGAATATTTGTTGCATACACAGTATGAATTGTGTTTACTGATAGTGTTATATTGGAAGTGGAACCAAAGGGCTGAAGGGCGTGAATAACGCGTAGCAGAAGGTAGCCCGACGCGTATCTTCGCATTGCTCGGACTCATTGCTCGGTCTCGGTGCGATTCCGCGTCTGATCCGCGTCTGATGTCAGCATAAACGGTACCTTTGAACCAACCTTAACCCCACAATGACGCCAAACAATCTGCACGAGTGCCTCCAGCTGCAATGGCACGTAAAGCTGACATGGGGTACTCTCGCCCTACTTATAACCGCCCACTAGGGCAGCAATTGCAGCTGCATGCTTCGCATTTCCTCTCGACCTCTCCGCACCCTCTACAGCTTTCACGAGCTACCTAAACACTACAGCCAAGGCTCAATTGCGATTCGATATCACACCACCACCACCATGTCTGCGAACAAGAAAGCACGCACCCAACCTCCGTACGAACTGTTGTACTGGCCTGGCATTCCAGGACGCGGAGAGTTCATTCGCCTGGCGTTCGAAGCAGCAGGCGTCTCCTACAAAGACGTTTGCAATGAGTCTGAGGACGGTATGCAGCATAAAGCCACATCCCACTCTGTACTGCCCTAGCTAACAACTTGGTAGGCATGAAAATCATCGGCACCCTCACCGACCAGTCCTCCACAGGCTCCGATGGCAACCCTCCCGTCTTCGCACCACCTGCTCTGCGCGTTCCCGGCGAAGGCAAGAACGGCGCTGCGCTGGTTCTCTACCAGACGCCATCGATCCTCTCTTACCTTGGCGACAGGCTTGGTCTCAGTGGCGCAGACGAAGCAGAGAAGTCGTGGATCCTGTCGCATACTCTGACGGCGCTGGACGTCAACAACGAAGCCCACGACACGCACCACCCCGTTTCGATGAGCTTATACTACGAGGACCAGAAGGAGGAATCGCTCAAGAAGGCTACCGACTTCCGCGAGAAGCGCATTCCCAAGTTCCTGAAGTACTTTGAGCGCGTGCTCAAGGGCAATGAGGCGCAGGGACAGGGCAAGTTCCTGGTTGGGGATGGTCTCAGCTATGCCGACCTTACAGTCTGGCATGTGCTGAGCGGATTGGAGTTTGCCTTTCCCAAGGAAATGGAGGCAAGGAAGAAGGACTACCCACTCTTGTTTGGAACCTTCTATGACAGCGTCAAGGAGACCAAGGGAATCAAAGAGTACCTAGCTAGCGAGAGGCGGAAGGAGTTCAGCATGGGTATCTTCAGGCATTACCCTGAGCTGGACCGACAGTAGACAGATGAGCATGCCAGGGCACAAGCACCATCACAGTAAAAGAAATCAATTGCAAGTGGTATCTTGAAGGGGTGCCTAATACAGGCTCATATCATCTCATTCTCATTCCTTTTTGATGCCGGTACATGACGCATAACCGAAGCCCTGCCGTACTCCTGACCCATGTAGATATAACGAGATCGATCAAACCCAACGAACCCGCCTACATCTAGTAGTCGGTCTGCTGGCTCTGGGGGAACTCGAAGTTGACGCCCTTTCCAGTGAGGCGCTTGTAGACCTCGCTGTAGGTGTCGAGCCTGTAGTCAACACCACCGCGCTCCTTCTCGTCAAGGACAACCTTGAGGATCTTGCTGCCGTCCTCACGGGTACGGAGACGCTTGCCGACAATCTCGACGGGGAAGACGAGGTCGGTCAGGATGGCGTCGTGGACAGCGGTAAGAGTCCGGGACTGGGGACGCTTCTGGGTCTGGTTGGAGCGCGAGCGGTTGGAGCGCTTGGGGCGGGGGAGAATGCGGCGGGAAGCAACGATCAGGACGTGGCGGTCAGAGAACTTCTTCTCGAGCTCACGGGTGAGACTGAGAGATGTTAGTATGGGAATTCGTTCACTTCATAAATAGGACATACCGCTGCTGGGCCTTGTGCCATCCGGACAGAAGGGGAACAGGGACGAAGATGACAATAGCCTTGCGTCCGTGGCCAACCTCGATCTAAGAATCCTGGTGTCAGCTTGATGTTGCTGCCCAGTGCCCACCGCCTCTTCAATATATGGGTATGGGTGTAGGTAGGTGTGTAGGCGACGCTCGATAGCGCATGGTGGTGTTCGGGTTTTCATACCTCGCGAGCAGAGACGAACTGGAGAGGGCGCAGAGAAGCCTTCAGGTCGGGGACATTGTTCTCGAGGTCAGTCAACGCCTGTCGTGCGTGTTAGTGCTGGTCGCCCATGTGCAATTGACGGGCAAACTTGCGCTGGCGATGCTGGTCTCGATCTCAGAGGGGTTCTGCCTCGACGGGCTGTTGGGCGCGATCTTGTTCAGAGAGTTGGCGGACATTTTGGCGGCTTGATGTCGAACTGGTCGGAGTCTGAAAGTTCGAGGTCGATTGCGAGAGACGAAATCACTCACAGCAGGTGGGCGTCAAGCGAGGCGCTAGTCTTGTTTGGGTGCTTAGCGTAAGCTCTAGGTTCAGCAAGGCGCCGTGGACGCAGTTGAACACGAACACAATAATTCATCGCCGACATTCCGAAATAAGCCCCACCTGCTTTGCTTTGCCATTGACAACCATCACCATCACTTGGCTGTCGCTTGATCAATAATCTGTCTCTAATCTCAGGCTTACATACAGAACAAACCAGTGCAGTACTTGATTTTGATATTGCTGTAACCACTGTCTATGTCTATTCCAAGGGGTATTGTTCATTTCGCTAGGCTATACGTTCGCAGGAGAACGCATATGAATCTTTCATGCCTTTTCAATCGCTTCTGCAGACTAGGTATACCTGGGTAGGACTCAATGTTCCTCCAGCACATCCTCGCAATTTGCCTGCTGCACAATCTGGTTCCTGATCTCCTTCATGGCTTCCCAGCGTTTCGCTGCCTCCTTCTTGCCAGCGCGGGTCTTCATCATCTCCGGATATCGAGCATGACGCTCGTCTGCTATATGTACAATCCGTCGGACCGTACCAGTACCACGTGGCTCAGTCACACCTCCGTACACTGCCCCGCGTACGATGCCGACTGCGCCTAAGCCATCGAGACGATCGGCATCTTGAACGAATTGAAGGGCAGGATAAGCGGCACATTGTTGGGCAACCATAACCGGATTTCGAATCTCGCGTGTGAAAGATACCAGGGCCGCAATGTGCGAAGCAGGACCCCAAATGTACGGCGGGCACTCGGGTGCGGACTCTCTAATGAACGACTCGATAAAATCTCGCTGTTGCTCCTGATCAGCTTCATCAGTTTCCATCTTGACTAGCTCATCCGAGAGGTATTTTCCATCTCCGATATCGTGCACCATAGCCGCCACGAAGACAACTAGGGGATCGACGTTCCGGAACACTTCACGATCCTTCTCCGCATGCCAGAGGCGATGTGCATTCATGACTACGCGTTGGACGTGCTCGAAGTCATGAGAAGGGTCGTAAGCTGAGGAGTTCATCTTAGTGCGGACGGCGATGTTGATCTTCTCGAACCAGCGCCTATCCTTGTCAGCTATCACAGCACCGTCCATCAGTTTGTCAAGAGATATGAGTCGCGTATCACGTTCGTCGTTTCGACGCTTAGTATTGCTCTTCACCGAGCTCAGTGGCGATGAGCTATGGGAAGAAGGAAGCTGGTCCGCGACTGAGGATATTGTCTCGTAAGATGATTTGGAAGTCCCCGATGGTTTTCCGAAGCTGGACATGCGACGGTGGATGTTCTTGAAGACTCCGTCTGCCTTGCTGGTCTTAGTTTTGTCCTGAGACATGGTGACTAAATAGGAGTATGCAGGGCTTGATTGACTGTACGAGTGGATCTTGATGATCGATCCGGTTCAGAGTTGATAGTAAGGAATAGAAATTGCTCGGGAAATATGGAGGAAAGATCGTCGGTTTTATTGTATGGAAGAGCTTGAACGTGCACTTGGGAGAAATGCTACAGTGTAGTTTCACTTTTCTTCGTGTCTGCTGCATCTCAAGCTCCTGTTTGGTAGGTGAATTAACCTCCACTGTTACGGCAACTCAGTTTGCAACGTGGCCAAGCTTTACAAAGCGCTCGCTACAACTCATGGAACGGCCGCGTGGCATTGGAGTATGCCGACTCAGTGCTGCTGCACAAGTATCACATCTTGCGACTCGTGGTTGTAGTCTAGATGCTACGTACACAATGCCTCGCACGGCTCTGCTGCCAATCACTCAGCTAGGTGACGGCAACCGCTGGATTGCTGGCCCAGTGTATTGGCGAATCTGTTTGAACATACTAACTGACACAGCCTATAAAAGAGTCGAGTACATAGTCTTGAATATTATGATGTTTGTATTACTATTCCAGAAAGAGGTATGTCAACCATCGAGTAAGAGACAAAAGAAACCCCTACATAACTCCTCGCTGATTGGGATATACATGTTAATTCATAGTTGGACAAGGATGCGATCAAACTTGCTAACAAGTCCTCCAGCATGGCTTCCGACAGCACAACTCAAGCATAGCCAAAGAATGGCTGGTATCTCTGACAACCTTCGTGTAAAGCTTTTCTCGTATGATGGGGTATGATATCGATTGGATGGTGCTGTGTGATAAAGAGACGCTTAGACTCGCGAGCCACGACTGTAGTGTTGTTAGCTAGAGCTTCACAAGATAACGACGAAAGACTTACCCAGCAGCACGGCCCTTAAGGCGATGTACTGTCAATATTCCAAGGATAGCAGTCGCCAACCAAAGGATCATGGACAAGAAGGAGAAGGCCTGAGCAGCGCGCCATTGACCGCATGAGTTGTTGCGGCTAAAGGATACACCGCTCCAAGCCCATGCACTACCACAGCCGCGGTCGTTGAACCAGCTAACAAGGAGTCCGAAGACAGCGGCCCAACCGGCTGTGAATACTGCGCGACAATTGTTAGTAGTTGTTCCAATCATCGTGGAGGATCTCTGCACTCACTAAAGTCGGATGTGTAGCCGGTGATACTAGAGCTGGTGGGGATAGCCCAGATGACGGCGAAGAGAATGGAAAGCGAAGACCAAATTATGGCGAAGATCAAACGACCTAGAGGTCCGACATGATATCGCGATCGTTGGTAAACAAAGTATGCTGATAGACCCAAGACGATAGCAGCGAAGACCCATTGCGCCGTGCGCAGGATGATTGAGAGAAGACGTGTGAAGAGCATCCTTATCAGATGAGTAGATCGGAATGGATAGTCGGTGTCTTTGGTGAACTGATATTGCGATGCTGGCAAGACTCGGTAGTTGAACTGATGCTTCGTGGTAACAGTATGTGTTGGCCTACTGCAGTATATATACACCTGGCGCCCACGACTGTGCCTTGCTTCGTCAGAGGAACCACCAACAAACGTCAGCCACGACCATTGCGTAGCATTCTTGGCATCCAAGAACGGCCGACAGTCACACAACCGTAGGGTTTGTGGTTTCTCGGCCTCGTCAGCCACGCATGTTTTCTGTCTCTGAATAGTGTGGCTAGTGCAGTGGAGCCGCATAGCCGTGCAGATCGCTGGCCTTTAGCGCACTCGCTTTGGTATGAGATCATTGTGTCTTGGTTATCCCTGCCAGGACGCGTGGCGCATGCGAGTGTGGCGCTGCCATTTGTTGACGCTGTCGGATATTAAGAGCAAGAACCTTGCATCGTGATTGCCGATAACCGCATAGTTTTGGTGTTTTCTTGACTGTTGATGGCCTGGACCGATGACGATGAAAGTTTGGACTCTGACCTAGGAAGTGTTGAAGCGACAGCAAGTTATTGCAAATGAGTACAGGATCGGCTCAGATGAAAAGCAACCACATGCCACGTACCCATGCGTTTCCTGGGGTGTCTTGCTGTGGCAGTTACTTCCTGTCTTCGTACGTCGTCAAGAGACGTTAGAGCCCAAAGACGACGCTCCATCTTCCATGTAGCGACCACGTAATAACCCGGTATCTTGGGAACAGGCACAGGACAGAGCCAATCACTTTCGGAGTCGCAAGAATCAAGGAAGACAGTTGTCGCGAACCTCTGGGGGATCCTTGATTTCCAAAGTCGTTGTGTCCTATCTAGTCGTGCGCTGCGTAGGGCTGCGCTGGGGCCAAGCCACTGCATTACGCATGATAAGGCCGAAGTGAACTCTACCTAGGTAGGGTCTCAAACCTGGTACCTGTCTCGATTTGGAAAGGAGTGACCAAGTTCTCCCATCGCGTGTACGGGTTGCAAAAAAGTAATGAGCGACAGCTGTTAGTATCTCTCTGTCGAGCCTGCAACATGCGGTAGACCGACTGACAGCATGTATATAGCAAGACGATCGCAAAGTCTAGGAAGTTTAGGTGAAAGTTCTTGGGCCATCTAAAATCAGTACGCATGTCGATTTGATGTAGAACGGAGCCCGAAAAGGTATCGTGACCCTTAGAAGGGTCAAGGTTAGTTAATGACGCGCAGTCCCTCCTCGCAGCGAGCACGCGACAGCTCTTCGACGCGTCTTCTTCTTCTCCGACGTTCTCATCACCACACTCTTTCACCAACCGCGATCGTGAAACAGTGAAATCCAGTAGCTGTCAGGGCTTTGATCGTGTTCACAGTTGTACGTCATTTAGGTCCGGTCCGGCGATGGCTCCGGTGACCTCTCAGGGCTCGATCGCCAGATGCACTGTCAAGCACTACATCCTGTGATGCCTCCGTAGCAAATCGCGTAAAGAAGTTACTCATGAGGGTAGTTGATGCTTGAACTCATGATGTGTCGTGATGATGACCGGCCACAATGGTGTGCCGGACCGCCATTGGGTATTGTCGCTCACAAATCTGAGACTCAGCCTCGCGCTACAAGCGCTTAAGGAGATCACATTACGCTGCGGTATTCACACGCAAGTCGCAAGGTCGATGCGTTCTTTTCCAAACGCTCAAATCCTCAACTGCAAGATGGCTGCGTGTCTCGCGATACAAAGGCTTAAGCGGAAAGAATACTCCTACCTGTCCACCGATAAAGCGTCTCTGTATGAGTCGGCCCAATGTGGGTGCTACTACTGTCGTGTTCTATGCGAAGGCAGGCCAGAACATGCCAGTTTAGACAAAGTGTATGTGGAACTGCTCGATACAGCTTTAAAGGCAACATATCTCTGTGAACATCATGGAGATAAACTTGAGCTCCTGAGAGAGTTCTTCGTTTTGGATTGTAAGTATGAGAGCCTAGAGTAGAGCCGTTCTAACAACAACACAGCTCAAGACGATCCCATTATTCCTACAGCAAGACACATATCAGGTAATACTGGCTCAAGAAAAAGCTTCAATACCATCAATGGCTGGCTTGATACATGCATACAATCACACCGAGGCTTGTGCTTGGCGTCGCGTAACGAAAGCGGGTGCGCTACGTTGCCTGATCGAGCAATTGAGGTAAGCCCCAACATGCCACGTCGGATCCGCCTCGTCGATACGAAGAGCAGGGAAGGGCGATATGCGTGTCTGAGCCACTGTTGGGGCGACAAGCAGCCTTTACGGACGACTCTAAAGCCAGACACCCTCTCGATTCATCAGGAGAACATCCGGGAAGAAGATCTGCCGAAGACATTCCGGGATGCGATCACAGTCATTTTGGCGATTGGGATTCAGTACATTTGGATAGATTCGTTATGTGTAGGTTATTTTCGGATCGATCATCGCTGCACGTCTCCTTGCTGAAATTGCTTACAGATTATCCAAGATGATGAAAAGGACTGGCAGATCCAATCTGCAAAGATGGCCGCCATCTACTCCAACTCCACTATAACTCTGGCAGCTACAGAGGCTTCAAATTCAGAAGAGGGCCTCTTTCGTAAGACTCCTGAGGCGCACATAAGCCAATCACTCTCCAGTTCTTGTCACATTTATGCTAGAAAGCCAGTTGATCACAGAATAAGTGAATCGCCGCTCCTTAAGCGAGGTTGGGTCTTTCAGGAACGCCTCCTAAGTCCTCGAATACTTCACTTCGCTGAGAACGAGCTGATATGGGAATGTATGCAACATCAGCGCTGCGAATGTGGGTTTCTTGACTGGCGTCATCAATGCCAGCCAGCGGTATGGGAGCTGTCCCTAGCACCCAAAAATCATTACCATCCAGATGAATGGCGCTTGCTCAGGGGTAAACTATTAGGAGCAGATAATCCATGGACAATCGCCGCCTTTGAGTTCGCGTGTCTAAAGCTTTCAAAACCAAATGACATCTTCCCAGCAATTTCAGGTATCGCAAAAAGCTTTGAGGAAGCTACTGGCTGGACATATGTCGCGGGAATATGGAGAGAAACGATGCCACTTGGACTGTTGTGGCGCACATTCAACAAAGGCCATCGGCCTATTCATTGGAGAGCACCGTCGTTCTCATGGGCGTCTATCACTTTTGACGAGCTTGGAGTGGGTCGTGGAATATATCACGTTGGTCTGCAAACGCCGATAGTTTCAGCATCTGTCGTGGAAGCCAAAGTCTCGCCTATAGGCAAGGATCCTACAGGTCAGTTGAAGAGTGGATACATTGTCTTATCAGGAACCTTGATACAGGCAATCATTAGTCATGTAGGAGTCGACGACAGGAACTGGCACCAAGCTTCCCTCACACCGTTAGGTAGAGAACGTGAAGATTCATATCGCTTTGGTACCGACTTCGATCTGACACAGTCAGGTCATGTGGTAAAAGATGGCGAAGCTGTATTTTGTCTAGAAATAGTTCAGGGGGAAGCTGAGTCTAAAGAAATGATATGTTATATGGTATTGGTAAAGAGAAACCTACGACCGTGGAAGTTCAACGGCCACAGGTACGACGGCGAATTCGAGAGGATAGGTCTCTTCACGGAAATCATTCCACAGGACCGAGTTAATCGCAAGCCCTTCGAGGAAGCGTCGCCAGAGTGTGCAGTTGAGCGCAACGCTGTAGTGAAAGTTATCTGATACGCACCTCAGCCGGAGACGTGGTATACGGCGAGTTGAAGCGCATGTAGAGAACCGTGGTAGCAATGTAATTGAAGCATTCGGACGATACTTTGCCAATCAAACGCCTTACACCATGCCAGATGCGACTCGATGCAATGCAAAACCCTCTTTCCCAAACGTTTCTTTCTATAATCAATAGATCATCAACGTCAAGTATACGCCAGTCTATCTTTCCTCTTGTTCTGGCATCCCCCATCAACCTAACCACACCCACCAAAACAGTAATATAACCGCGGCAAAGAACCCAACCCAGGCCTTCCAGCCTACGCCTGTCTTTTGCGCCATCCTCAACATACGATTCATGGTACCCTTGATCTTATGTCTCGAATTCTCAAACTGATCGTTCATTTTCTCAGCGAGAGTAGTGGAATCGCGGATTTCATCGCCGATGAGATGGGTTAACTAGTCGATGTTAGCACAACACTCTCCAAGTAGTGCGATTACGGGAAAGAGGAACAGCAGAGAAGAGGGCGCAGAAAAGAAGAAAGAAAGCAACATACGTCCTTCAACATCTTGACCTTGCTAGTCAGCACACCAACATGCTCATCGTTCTGACTCTCCAACTCATCCAACACAGCCGCAGAGTACTGTCCCCTTGAATTCGGTGTCGCAGCCCGATATATGCCATCCCTTCCATCATCACTCCCCCTTCCGCCCCCTACACCATAACCCCCATAACTACTCCCTCCGCTCCCAGGATATAAGCTCCCATTCGCCTTACTCCCACCAGCACCAGGATATGCGCCAAAGCCTGGCCCGTCGGCGGAGGAAGGTGGTGTGTAGCCGTAGCCGCCAGCAGCATTGTAAGGGCTTGCGCGAGCTTTGTTTTTTGATTTCGAGGGTGAGGCGCTGCGGTTGTAGGAGGAGAAGAGGTCGTCGCGCGCGTCGGCGCGGCTGCTGAATCTACTTGACATGGTTGCGATGTGTGTGTGTGAATGCGTGTGGTGTGGTATGCTATGTTGTTGGACGTCTCCCTTCTTAGTGTCCCCTTTCTGGGTTCAGGGTCGAGGGTCGAGGGGTTTGATATTCGGTGTCTCGTTTCGTGGTTGAGGCTTAGGGCGGCGCGTGCAGTCTGGCGATACGTGGTCGGATTGCGAATCTGGGGTAATGCGCTTGTACGGGAGCCTAATTTGTGCTCCGGGGGTGGATAATATGTGGAGGGTTGCCGGGCACTTTTTCGGGAGTGAGAAGTTGCCCGGAGGTTAGAAGATGTTGGGCAGTGCTAACGCCGAGTGCGCGACTAGGAACACGTTGTTGGAATGGCGGCGGGTAGGAGCACGTGTTGGTGGCGCAAAGGAAGCTCCTAGCATGAGAGCGCACATGTGTATTCACCAGATCAATACGAGGTATGCGGGTAACTTGTAGTTATGAGTACGTCGTTAAAACATGTCACAGAATCGCGGTCAGAGTACAGGCCACATTTGTAACCACGGGTATCTTCATGAACATTTCTAGCATTTCCGATCTTGGTAGACTACCAGAAACCAGCTTGCAAGAGTCATTTGAAACACACAGGTGTCCCCACAGACTACCCACACCACCGTATGCATCTGTACAAGTACAAGAAACCCATCCAAACCATATGTGCATTCTTCATTCCAAAGCGTGAAAGTGGACTTTTCTCATACGTGGCTCCGAACATGACCAGCGACTCTTGGACATTGTAAGATTCTGCGTGTGCCTGGCGGTATGACACGTAGGCGTGACTCGTAGTATCGTTGAACAATATTTTCCAGCCTGGGATCATGCCCCTGCTCACACAAAAGGCCCAATCTAGTTCTTAAGACCAACCTTGTTGAGCAAGCTGCCTGTTCGTCCAGCAACCATGGCCTTGTCGTCGAAGATCTTGAGCAGGCTCTTCCATACCTGGCCTGGCTCTTGACTTGCGTCAATGGGCTTCCAGATACCCGTCTTCTGGTAGTATGCAACAACGGGCGCGGTCTGAGCGTGGTAGGTCGAGAGACGCTTCTTGAGCGTGTCCTCGTTGTCGTCGGAGCGCTGGATGAGCGGCTCACCGGTTACGTCGTCGGTCATGGGGGCCTTGGGTGGGTTGAAGATCTTGTGGTAGGAGCGGCCGGATGCGGGGTGAACGAGGCGGCCAGTGATACGCGAGACGAGGAGGCCGTCGTCAATTTGCAGTTCAATGGCGTGTTGAAGGGGCTTCTTGGTTGCAGCAAGCATACCGTCGAGCTTCTCGGCCTGGGTTACTGTTCGTGGGAAGCCATCGAGGATGAATCTAGGGAGACTCCGCGTTAGCATGCCTTTCCGATATATCCAAAAGAGACAAATCGTCAGAGTACGCACCCCTGGGCGCACTCGGCGTTGCCCTCGAGCTCAGTCTTGATCATGTTGATCATGATCTCGTCGCTAACCAGACCGCCGGCATCCATAATCTTCTTCGCTTCCCGACCGAGGGCTGTCTTGGCCGCGACTTGAGCGCGTAGCATGTCTCCGGTAGCCTACAATCTGTCAGCCTGCCATTTCCGGCTTCCCATGCCGCAGCTTGGTGTCGTGGATAGCGGGAAAACGTACAAGATGGCATGCGCAGAACTTCTCCTTGATTCGCGGCGCTTGTGTGCCCTTGCCTAGACCCGGTGTAAGCAAAATGCCACATTTCGACCCTCTGGAGCGGAACTACGCACCAGCACCTGGTGGTCCCATCAAGATCATCCTGACGCTCTCTGCCGACGTTGATGCACCCCCACTCTGGCCAGACAGCTTGTTCTCCAGCTCAGCGATGCGCTTCTCGAGCCTGTTGACGGTGCTCTTGAGGTCATCGACCACGGTATCTGTTATTGGTGCCATTGCGCCGAAGTGTGAGGAAAAGTTTTGGGGGGAATTGCAAAGGGCGATGAGAAGGACAAGAAGATGCGCGGGCCGCTGGGAGTGGAGAAGGGACAAGTGCGCAATGGCAGGTCGCGTTGTGGACGAGGTGGAGCTCACGGTCGTTCGCTAGCTTGCTTCTGCGTTCGGCTGCTTCGCGGGAAAATGCTTCCTCCTGCCCGATCCTCGGTCACGTTAGCCTTAGCAGGGTGATGTCAGAGCAAAACGTTCCTGCGCGCACGAGGCTAGCCGCACCATTAGCGGAATATTCTCGGAATATTCACTGCTATTATTACCTGCCGACACTGCTATGCTTCGTACGAGTCGGGACATGGCACTGGAAGCGCCAATGCATCGTACGTAGTAGTGAACGGGTGGGGTCACAATGCCATTTCGGCACGGCTGCACGCATAGCACCTTGATAATGCATTCAGAGGAGATGGTATCATTGTATACGTTGCTCTCATCAGAGCCTTCCAAAATCCTAGTACTCATTTCCAAGCACCTTCTTCAGTCCCTTGATCTCCGTCTCGTACTTCTCCACCTTGTTTTGACTAGTCATCAACTTTGTCAACAAATAGTTGATACGCCCAGATGTCTGTGCAGGCTGGTTCTTTAGCTTGCTCAGTAACAACAACTCGTTCTCGCACTTGTCAATCGTCGCGTTCTCAATCTTTGTCAAATGCGTCAGGATGGCAAGGTCCAAGCGGCTCTTCAGCACCTTGTCCTCAGTCAAGCGCTTGAAAGCGGGGTGGTAGACAGGCTTTCCTGGCTTGATGATAGATGGACGCCCATTCGTACCAGAGACGATGGAAATGAGCTCAGCCTGTTCGAGGGCGCGAAGGACGGATTCGCCGCCAGTCTTCAGAATGTCGTCAATGAGGACTTCGTTGTATCTTAGACTTTCTTTCTGAGCGAGCTCCTTGATGAGGAACCAGGCTTGCTCAGCGTTCCAGTGCCGGTTTCCGCCTTCATCCTCTGCGCCAAAGATGTACATCTTGAGGATCTCAGAAGCTGACTGATCGATGATCTCGTGCACAGCCTTGGTGGGTGTCTCACCAGTCTTGATGCGTCGGGACAAGAACTCAAGATCGGTAAGGCGGCCGCCCAACAAATCGATACAAGTGTCGAGCTCATCAAGGTCGTTGCGGTGCTCAGAGGGCAGCTTCTTAGGGGAGCCGTCCTTTGGCGCTGGGTCATCCTCAACATCGGCATCAAGATGCGTGATAACAAACCGCTTCGCTACCTCAGGGCTGCAGTCGGACAAAGAGATTTGACGGAACATACGGTCCGGCATGGCCTTGGAGAGCGATTTGCTGAACGCGACATCATTGGTCAAAAAGATAACATGAGCCACATTTGTCGTTGTGAGACGGGCGGCCCATTCTGCAATCTTGTCATAGACGATACCGCCTTCTTGGCTCTTATGCAGGAAGTTGTCAACTACAACGATAGGCCTGCGCTCTGGATGTGCTTCGAGCCACTCATCGTCTCCCAAGTGCGCATCCTTGTCGTTCTTGTGACGTGTGTCCAAAGCGATTTGTCGTAGGGCCGAGGTCGTAGTGTTCCAGATTTTGCTGAGTTGAGAGTCAAGAGTCTCAGAGAAGCCAGTCTTGACACCTGTAGCACCCTGTGCAGCCATGTCTATCATCCCGGATATGCTGTTCATCCAACTGAACACAGGTCTATAGCCAACAGACAACGCTGCAGCATTGATGGTGGCGCTCTCGCCTCGGGCCTCCTGGATAGGTTTGCAGTCGATCACAAGCTTGAGCTTTTTATCCTCCAAGGCCTCGTCAACGACAAGTTCGCGCTTGCCAGAGCCCCGAGGGCCCTGGACAATGATGAAAGTTTCAGCAGTCTCCATCAACCAAGTCCTGATTTGTTCAATGTCATCTTTCCTATCATCCCAGATAGCATCCATGCTGTCATCGTCGTCGCGCTTATTGCCACCGTGAATGATATCTGTGGCATATCCCTTGATCCACTGGTACCACTTATTGTCTTCAATGTGGAAGTTGCGCGTGATGTGGGCTTTCACAAAAAACGTTCGGATACTGCGCTCTTGTCAGCTCACGCTATCTATGTAGAGGAAGGACTTACGGGTCAAAGACGATGGCAACGGTACCAGCGATAAGAGCAGCTACAATCGGGATGATGATGCGAGGATGGCCAAAGATCCAGTCTCTGATATATCGGGGCTTGATCTTCTGCTCGTACTTCAACCTTAAGATTGTGCCCTTCTTGCCACCTCCTTCAGCTTCTGACACAAGATAGCCATGCATACAGTTCCTGGCCATGATAGCCTTCCCAATGCTAGAATAGTCTAGATATGCGAACTTTGGGAGTACTTTCGAGTCGGGAGGCTGCATAACGATGTCTGATAGTTTGCCGTACGGCCTGAAGAACTGGAAGAGCTGTTCTTGGCTCATTTCTATAGCTTCAGATGCCGGCACGCCGGCCTCAGCAGAGACAAACTCGACTCGCAGACGTGAAGCTGGGAGACGCATGAGATCCTCAACCCATGGTTTTCCCTTGACCATCTTCGCACGCATCCTCTTCCATGGACTCCACCATGGTTTGACTGGTTCATCTCTTAGGTACTCTTGAAGCACTTTTTCGATCTCAGAAGCAGAAGCATTTCCATCGTGAGTGAATTTAACGAACGCTCCTCCTTCTCGCATCCGTGGAAGTACCTCGGTGCCAGTAATCTGCAAATTTCGTTTCGCACTCGCTCTTTCAATGACGGCTTTGGGGTCGGTGCCAGATATGTTGGGACTGATGAGGCGATCTAGTATCCCTGGCAACGGGAGACCTAGTACCTTGCGAATCTGAATAGGAAATACATTGTTAAAGAAGAGGATGCCCTCGTTAGGTCCTGCGCTGATGTGACCGGTTTTGTCTTCACCAGCCTGTAGTCCAGTTACATAGCGAGCAGGGACAGTCCACGGTCTTCGACAACCTAGACTGCTTGGTTTACATGTCGCTCTAAGTGTCGGATGTACGATCCTGATGGCCTGTTAGTATATTTGCGATGATCGCCAACAAGGATCCAGCTTCGTAAACGCACCTTGTCGGCCCTTGCAGAGGGCGACGACACGTCTGATGCCAGCCGGTACGGGGTAGCATATTCACAGCCTAATTGTCACCGGGGCATGGCGACATACAGAGTACAACGAAGGTCAGTCGATTGATGTTTGCTGCCTGGAGTACCGTTCAAGACTAGCGAATCTGGAGATTAGAGGTGCGTGACGTCACTAATCTTGAATCTTGGCTTTGTGCATCTGCCGCCTGGCGAAGCGAAGTAATCAATGCCACCAATCGCGATGTCTAGAGCACAGGCAAAAAAAAAGAGCATCCGTGTTCTGGATGCTATCGCAATGATTGTAGTCTCCATCATGCAACTCCCAATCTTGCGAACAAGGCAGGATGATTGATTGCAGCGATAAAGAGGCGAAAGCGTTATGAGCATCTCACAGCAAGTTGCAAAACGTCAATTTGAACATAACATTCGCCTATATATACAAATTGGGTGCGAAATGAATAGAGCTAAAAGACATTGTACACTGCAGGTGCCGCCCAGCTGACTCCGCATACTGAAAAGGTATCGTGCAGGTAAACGAGGGAAAATGCGCGTACATAAATCAAAACGCCAAAGAATCATGATATACCCGAAACCCATCTTTTGCCGTGACCATCTTTTCCATGCACCTTTACTTCATACAGTAACAATCATAATCATAGGCTCATCTAAGCGGCGACAGTCACCAGCTTCTCGTTAGGAGCAGCGCGGTGCTTGTGCATAGCCTCGTAGGGTGGGCGCTTGACGATACCACCAGTGACGGGCAGGGAAGTACCGTAGCCGGTAAGGAAGGAGTCGACGTCGCGAGCGCACTGGCGACCCTCGTTGATACCCCAGACGATCAGGGACTGACCGCGACGGCAGTCACCAGCAGCGAAGACACCTGCCAGGTTGGTGTTGTAGTGACCGGGAGGGGTCTTGATGTTCTTGCGGCCGTCAAGCTCGATAACGTCGCTCATGACACGTTGCTCGGGGCCCAAGAAACCCATGGAAAGCAAGACGAGGTCGGCAGGGAAGAACTGCTCGCTACCCTCAATGTGCTTCATGTCCCAGCCACCGGAGGCGGACTTGGTCCACTCAACACGGACAGTGTTGATACCCTTGACCTTGCCGCTACCGTCGTCGACGAAGTCCTTGGACATGACACAGTACTCACGGGGGTCCTTGCCCATGTGAGTCTTGACTTCGTTGTGACCATAGTCAGTTCGGAAGATACGGGGCCACTGCGGCCATGGGTTGTCGCGAGCACGCTCAGCTGGAGGCTGGGGCAGCAGTTCGAAGTTGACGACAGACTTGGCACCGTGGCGAACGGAAGTACCAATGCAGTCGTTACCAGTATCACCACCTCCGATGACAACAACGTGCTTGTCCTTGGCCGAAATGTAAGCATCGTCAGCCAATTCGGAGTCCAAGAGAGACTTGGTGTTCTTGTGCAAGAACTGCATGGCGTAGTGAATGCCGTCCAGGTTGCGGTTAGGGATGGGCAGGTCACGAGCGACAGTAGCTCCAGTCGCGAAGACAACTGCGTCGTACTCCTTGCGGAGAGCTTCGAGGTTGGTCTGACCCTCCTCACCAACGGTGACACCAGTCTTGAAGTTGACGCCCTCAGCAGCCATGAAGTCGACACGGCGCTGAACGACCTTCTTGTCGAGCTTCATGTTGGGGATACCGTACATGAGGAGACCACCGACACGGTCGGCACGCTCATAGACGGTGACAGTGTGACCAGCCTTGTTGAGTTGATCAGCACAAGCGAGACCAGCAGGGCCGGAACCGATGATGGCAACAGTCTTGCCAGAACGGGTCTGGGGTGGCGAAGGAATCATCCAGCCCTTCTCAAAACCGCGGTCAATAATGGCGCACTCAATCGACTTGATGCCAACGGGATCCTCGTTGATGCCAAGAACACAGGCACCCTCGCAAGGAGCCGGGCAAACACGACCAGTAAACTCAGGCTATATGGGGTTAGTACACATCGCGTATGTAGCTGATACAGGAACACTTACGAAGTTATTGGTCATGAGGAGGCGGTTGAGGGCGTCGCGCCACTGACCTTGGAAGACTATCAAAAGATTAGCATGATGTATGCTCCAAAAGAAGACACTAAGCGCTTACCCAGTTCGTTCCACTTCGGGATGATGTTGGAGATCGGGCAACCAGTGTCAGACTGGCAGAAGGGTACACCACAGTCCATGCAGCGAGCAGTCTGGTACTTGAGTTCGTCCTCGTTCAGACGCTGGTTGAGCTCTGCCCAATCGCGAGTACGGGTCTTGGGGTTGCGGTACTTCTCAGAGCGACGCTGGTACTTCATGAAACCGCGAGTCTTGTCAAGGACGAGCGCCTTCTTCTTCTCAGCCTTTGCGTCGGTAACACTCTCTTCAATGTCGAGGAGGTCGCTCTTCTTCTTCTCCTTGGCCTCCGCCTCAGCTTCCTTGTTGCGAGACTCCTCGTGGGCGTTGCGGACAGCGTTGCCAGCGAGCAGAGGAAGAGGGTATTCAGACTTCTTCTTCTCGGCAGCCTTTGCCTTCTCCTCCAGGAGCACGCGCTTGTAGTCGACAGGCATGACCTTGACAAAGCGGGGCAGTGCGCGAGTGAAGTCGAGGAGGATGCGAGCGGCAAGCTCAGAGCCGGTGTAGTGGTGGTGGTCCTCAATGAGGCCGCGAACAAAGGCAATCTCCTCGGGCTCCTCGATGCCGGAGAGCTCAACCATCTCCTGGTTAACCTTCTGTTCGAAGTCCTTGTGGATGTCAAGGACGTACGCAATACCACCAGACATACCGGCAGCAAAGTTACGTCCAGTAGAACCAAGAACAAGGACACGACCGCCAGTCATGTACTCGCAACCGTGGTCACCAACACCTTCAACGACAGCCGTAGCACCAGAGTTACGGACACAGAAACGCTCAGCAGCGATACCACGGAAGAAGCAAGTACCGCGAGTGGCACCGTACAAGCAGACGTTACCGATAAGAACGTTCTCCTCGGCACGGTATACGGCGTTGCGGGGAGGGTAGATGATCAAACGACCACCAGACAGACCCTTACCAACGTAGTCGTTAGCATCACCCTCAAGTTCAAGAGTGACACCAGGTGCCAGGTAAGCACCGAAAGACTGGCCAGCAGAACCACGGATGTTGACGTGGATGGTGTCTTGGGGCAGGCCAGCCTCGCCGTAGCGCTTGCTGATGTGGTACGAGAGAGTAGCACCAAGAGCACGGTCAGTGTTGACGACATCGCACTCAATGCGGGCAGGAAGACCCTTCTCCAGAGCAAGTTCGGACTCGGCAATAAGCTTGTTGTCGAGGCGGACATGAAGACGGTGGTCCTGCTTGCGCACGTTGAACGTGGCAACACCTGGGCGAAGGGTGTGCGCGGGAGTCAGGATGAGAGACAAGTCAATGTTCTCAGTCTTCGCAGTGCGGAGATCGTCACGGATGCGAAGCACCTCACAGTGACCAACCATGTCGTTGATGGTCCGGAAACCAAGCTTGGCCATGATTGCACGGAGCTCGTTGGCGATGTAGTAGAAGAAGTTGATGACGTGCTCGGGTGTACCAGCGAACTTCTTCCTGAGCTCAGGGTCCTGGGTGGCAATACCGACAGGGCAAGTGTTGAGATGGCACTAGTGGTGGTTAGTAAATAGTTTCTTTTATGATATATCATGGGGAAGATATTTACCTTGCGCATCATGATGCAACCCATGGCGATGAGAGGCGTGGTAGCAAAGCCCCACTCCTCAGCTCCAAGCAGACAGGCGATGGCCACATCACGTCCAGTCCTCAATTGACCGTCAGTCTGGACGATGACGCGACCACGGAGGTCGTTGAGAACAAGAGTCTGATGAGTCTCGGCAAGACCCAGCTCCCAGGGGAGACCGGCGTACTTGATACCAGTCCATCGAGAGGCACCAGTACCACCGTCGTGACCAGAGATGAGGATATGGTCAGCCTTGGCTTTGGCAACACCAGAAGCGACGATACCAACACCAGTCTCGGAGACGAGCTTGACGGATACACGAGCGCGGGGGTTGGAGCACTTAAGATCGTAAATCAATTGCTTAAGATCCTCAATGGAGTAGATATCGTGGTGGGGAGGAGGACTGATGAGACCGACACCAGGCGTGGAGTGACGGGTCTTAGCAATAGAGCCAGAGACCTTGTGGCCAGGAAGCTCACCACCCTCACCAGGCTTAGCACCCTGAGCCATCTTGATCTGGAGCTCGTCGGCATCAGCAAGGTAGTTGGAGGTAACACCGAAACGTCCGGAAGCGATCTGCTTGATCGCAGAGCGCATGGTGTCACCGTTCTCCATACGCAAGCTGCGCTCCGGGTCCTCACCACCCTCACCAGTGTTAGACTTACCGCCAAGGCGGTTCATAGCAACAGCAAGGGTAGAGTGGGACTCCATGGAAATGGATCCGTAGGACATGGCACCAGTGACGAAGCGGCGCACAATGTCGGTCCAAGGCTCGACCTGGTCGATGGGGATGGGAGCACGGTCATCGAAGTTGAAGTCAAGGAGACCACGGAGGGTGCAGTCCTTGATGCGCTCGTACTCAGCAATAGAGTATGCCTCGTACGACTTGTCGTTCTTGGTGCGGACGGCATCCTGGATGTTGGCCATGGCAGTGGGGTCGTTGACGTGAGGCTCACCTCCGTCACGCCAGTGGTACTCGCCAGTCTCAGCAAGACCAGGAACCTCAACGATGGCGCGCGATGGGTAACCCCTCTCGTGGAGAGCGAAAGCGTCGGAAGCAATCAACTCGAATGTCATACCCTTGATACGGGAAGCAGTTCCAGTGAAGCATCGGTCAACGACAGAGTCATCAAGACCAAGAACCTCGAAAATCTGAGCACCCTTGTAGGATGAGAGGGTAGAGATACCCATCTTACTCATGACCTTCAAGATACCACCATCGCAAGAGTGCTTGTAGTTGTCGATGAGCTGTTCGGGGCTCATCTTCTTGCGAATGACACCCTCGCGGTGCATCTTCAAGATACACTCAATAGCAAGGTATGGGCAGACGGCATCAGCACCGTATCCAACCAAGACACACATGTGGTGGACCTCACGGGCCTCACCAGTCTCGACAACAAGGGCGGCGTTGGATCGCCACTTGTTGCGGACGAGATGGTGGTGAACCATACCAGTAGCCAAGCAAGCGGATACGGCAACGCGGTCAACGGACGCAGCGCGGTCGGTCAAGACAAGGATGTTGTCGCCGGCCTTGATGCCCTCGGTGGCAGCCTCGCAGATTCGGTCAAGAGCGTTCATGTAGCCATCGAGTCCCTCGCTCTTGGGGAATGTGATGTCGATGGACTTGACAGTCCAGTCAGAGTGCAGAGTGTGCGCGTTAGTTAGCGCCTTGAACTCTTCGAGGGTCAGGATGGGCGATGGAAGAAGCAGACGGCCACACTGTGACTCGTCCATCTCTAGAAGGTTACCCTGGGGACCAACGTATGTCTCCAAAGACATGACGATCGCCTCACGAATAGGATCGATGGGAGGGTTGGTAACCTGGGCGAAAAGCTGACGGAAGTACTCGTACAGCAGACGAGGCTGGGTAGCCAAGCAAGCCAGAGGAGCATCGTTACCCATGGATCCAAGAGCCTCCTTTGAGTCGGCAGCCATAGGACCAAGAAGGAGACTGACCTGCTCAAGAGAGTAGCCGAATGCTCGCAGACGAGGGTCCTCATGTAGCTTGGTCTCGGTGAGCGAGTGTGAAAGATCAACGCCCTTTGCGCTGATCTGCTCAACAATCTTGGGAAGAGTGAGCAGGTTCTTCTGAATCCAGGAACGGAAGTCAACACGCTCTGAGACGGTCTGCTTCAGTTCAGCATCATCGACAATTCGACCAGCGACAGTGTCGACGAGCAACATCCTACCAGGCTGGAGACGACCCTTCTGTACAACGCGCTCTGGCTCGATAGAGATGGTACCAACTTCAGACGCGCAGATGATGCGGTCGTCATCAGTAACGTAGTAACGGCAAGGACGGAGACCGTTTCGGTCGAGGTTAGCACCACAGTATCGTCCGTCGGAGAAAGTAAAGAGAGCAGGACCATCCCAAGGCTCCATCATGCAGGCAGCCCACTCGTAGAAGGCTTGCTTAGCGGGGTCCATAGTGTGGTTGCCCTGCCATGCCTCTGGAACCATAAGCATGACTGCTTCTGGGAGTGACAGGACACCGTTGATGGTGAGCAGCTCAAGGACATTGTCGAAAGCTGCAGAGTCGGAACCACCATCCTCGACGATGGGGTAAAGGAGATCAAGCTCCTCGCCGAAAAGGCTGGACTTCATAACACCCTCGCGGGCCCTCATCCAGTTCTTGTTTCCTCGCAGGGTGTTGATCTCACCATTGTGAGCAGCCCATCGCAGAGGCTGAGCACGGTCCCAACTGGGGAATGTGTTGGTAGAGAATCGAGAGTGCACCAGAGCAAAGTGACCCTCGTAGTCAACGTTGAGCAGGTCGTGGTAGTACTCGTAGACCTGAACAGGAGAAAGTTGACCCTTGTAGACAATGTTCTTGTTTGACAAACTGCAAATGTAGAACCAGTTGTGGAGGCCAATGACGTGTGTAGCCCGCTTTCGCATGACATACAGTTGTCGCTCAAAGTATGCGTTGTCGTACTTCTCCTGGAAGTCAGCCTTGGGCTCCCGGGCGTCGCCGTAGGCAGTCTTCAAGACGACAAACGGCTGGAGAATGATGGGCTCTCGTGAAAGTGCCGCGGGTCCAAGAAGTGTGGAATCGCGGGGCACTGTTCGCCATCCGAGCACCCTCAAGTCAAGCTGGTCTGCAACGTCCTCAAACATGGTCTTGGTCTCATCCAAGATGTTGGCGTCCGGCTTGAAGAAAAGGTTACCAGTGGCATACTGGCCAAGCGATGGTAGCTTGTAGCCTTGTTCGCGCTCGAACTCCTTGAGGAAGAAGCGATGGGGGATGGAGGTCATTACACCGGCACCATCACCATCGCGTGCGTCAGAGCCAACGGCTCCTCGATGTGTCATGTTGCATAGCAACGAACGGGCTGGATATCCGTTAGCATTCTCGTCTACTCATTCCTTGAATTGTTCGCTCTTACCATCGGAGACGATCTTGTGGCTGGCCTTGCCCTTGATGTGACTACGCCATTGTCAGCCCTTGCATCTCTCACACACAAATCAATTGCCATGACTCACGCAGCGAAACCGACACCGCAAGCATCCTTCTCGAGCTCCGGGTCGTACAGACCCTGCTTCAAGGGCAGTGCGCCTGCCCAAGACTTGTTCTCGGGGCCATCTTGATAAGCAAATACCGAGCTTTGCTCCTCTTCGATCTGGGGTTCCTGGGGCAACTTTGTATCTTCGGCGAACGAGACCCGACCCATTATATCGGCGAAAGGCCGAAGTTCTGGGTTCGTTGGTGGTGGTAGTGGGGTTGCGGTATCGATATGCGAGAGTGGCGGGGTCGCTCGAGGCGTGAACTTGGGAGCTGTTGCTCTGGTATCTGGATCAAGTCTGGAGGCGGATATTAGTTTTCAGGTCTGGTAAAGAGTTTGTCGCTGACTGCGGGCCAAGGGTCGAGTGTCGACGATATTTTGGTACGGATGCGCCTAGGGCTCTAGCTCAAAAGCAAAGAACGTGGGTGGGGAACAGTTGGTGGGAGGATGGAGTCGCCGGTGTCAATCACGCCCAAAGCCAACAGAAAGATGGGCTGGATTCGTCACCAGCTTCACCCGGCCGGATGTAGGTGATTGATGGCTATGACGTTCTCCCCCCATCTCCAGCGGCAACTGATAGCTGCTCGAAGCACAAAATCGGCAGATAAGGCAGGCAGCGAATAGGCTAACGCGGGGTGGCAGGCGCAGACCAGTAGGAAAGTGGCTGATGCCTCTCACGCAGGACGGATGGTGGAAAAGCACAATGTTTGGCCACGGGTGGTGGATGGGTGCAGCGGGTGTACATGTGGGAGGCAGGGCTACTTACTTGCTAGAAGGGCTGGTGGAACAGGCCTTGTGTTGGGCTCGCGATGTTCCTGCAAGCAGCTTGTAGCGATTGTGTCGAGAGTGCAAGAAGAGACAGAGGGTCGCGGGAGGTTTCGCGGGCGTGCTTATGAATAAGAGAGCGGAGGGCTCCTGGTGGGGTGGATTATTTTCCCTATACGCTAACAACTCGACTTCACCTCTGTCCAATTACCGGTTTGGAAGCGCGTCAACGGAGGCGTTCGTGCTGTCAGTTAGGCCATCTCCGCTTGTCTACCGCTGCGAACTGGGAACTGCCCGGTCTTGGAGGTGGTCTTGGTACTTTATTTCCACGTATATCAAGTTGGGCATGTTGGAATGGCACCTGACGCGCCATCTCTCCGGACGAAACATGACGATTGAGAGTCCGTCGATGTGCAGTCGCGCTCATTCTACATGGAATTGCTCTTGTGATGTTCTTCTACATGTGTTGCTACCAATGCTCGTATGCGTATGCGCAGCATCACTGCCTCCTGCGGCGTGTTGCGCATGGAAAATTGGCCTACCCCACGGTTTTTCTGCCACTCCATGACCAAAGGCCGGGGCATTATTGGCTGTTTGGCCGTGACCGCCCTGCAGCAGCCCGGCCGTGCACCCTATCCTGGGCTCCGAAGGTCGGTTTGACATCTGATGACCAGGTCTTGCATGTGTTTCCGCTCTACCATAGCTCCACCGGCTAGATTGCCGCTGCAGCCCACGCCGCATCGTCTGAAAAGCGACGTCTGCAATTGGCCCGGCGGCCTCGCCTCGGCAACACACGACTTCTTTGTCGTAATTTGAGAGGGTCATCTCAGGCCTTATCTCTCTCCAAGCGCGGCCCAGGGCGGACTGTCGCGCTACGGAATACTTTGTGTTGACGCTCACTGGACGGGAGATCATACAACCCCGCCATTTCGCAGCGGAGCGTCGCTGAGGCTTCCCAGATGCGCACTCGTCGACATCATCGCGGACCCGGACTTGCAGTGATTATCCTCTGCTTAGCCGCAAACTCAAAAACCAATTCATCTGCCTCCCACACAGCTCATCCTCGAGAATTGGGCGATTCTAGCGACCCGCCACGCCACGGCAGGCGACAATACATCAATGTCCTCATCATGCTTCGGAGAAGATCGGAACGCTCCTGCCTAGCTGACGGCAGTACGTAGCGGGAGACGAGTCACGAGAACAGGCAAATCCACGCAAATCCGTGTCGCGTAGCCAGTCCAGCCGAGCCCGTTTCTAAGGATTACTGGTTAGGCCGATGTCGCCTCTTTTGCTGTTCGCTGGCTGTGCAAAGTCCGCGGCGGATACTCCAGGCAGTGCGCCTCAAGACCCTGAGCTAGCAATCCAATCCGGTATGCATGCAACAAAAATTTCCGTAGGATTCGTGTACCTAATACATTCCGCGTTGGGTCATCAATGGCAAGAGTGGGAGGCAACGAGCATTTCCCGGAATTAAGATATATAAAGTGTTACGTGGGTCAATTTCTAGGGTCTCGATGCGGTGCCATGGGGATCTGGGCAATAGAACCTTGCGACAAGGCATGTCCGTAACAAGGAAGATCATCCTGAGATCGCTGGTCTCGTGACGCAACCAGATGTTGTTCCAGCGACCTTACATCTATCTGTAGGCAGTCTGGCTCTTCTAGGGGATCGTACTCACCATTTACCTCGCCCGTGATTGTAACTCGGCCTTTCTGCTTGACACGCCCCACCGAAAGATCTAGAGAAACAGCATTTTTGCGCGTCTGAGATGGGGTTATCTCGCTGGATGTCGGCGCCAATAGGATGATTTCGGTGCAGGACATTGTAGACATTACATCCACCACATCCTAACTTCATCGATTACAATCCCTGAACTCTCGCTTCTCCTTCCATTTCCTCTCGTCCTCAGTCGAGGCACTATTCTGGATATCTGATCGCTTCCTATGTATCACTACCCACCTTACCACGTTGCTTATTGTTTTTAGTAACGACAAGCACCACTGGAATCACGTCCGTCCGGTATCACGTAAATTTTCCCGAGGGTCTGCTTCGCACGTCACCCACAACACTTTCAATCTGGCAATCTTCGGTAGTTTCCAGGCTCCGATGTCCGAAAGAGAATGTCACAGATATTGTATTGCATGCACACTGCAACTGGCTAGTTCATTGGACCCTAGATTCATGACCTAAGTGGGATACCTTGGTACCTACGTGTTGTTTTCGTGTCATCGCATCGGTTACCCTGCATGCTCGTGGAAGGGATACGAGATCTTCAGGGAAAGGCGGGGGGTAGGTGTGTGCTGAGATGTCTAGGTGCTTTTATTCTTCTTTTGCGATTTTACGTTTCGGCGGACGAAGCTATGCAGGCCAACAATATGATCAGCATGATCTCTGCTGGGGGATTCTTTGTCCTTCTGCATAACATATGCCATGTTCACGTCGTAAATGCATACAAGTCAGGTCAAAAGTATGGGTATTCTTGTTTTCATTCATAACGCATGCCATTGCTGTGTATGCGCGAGGTATTCAGTCCACAGTCCATGTTACACATCAACGTGCACATAGCTCCATGTCCAGCTACCTCAATCGCGAAAAGTCGCGCCGCGACTCCAACGTCGGTAAGAGTCTTTTCCCCGCTACCCAAATGCCTTTTGTGCGTATATCATAACCCTAGCCAGAATACGGAGCTCGCAAAGATTTGGTCGAACGCGCCGAAGAAGTCCTGTAACAAAGCGATTTGATTAGCGGGGTTCATTGAGGACAAAGGGCTCTTCTTGGCTTGGCTGCAAACGTACCGAAAGACGGAAGTTGACGATGCAACTCCACTCTAGTCCTTCATTTGGTCATCGGGGTCGACAAAGTCCTCGTCATCATCCTCTTCGTCCTCCTCGCCGAGCTCCTGGTTGGCCTTGGCAAAGTCGATGTTCTTACCGCGCGTGCGGCTTTGCAGGACATTGGACGTGTCAATCTCCTCCATGTTATCCTCATCAGGCTCCTCGGCTATTCTACTGTCAGTTTGGAAGCTCAATCGCATGGTTTTCGCGGGAATAGCTTACGTTCGCCGGCCTAGATGCGATTGTGTTAGCTACTTGCGCATAGAGTTGTAGCGGTGAGGCGCGATGAACATACCTGGTCCTCAGCACCAGACTCGTCGCTGGAGTCGTCGTCCATGGACTCCTCGACAGTCTCGCCCTCTTGAGCCTTGCCCTTGCCCTTGACATCGGTAGTGGGGTCCTGGACGCCCTCCATCTGTTGGTTCTCTGGCTGAGCTGACATGTTTGAGATGGTGGTTGTTTGTGTAAGCGTCTTGTGAATCGCGGTAGCGAAGGGTACTGGGTTCGGGTGCGATTGAGAGGTTGGTAAGTTGTTGTTTGTGACAGCGGTGTAGAGCAAGAAGTCGAGGTGAAGCGCTGTCCATCTATTCCTTCCGTTGCGGCTTGCTGCAACGGGTTTAGTCTGGCGATCCCCTAGCCAACCCTTGCTTCTTACAGCAAATAGCAAACATTAGCGCGCGTGGTCTCGACCATCAACATCTGCGCTCTATGAACATCTATTCGCTGTCATGTTTTACTGTTGTTGATAGCATCCGAACACAAACGAAGGACATGCACTTGACATCGCGGCACAAGATTGAAAAATTGCCAAGTTGGAATGTTGAAGTATCCACATTTTGAAGGTATCGTAATCTCGTCTCGTCTCATCAAGACTTTTCATGTAGCCAGTTCATTGCACGTCAATGTCATCGCCAGGTATCATTTCCAAACTTCCTCGTCATCAATCTCTTAGTGGTGGAACAACCGGATGTGCTGCTCAACAAAGGTCATGCCCAACTTCTCGGCCGTCTCCATTACTGCGCCGTCGTTCTGACTTCCAGTGGGCGCAGCAATGTACTTGACACCACTCCTGTGCGCCCTGAAGACGTTGTCGATGAATGGGAAGAACGCATCCGAGCTGATAGCGACGCTCTCCATCTTGGAGAGCCACTCCTTGCGCTCATCTGCGGTGAATGGCTGGGGTACCTCTTCGAAGTTGGCCTCGAAGTCATCGCGCTCAATGCCCGCCTCAGGGACAAGGCCAGAGCACAGGAGATCGATGGCGTTGGATTTTGAGGGGCGCTTGGTGCCCTTCTTGAACTTGAGGTTCAGCGTCTTCGAGTGGAAACGCATCCACCAGTTGTCAGCCTTGTCACCAGCCAAGCGAGTGCAGTGGATGCGTGCTGTACAGATATCAGTGATTATGCATCAAGCAAGATTGGTCGTACTTACATTGCTGACCAGCTCCAAGGCCAATGACCTGGCCGTTGAGCGCATAGCAGACACTGTTAGACTGGGTGTACTTGAGCGCAATGGTGGCAACAGTCAAGTCTCGCTGAGCCGACTCGGGCAGAGCTCCAGAGTTCTTGGGCACAATGACAGTGTTGAAGGTATCGGAAGGAACAATCTTGGCGTCGTTACGGTGCTGCTTGAGCGTGATGCCGAAGACAGTCCTGGTCTCCTCAGGGCCTGGAACGTATTCAGGGTCCATCTGGAGAACCAAGTACTTTCCGCCCTTCTTCTTGCTAAGGATCTCCAAAGCTTCAGCGCTGTAGCCAGGTGCGATGACACCGTCGGAGACTTCACGGCTGATAATCTTTGCGGTCTGGACATCAACCTCGGCTGACAGAGCAATCATGTCACCGAAACTTGACATCCTGTCGGCACCACGCGCCCTGGCGTATGCTTGTGCCAAACCGGACTTCTCAATGCCCTCAATGTCATCGACCATGTATACCTTGCGCTCCACCTCGCTGAGGGGGACACCGATAGCCGCACCAGCAGGCGAGACGTGCTTGAAACTGGCCGCAGCTGGGTAGTTGAGCGCCTTGGTCAGCTCCTGCACCAGGGGCCATGCGTTGAGTGCATCAAGCAGATTGATGTATCCTGGTGAACCGCAGAGCACCTTGAAGGGCAGAGATTTCTCTGGCATGGATACTGTCGCTGGTTTTTGGTGGGGGTTGGCGCCGTATCGGAGGGTGAGGAACTGGTCGCCGTCACCTGCGTACTTCTTCCTGAAGAACTCGGAGATGGCAGTGTCGTATGATGAAGTCTGCTCGAAAGCCTTCAACGCGTAACGTTGCCTGCTGTTCTCTGAGACCTCACCATCTTTCTTGAGTTCGGTGAGAAGGTCATGGTAGTCGTTGGGGTCGCTAATGATGGTGACGCGCGCGTGGTTCTTCGCGGCGGCCCTGAGCAGAGTCACACCTCCGATATCGATCTCCTCAACGGCCTCGGGGATTGTAACGTTGATACGCGCGACGGTTTCGGAGAAGGGGTACAGGTTGCATACGACGAAGTCGATCTTGTCGATGCTGTTGGCGGAGAGGTCTGAGTCGTCCGAGTCGAGGTTGCGCGCGAGAATGCCTCCGTGAACGGCGGGGTGAAGAGTCTTGACGCGTCCACCGAGCATCTCAGGTGCCTTGGTAATGGCAGAGACATCTTCAACAGGGAAGTTGGCCTGACGGATCATCTTGGCCGTACCGCCTGAGGCGAGTAGTCGGACACCACATTCATGGAGTCCCTTGGCCAGATCAAGAAGACCGGTCTTGTCGTAGACTGACAGAATCGCTGTCGCAAACGATTAGTAGTAGACTGCAAGTCTCTTCAAATATTTGCTTACCTGTCTTTTGGCCTGCCATTTTGACTAATGTTTTTGAATTTCAGAAGTCAATTGAGAAGAAACAGTCAATCAAGACAGTGACCTGGGGTATAAAGCAATGGCGCACGACACATGTGGAGATTTTTTTGGCATCGCGGGGCTCACGGGTGACCTCATTTGCCTGCCTCTCCATGGCGAACACCCGATTGGCCCAAGCTTGTCTCCGCTATGTGATTGCGACGGCGAGGAAGCGGCTTCACTTATTGTCCGCCTGGTACACACGTTACTTCCGATGTGGATTGCTTGTCTCCTCGAACTCGTGTTCTGTTCCGACTCTGAAATGGTCTCACCGATTCTCAGCTCCCCGCCGTGGTGCTGAGCCATGTAGCCAATCGCTATAGCCATGACAATTCTCGCGCCTCGGTTCTCCGTTGCGATAGCGATATAACTGACTATGTGTCTCTGAATAATCACATCGTCTAGTGCTCAGACGTCGTCGCAAACATACGCGTTTCTTTTTTGTGTCATTTGTATGCAACGCAGCACCCGCGACAACTCACCTCTCACAACGTGCCGTGGGCCTCTTGTCCGTCATCACCGACATCGCATCGCATCGCATAGTCAGCGCACTGAGCCTCTGTAGAAACCATGACGGCGCACACCAATACCGAAAACCTCGCTAGTCATCTGCAATCCGTTCTCCTCGAGCTCAACGCGAACCCCTATCCAGATGTCGCATGTCCGCCAAACCTACCGAAACGCGCTTCAGTAGCGCTCATATTGCGCATTCAGCCAAGTTATTCGCATTGGCCTGACAGTGACGAAAGCCCCTTACCAGCTCGACGCAGACGCTCCTCTGTCGCACAACCCAATGCAGAGTTCGACTTCGAGGCCTCATTAAGCAACTTCTTTTCACAAGAATGGGTGAAGCATGGGGACCCAGAGCTATTGTTCATCAAACGAGCTACACGAGTAGGCGACAAATGGAACGGACATGTCGCGCTACCGGGTGGAAAGAGAGACCCAGAGGACGAGGACGATCAGGCTGCAGCTGCGAGAGAAGCCTTGGAAGAGGTTGGGATTGATCTGGGCCCCGAAAATGCTATTGCAGTCGGCAATCTACCCCAGCGGATTGTCACGACGAGCTGGGGTAAAGTACCGTACGTCTTCACATTCAACGGATACGAGATCCATGTCCCAGAACTTGAAAAGTACCATTGCAAGGACTCAGGCTGATCACAAGCAGACTCATGGTATTATGCCCTTACATCTACCTCCTCACCTCCCCGGCCTACCCACAGCAACGCCTGCAGCCTACCGAAGTAGCCTCCTCACACTGGGTACCCATTCGCGCGCTTCTTAGCCCAGCCCTCCGTACACATGAATATGCCGATGTCTCAGCGCGTTTGGCAAAGTCTGAATTGGGCATCAAGCGCTGGTTCTTACAGGCCATGTTGAGCAAGATGATGTTTGCTGCCATACAACTCGTGCCAGCAAACTCGACGCACTGCGCAACCATCCCGGACTTTATACCCGTGGAAGCAGCGCCACATGGTGTGGTGGATACTATTAGAGAGGCATTGGCGGGCGCTGAAGGGAGATCAAAGGACCGTAGGCCTCCTTTGCTGCTATGGGGATTGACACTAGGTGTTGTGAGCGACTTCCTCGAGCACATGCCACCGCATAATGCCCTGGAACTGTGGACGTACCCTACTTTCACCAACTGGGATGTGAGATTCGTCATGTGGGCAATGTCTTATCGTTTCCGCAAGCAGAAGTCTCTGGAGATGAGCACAGCTGCGTCTAGTATAACAACGACGTCTCAAGACACGACCGAGTTGCCTACGCAAGACTTCCCTGGGATTGGTAGCGAGGCGATCGGTTCTTTGGAAGAAGAGAAGCCAGGCGAGGTCGGTATAGCTGGCTTGGGCGTTGGAAGAGGTTGGGGACAGAGTGGGAGAGCGAAGATGATGGCTCGAGGAGCTGCGGTCAATTCAATGCTAGAAGGGTATTATCCTTTGGTCAGGAGAGCTGTGGCTACGGCACTAGTTGGTCGGATAAGTGTTGTGGCTTTGGCGGCATATCTGACCTGGAAGAAGTTGAATACTAGGTAGCCTCGGAGCGTGGGATGCTATAATCTATTTCCTGGTCATCAAGCTAACCATTCCGTCCATACAGGCCTGATTGTGCCACTGGGATCATGACTGAACATGTAATACACCAGAGGCGTCACTAGGTGAAGAAGGAAGAAATACCATGCTCCCACGACCGATGCTGCCACTTTGTTCACGCTAGTCCATAAGTGGCGTACATTTTGGGTGCCTCCTTTCACGCATCACGAAAGACACCTGGGCAGGCTTCGGATGTTGTAGCAGCTCGCTAATTTTTGATATATACATGTTCAAAGAAATTATACACAGCAACCACTCGGTCTGGTCGACCCCGCTAACTAAACCTCTGTACTGTCTACGACATACCTTGCAAAGCCCCAAGAGTGATGTTACCACAATTCGCGTCGTACTTCTCGGGCTTCGCAAATGTCACCTTAGCTTTGTTATTCACAGCAATCTCGCCCCAGCTCTTCTTCTCTGGGTCAAAAACCGGCCACCCCAATTTCGTCAGCCCTTCCTTCGGATCCTCAGTAAACGCCGCAACAGCGCGCTGCACAAGTCTGACAGTATCTTTTTGAACCTGCGTTTCAGGAAGACCACTGGCATCTGCAGAGCCCCCTAGAATCATGTGTAGTTCTGTTCCGTGGTATGCACCGGATGTAGGGTATAGACGTGTGTTGTCCCAGTCACCATAGTACCGGTAAACCCACGTGGGAACACCAGCATCGACACGTGCTCTAGCTTCGTAGGAGATGGGACAAACGAAAGACTCTAGGAGGAATTGACTGGCTTGCTGCTCCGTAACATTTCGACCTTGAGCAAAAGCCGGTATGACGTAGTAGCCCTGCTCGTGATCATTATGGCCATGGAAATAAGGTAACTTGGCGAAGTCGCCAGATGCCGAGCGAGAAATGTAGTCAGCGAAAACCGTTTCGTTGTCAACCAGAGGGTAGAACGGTGGCGTTGAGCGGACTGGACTGCCACCCGGACTGGGAGCAATCTTAGTTACGGCTTTTGAGAGCGTCTCCCAGGGTTGGCTGCGCATGCAGGCCATTGTGTCGTTTGAGGAAGCGCAGCCTACTAGAGAAGTGATGTTGTCCCAGTTAGACCTTTGTCGCTCTGGCGAGTTCATAGGGAAGCTGAACGTGTTGCCTGATGTGGACATGAGACCATGGACGATAGGATCCTCTTGATAAGCATAAGACCACCAGTCGACAGCTGCACCGCCAGAAGATTGGCCAGCGATAACAATCTTCTTTGCATCTCCGCCAAATGCTGCAACGTTCTTTTGGAGCCATTCGACTGCCAGACGTTGGTCACGCAGTCCAAGGTTAGTATCTGCGTCTGGTGCTCCAGGGAAACCGAAAACGTTCAGTCGATAGTTGACGGAGACAACGATGATATCCTCGTTGTTAGCGAGGTATTGGCCATTTGCGAATGGTGTGTTGGTGTTACCGCCAGCAAAACCTGTAGAATGAGCAAGTGAACGTGAGCATACTAGCGGGCGGTAGATGACTTACGTCCTCCATGGAATAGAACGAAAACAGGCTTCTTCGCCTTGACCGATTTTAATGTTGGCTTTGACCATATGTTCAAAGTGAGACAGTCCTCACTTCGAAGTGTCCCTGCACCAGCGGTAAACTAAAAATGCGGTACAGAGTAAGTATTTTATCGTAGATTCGTGGGATGGATGGTCACGTACTACAGAATGTTAGCTCAGTCTGTAGTTGAGAGCATACTATTCCGTACCGGCACTAAGTAACGTCAAGGCTTGATCAGTGAAACCAGGAAATGCAGGCTGGGTGGCAGCGATTTGCGGGCAGTCACTGTGCGCGCATCGTCAGCTCAATGATAAACAGGATTACTACATGAAGCACCTACTATCCCTGTATCAACTGTCAGCCGCCTTTGCTCGATAGAATGGTAATCCCTGCCAGGTACTTACGAAATTGGCTGCAATATATGTTCCATTGCCCTTGTACCTCTGCGGTGCAGCGAATCGCAATGCTCCGAGCGGCGGTTGTGCATACGGGGTACCCAAGTATTTCCAGACCCCGTTTGCCTCAAGCGAGCGATGGCCTGTGATACGTCCATTCTCTGTCTCGACGTTCTCGAAGGAAGATGTGTTCGGTACGGCCAGGGCTAATCCAGCTCCGCAGAGCCATAACGATAGCGCCGCGAGACTATGCATCTTGAAATGGCGCCGTGGTGCAGAAGGAATGAGTCTCGATCGAAATGTATGAATGGAGGCTGGTATTCGCCCAGTCCATACACTATGATAATCTAAGAGATGACGGGAATGCTCGCCGCAATTTCACTGTAGATTAAAGCCATGCGAGAATTATCTAGATATTCCTTTGATGGGGCAATGTTCCGACCCGTCTTTGAGAACGGGTCGTATAACATACCGCACGGCAGCTCCCTTGGCGCTTTTCCACGAATGGAAGGCCAATGTGTGAAGGATTGTCGCTTACATGTATCCATGGGGGTACACCAACACCATTTGGTTAGCATGTCCCGAAGACCACCACGAACGCCCCACGTGTGAGCCGCATGATATGCTGCAATAGCCAGTGAAATTGCAATCGCGGAAATAACGACATGAAACAAGTTATTTGGGTTCTGCAGGACGGGAAGCATGGTGGCAAACCGAAGCATGGAAAGTAGGCGCCCAGATGATGTTTCTCCACTCGGAACATTGACATAGCGATGCTTCTTGAACAGCATACTCATCTTGAGCGACACCAGACTTCTGAAAGATGTTCTCCACCATGGGGTTTCCGTCGAAAGACGAAGACAACCAAGGATGGAAGCTTTACCTGACTTCTCTAATCATGATCATTGCCGCTGGACTTATCGTTATTGCCAGGGTCGTGATACGACTCCGGATCGGTGTGAAGTTACAATCCGACGATTATACAATTATAGCGTCCTTGGTGAGTCGAGCGCACAAATGCACACAAGTGGTTTCGGTTGACATGCCTTAGATGTTCTCCATTTTATTGTCCATCACCATCCAGTTGTCCGTAGCCCATGGCTATGGACAGCATAAGGTTGACCTTTCGACCGAAGAACTGCATTCATGCCTCAAGTTCTTCTGGATTGCGCAGACGCCCTATAAGATCGTGGTGTGTTTGAATAAAGTATCCGCTATATTATTGTACATGCGTATCTTCATCTCGCGTCACTTTCGATGGCTGTGCTATGGCGCGCTCGCAATTGTTGTTGGCTCAGGGATCGCGACGGTTTTCGCGACCATTTTCCAGTGTGTGCCACTACAGCGGTCTTGGGATAAAAATGTCGAGGGAACTTGCATCGATAGCTCGAAATTCTGGCTGGCCAATGCGGTGCTGAATATCTTCACAGATGTGATCGTTTTGGCACTGCCTATCCGCGAGGTCTCCAAGCTCCAGCTGAAACTTCAAGAAAAGATTATGCTGCACAGTGTATTCTTATTAGGTAGTTTGTAAGTCTTTCCCGTATTGCCATATATGTCGATTGCGTTAACAGCATATGCTGTGCGTCTACTAACAGCCTCGTTAGTGTCACAATAACATCTATCCTACGCGTCACGGCTGTAGCCAATAGCGTACGCAACCAACAAGACCTGACATGGAATTTCATCGAGCGAGGCATCTGGACCATGATCGAAGCGAACTTGGGCATTATCTGCGCATGTCTACTAGTGTTAAAACAAGTGGTGAAGCGCTGTTTCCTGTCCGTGTTGGGAACGATTCCGAATGTCAAATACGGTTATGGGCCTGGAACCAGCGGCACTGTAGGGCCTGCCATTGGAATGTCTAAGCGAGAGACACAGAAACACTTTAGGCTCGACGATGCGGTGGACGACGAGCACACGTGTGGGCGCGAGATGAACGATATCTATACGTGGCCGGATATAAAGTCATACAAGATGACTTCCCTGGCATATCGGAGTGCATCAGAAGATGGACGAAAGAGTGATGAGAAGCACATCGTCTCCACGAAGGGCATAGAGAGGGGCCCCAGCCAGAGCAGTGCAGCCAGCGCGGACAGGCTTTCCAATTGGCCGTTACATCAAGGCATAACAAAGAAGATGGACGTCCGTGTCGACTCTCATTACCTGTCGTCTATTGATCCTGAGCATTAAGGTGTAAAGGGCTCGGTGAGGGTGATGTTGTGCTTCCTCTTGGCAGTGAAGAGGGCATTGCTCCACTTTAATCGTGTAAATGCCCATGATGAAACAAATACCACGGCCACATGTGACAGCCGTTTTCAAAATCCCGAAGTTTTAAAGACCGGTTTCCAGTACAGGTTCTTCTCGAGTGCACCGAATATGATCACCGCCCACAACGGCAATTTGGCCACAGGTAGAAATTGTCTAAATCTGCCCTGTGGCATGCTAGTTTGCGCTAAGAGTAAGGTTGCGAGTTCCAGGAACGATCAGAGGGGCCCGATACTGCGTATGAACGGGCTTTAGGGGCGATCCTCCGCTCTTTATCTTCCGTGATCCACTTCCCGGTGTGTGAACGGTGGAGTGGGGTTGACATGTGAAAGCCACCGACTACACAGGTCGTGTCGGTGCAGCGTAACCACGTTTTTCGGAAGAAAATGAACAGAAAACAACAAATTCTTCCGATCAATTGAAGTACCAGAGAAGAGAAATGTTTGAGAGGAGACTGGAATGCTAATTGTTCTCGGTTCGAGAGAAGTGAGACGTCTTCATGTAACGGGCCGAAAAGAAGTAAGAGTCAAAAGAGGTCAGCAAATGTCATTGAAGCATACACAGTACCATGGGTTCCAAATGTAAAGATTGAGCGTAGTCGGAATTACGCTCTAGCCGCCAAGCCAACGGCCACTTGGAACCGTTGTGGTATGGCTTGCGAGTGTGTGGTAGCAGCGATAAGGTAGACTAGCGTTACCAAAGCGCCAAGCGATCTATCGATGGCAGTAGCCAGACGTGCGATGACGGTGGAAAGTTTGTTGGGACAGCGATGGACAAGGCATGTAAGCCGACAGTTGGACAGATGCTGCAGACGAGCGCGTAACGGCTGCCATGGCTTCACATGCCACAGACAGGCGTCTTGTAGCGATAGCAATGGGGATGCGAGGCTCGTGGCGTGGCCCAGAGGACCCCTCACGTGTGGAGAGGGTTCACGAGATGAGGGAGGAACCTCGGCATCGTCTTCGGCGAATCAATCTGGTTGAATGGTGCCTGGCACGCTAAGCCAGACCCTGCAGCAGAGGGGTGCACCACCCTTGAGAGACATTCCGACTTTTTGCGACGCTGCACCCACAACGTTTTCGAGCCATTGCGGGTCTCTGTGAAGTGCGCGTTTCTTTTGCTGGTGGCGGGGGAGAGTGCTCGCTGTGCAGAATGCCATGTCGGGTTTGATTCGGCGCCATGTCACACTATCGCCCCTCGTTCAAGCCCGGCAGGTGGCTACATGGTACCTGCGGGTTCCAACTCTACGCGAGGTGCTGGAATGCGGGTGATGATGGGCACAAACAAGCGGTCTGGTTGCCGTACTTGTGCCTAGCGAAGCGCCAAGCCAGCGGGTGAGAGGGATCTACTGAAAATTAGGATCCTGGACGGCATCGATGCAATTGTGAACAGGCGTGCTGGTGGATATGGAAGCGTGTTCCACGTCGCAAGAACAGTGCTGGCTGTGTCCAGTGCGGTGGCAAGCGATTGCAATAGGCAGAGTAATTTTTCCCAAGGTGGAGAGCGATGTACAAGTGTAGAGAGAAAGCGTGCTAGTGGGCTGAGCTGGAGCTGTCTGATTATCGAAGCGAAACGGCTTCTCGAACGCCCCTGGTCGTAGACTGCCCATTCCTACTTTGGCCGCATACCCAAAAGTCCAATTGACACCGCCTTGGAGTCCCTGGCTTAAATTCCCACCCATCCCGCACAGAATTCGCCCTCCTTCACCTGGTTACTCTCTCACTCGTCTCTGAGACTCTCACTCACTCACTTGCCCTCCCCGGCACTCTCAACATCTGCAGCCTGCCCTGCATCTCAACAGTTGATAGCCCTTTGGTGCTGCAACTGCTCAGGCTTGCTCCCCACCGCAAACCTTCTTTTTCCCCTCTACCACACCTCAATTCCTCACCACCATGGCAACCTCAACTGCCCGCGCCCAGCAGCCTGTGCTGAGGAGGAACCAGACAGCCGACTCGACTGTCAACTCAGTCTCGGCCTCGCCGTTTGACTCCCCAACCGGCTCAGCCTCCAACACCTCGCTTTCCTCGCTGGACGAGCAGCCACAGACCAAGAAGGCTAACGGAAAGCTTCTCGACACATACGGCAACGAATTCGTTATCCCCGACTACACCATCAAGGAGCTGCGCGATGCCATTCCCAAGCACTGCTTCGAACGCTCCGCCCTTCGTGGTCTGGGCTACGTTGCCCGCGACATCGCTTTGCTCGCCACTACCTTCTACCTGTTCCACAACTACGTGACCCCCGAGACGGTCCCCTCTATGCCCCTCCGCACCATGCTCTGGGCTGGATACACTGTCTTGCAGGGTTTCTTCGGCACTGGTCTGTGGGTCATGGCTCACGAGTGCGGCCACCAGGCATTCTCACCCTCCAAGGTGATCAATGACACCGTCGGCTGGTTCTGCCACTCCGCCCTCCTCGTCCCATACTTCTCGTGGAAGATCTCCCACGGCAAGCACCACAAGGCCACCGGCCACATGGAGCGCGACATGGTCTTCGTCCCCAAGACACGCGAGGTGTACGCTACCCGTGTCGGCAAGGCGGTCCACGAGATCTCCGAGCTGGCTGAAGAGACCCCCATCTACACCCTGCTCCACTCCATCGTCCAGCAGCTCGGTGGATGGCCCATGTACCTCGTCGCGAACGTCACCGGCCACAACAACCACGACCGCCAGATCGAGGGTAAGGGCAAGGGCAAGAAGAACGGCGTCTTCGGCGGTGTCAACCACTTCAACCCCTCCAGCCCCCTGTACGAGAAGCGCGACGAGCACCTCATCCTGCTCTCTGATCTCGGTATCGGTCTTACTGTCGCTGCTCTCACTGTCATCGGCAAGACCTACGGCTTCAACAACCTGCTCGTCTGGTACATCCTCCCTTACCTCTGGGTCAACCACTGGCTTGTGATGATCACCTTCTTGCAACACACCGACCCCACCCTCCCCCACTACGACGCCGACACCTGGACCTACACTCGCGGTGCCGCTGCTACCATTGACCGTGAGTTTGGCTTCATCGGACGTCATCTCCTCCACGGTATCGTCGAGACCCACGTTCTTCACCACTACATCTCCACCATCCCCTTCTACCACGCCGACGAAGCCACCGAGGCCATCAAGCCCGTCATGGGCCGTCACTACCGCTCTGACACCAAGGATGGTACCGTCGGTTTCCTCAAGGCTTTGTGGAAGAGTGCACGTTGGTGCCAATGGGTCGAGCCCAGCGTTGGTGCCGAGGGTGAGGGTAAGGGTGTTCTATTCTTCCGTAACCACAACGGTCTCGGTACGCCACCCCAGAAGCTCGATGCTTCAGGAGCCAAGAAGGCTTCCAAGATGGAGGTCGGCCCTGAGAGTGACAACGAGTAAGCGACGATTACGACTGTTTATGTTTTAGAGCGGATTATTCTGCCACGGCGTTCGGGAGCCGCCCGACGAGGCTAGGCACTTTGCTTCTCGGTGTGGCGCATGGACTAGACGGGCCAGTCAAACATGAGCCTGGTGTAGTTTGTAGATTTGTTGTAGCAGACCCTTGAGGGTTCGAACAAGTTCAAAAGTTCATCATCAACGAGAGATAAACATGCTTTTTGTGAATATTTGTGAATATTTGTGAATGTCAAGGAGTGAGATGGATAGCTTGGGTTTCCCCGCATATGGTGTCCGCGGTGACCCGGCGTAATCGTGACTATGGCAGAGCCGCATCTATGAACGGACCTGAGCAGCCTGTCGACGCACGTAGAGCTAGTTTTGCACATTTTAGTACCAGTGACGTCGTTTCTAGGTTGCTGTGGATGATAGCTCGTGCATCACTGCCAGATTGCAAGCTTAGTAACGTTGGAAAGCTCTGCTGCACGCACACACCGCCTAGACGCAGCATGGAGAATTCGACAGCATGAGAGGTATCACACGGCCAAAGAATGCGCATGGTGTAATCTTCAGCAAGAGCTCTATCGCATAGCAGCATCACAGCTTGTGGTGCGCTACCCAGGTACCCCAAGCTCCAGACACAAGCAGCTTCTTCAATCAAAATGTAGCGACGTTGGTAAGGAACAAGATATCATCAGAAAACCTCGTCTGCTCCAGCTACCTCGCACGGTGAGTCGTGCTATAGGGCACGTAATAGAGGATAGCTAGGTAGAGTGCCAAACTTTCCTACAATAAATTGTGCCCATAATGAGTGAAGAAGAGAAAGTCGGAGAGCGGCCGGCGAGAATTTTGTGGAAGGCGCGGGCGGCGCTTTGGCCAATCACGGGTGGATTATTCAAACGCCAAGCCATAGCGCTCCCATCGTGAACGTCAGTTGAAGCTCCGTAGCCACAAGTCCATCGCCATCGCTCAGAGCCTCACAATGCTGCGGCAACAGATGATCCGGTCGCTCAAGAGGCCTGCCTTCCGCGCAGCCCTCAATGGCAGCCGGGCCTTGAGTGCCTCGGCCCGCCGACCAGCAGACATTGAGCTCACTATCGGTTTGTGCCACTCCCCATTGCGGGCGGCGAGGTATGCTAACGGTCTTTGCAGATGGAAAGAAGGTGTCAGTCGAAGGTACGAGGCCGGAGTCAATCCCCTTGTGACGGCAGAAACAGTTCTAACGCGCTCTTACAGCCGGCTCGTCCCTCATCCAAGCCTGCGACCAGGCCGGAGTTACAGTCCCCCGATACTGCTACCACGAGAAGTTGATGATTGCTGGATCATGTCGTATGTGCTTGGTCGAGGTGGAGCGGGCCCCCAAGCCCGTCGCCTCTTGCGCATGGCCCGTACAGCCCGGCATGGTTGTCAAGACCGACTCTCCTCTCGTCCACAAGGCGCGTGAGGGTGTCATGGAGTTTCTGCTTGCCAACCACCCTCTTGACTGCCCCATTTGCGACCAGGGAGGCGAGTGCGATCTCCAAGATCAGTCAATGAGATACGGTGCCGACCGCGGACGCTTCCACGAGCTCGAGGGAAAGCGTGCGGTTGAGGACAAGAACGTTGGACCATTGGTCAAGGTAGCCTCTTACAATCTCTCTCATCGCAAGAAGCATGCTCACAAAAGTAGACCTCCATGAACAGGTGCATTCACTGCACACGTTGCGTCCGTTTCTCCAACGATATCGCTGGTGCACCCGAGTTTGGATCTTTCGGCCGTGGCAACAGCCTAGAAATCGGCACATACCTCGAAACCGCCCTCGACACCGAACTGTCTGGAAACGTCATCGATCTCTGCCCCGTCGGTGCTCTCACCTCCAAGCCCTACGCTTTCAAGGCCCGCCCATGGGAGTTGTACAAGACCGAGTCCATTGACGTTCTCGACGGCTTAGGTTCAAACATCCGCGTCGATTCCCGTGGTATCCAGGTCATGCGAGTTCTCCCCCGTCTCAACGACGACATCAACGAGGAATGGATCAACGACAAGACCCGTTTCGCCTGCGATGCTCTCAGCACACAGCGCCTGGTCAACCCACTCGTCCGTGTTGACGAACAGTTCCAGCCCGCAACCTGGGAGCAAGCGCTCGTCGAGATTGGCAACGCATACAAGAAGATCGCGCCCAAGGGTAACGAGTTCAAGGTTGTGGCTGGCCACCTTGTCGAGACCGAAGCGCTGGTCGCCATGAAGGATCTTGCCAACAAGCTCGGCTCAGACAACCTGGCTCTTGACCAGCCCGGTGGCAGCGAACCCATTGCGCACGGTATCGATGTCAGGTCGAACTACGCTTTCAACTCCAGGATTTACGGCGTTGAAGATGCTGACTACATCCTCCTTATTGGCTCCAACCCTCGATGGGAGGCTGCTGTCCTTAACGCTCGTATCAGGAAGCAATGGCTGAGAACAGATCTTGAGATCGGCTACGTTGGCGAGGACTTCCAAAGCACCTTTGAGTACGAGAAGCTTGGAAACAATGCCAACGACCTCAAGAGCGCTCTCTCCGGAGAGTTCGGAAAGAAGTTGGCCAACGCCAAGAAGCCCATGATCATCGTTGGCAGCGGTGTCACAGAACACGCTGATGCTAAGTCGATCTACGAGCAGGTCGGATCTTTCGTCGAGAAGAACAAGGACAAGTTCCTTACTGAGGAGTGGAACGGCTACAACATCCTGCAGCGAACCGCTTCCCGAACTGGTGCTTACGAGGTTGGTTTCACTGTTCCCTCGTCCGAGGTTGCCCAGACCAAGGCCAAGTTCGTCTGGCTTATGGGTGCGGATGAGATCAACGAGGCCGACATCCCCAAGGATGCTTTCGTTGTCTACCAAGGTCACCACGGTGACCGTGGCGCACAGTTTGCTGACGTTGTCCTACCTGGTGCCGCATACACCGAGAAGTCGGTCACATACGTCAACACTGAGGGCCGCGTGCAGATGACCCGTGCCGCTGTCGGCCTCCCTGGTGCTTCAAGAGAAGACTGGAAGATCGTACGCGCAGCATCAGAATATCTCGGTGCTGAGCTACCCTACGATGACGTTGAGCAACTGCGAGACCGCATGGAGGAGATCTCGCCTGCTCTCAGAAGATACGACCTTGTTGAGCCCGCGTCGTTACCTAGCCTGAGCAAGGTTCAGCTAGTAGACCAGAACCAGGGTGCACAAGCGACTGGTCAAGCGCTGAAGAACCCCATTGAGAACTTCTTCTTCACAGATGCTATCTCGAGAAAGTGAGTCACATCAACATTCCCCATCCCTCTTGTTACTTCATGCTAACAACTTCACAGCTCACCAACAATGGCCCGTTGCTCGGCGGCGAAGGCCCAGAACAACCCAAAGACAAACTTCATGGCACCTGGCGAGCCATACCCACAAGTCGGATATGGACCTCAGGTAGCAGCGGCAGCGAACGTATAAATGTGCATTCGGTCACGGTAGAATTTTGGGCTTTATTGGGATTGTAAATAAGCATTGTGAAACGTTTTTCTCGAATTTGGCACGTGACCTGTGGAACGTAGAGAATCAGAGCGCCATCCGCGCCAAATTGTTCAAATTTCTGTACCGTTGCAACCAGTGAACGATGAGGCATTTAAACTCAGAATACCAAGCCTTAACATGGCCTTGGACAAGCCGTCAGCCAAGGCGCTACGCGTGTGCGACCCACGTTCGCCTTCCTTGTGAACTCTCCAAGATGTCAACGCTCCCCATATTTCCACTTATATGACTGCCTATTCACCTCTTGCGAGATTCAAGCTTCTCGTCATTACGAACAAGCTTTCGCTGCTGTTTGTCTTGCGGTGAAGGTATTGCAGACCGCTACGATACCATTGCGCCGAATACCCCACAGATCAGCGGACCATCTGTACACAAACGACGGTTATCATCTTGAACGAAAAAGAAAAGGTTGCAGTCACTCTCGTCGGCTCCAAGAGCTTCGTGAAGCAGAAGAGATATTTGTTAAGCTTTGCCGTCAAGCCTCGCCGAGAATTCAGCAGAACCAGCGAGGAAGCCGACATAGCCGTTAGTCGGGTTTGAGGATCCGATCCAAGGACGGTGGCCAGTCATGCCTACCTTGGCAGTCAACAACTTTAACATTGTCTGTGCATCTTTGGGAGGGTTCATTACGCTTTTCGGGCTGGTTAGTTATTTGCTGAAAGAAAAGTATTACCTGAGCGAAGCTTGTAAGTCGATGTCCTCCGGTCCTGCCTCGGGACATATTGGGTAGGCTATTTCACAATCACAGCGTGTACTAACCAACTTGTTACAGTAATATCACTCATCGCTGGAGTCGTTTTCTCACCACATGCCACGAATTGGATCAAACCAGAGGAATATGCGTTGAATGATGTTGAAACTCTTGATACCATCACCCTTTACTTTACGCGCCTGGTGCTGGGTGTCCAACTTGTACTTGCGGGTGTGCAACTACCGTCAAAATACCTAAAGACAGAATGGAAGAGCCTGTCTTTGCTACTCGGTCCGGGTATGACGGTCATGTGGCTCGTGACCAGTCTACTCGTCTTCGCTTTGGTCCCACACATCAGCTTTCTACATGCGCTGGCTGTAGGCGCTTGTGTCACACCCACGGACCCTGTCTTGTCGAACTCCATCGTCAAAGGAAAGTTTGCAGATAAGAACATCCCGAAAGAATTACAGAAGATCATCGTAGCTGAATCCGGGGCGAATGATGGACTTGGTTACCCGTTCCTCTTTCTGCCGCTTTACCTCATCAAGCATATTGGTCACGGTGGGCAAGGTTCCGACAACAGTACCAGAGTTGCTGTCGGACTGTGGTTTGGCGAGACGTGGGGATATACCATCATACTAAGTGTCATTTATGGAGCTGCAGTGGGATGGATCGCAAAAGAATTGCTTCATTGGGCCGAAGAGCGGAAATACGTCGACCGCGAAAGTTTCTTGGTTTTTGCCATCACTCTGGCTGTAGGTCCCTAGATCTGGTCTGTTATGTTCGAATTTCACTGACATTGCATCCAGCTCTTCATTGTGGGTACATGCGGTATGATCGGTAGCGACGACGTGCTCGCCTGCTTCATCGCCGGCAATACGTTTACTTGGGATGACTGGTTCCGCCTCGAGACGATGGATGACTCTTTCCAACCAACCATCGATATGCTGCTCAATGTCTCTATATTCATCTGGTTCGGCGCCGTTTGCCCTTGGCGCCTCTTTGCGCATTCTCCAGTCGTCCCCATCTACCGACTCATCCCATTGGGTATCCTGGTATTGCTTCTCCGCCGGCCACCCATCATCTTCGCTATGCATAAACAGATCCACCAGATCGAGCAAAGGCGTCAAGCACTCTTTGTAGGCTTCTTCGGTCCGATTGGTGTGAGCGCCATCTTCTACCTATACATCAGCCTCGAGTTTCTGGCTGAGATCAAGGTCGACGGTGAAGTCAGAGAAGATGCAGCATTTCTGATGGAAGTCATGAACGTGGTCATCTGGTTCCTGGTAATCTGCTCAGTCGTAAGTTCGCTTTTCTCTTCAATACTCTAGTATTCCTTCTGACGTCGACTAGGTCGTCCACGGTCTCTCCATTCCGTTAGGCAAACTCGGCTTTTTCATTCCCCGCACCCTCAGTACAGCGCTCTCCTTTGCTCGTACTGGATCTACCTCTGCCGACGAACCCGAACCAGCTTTCCACATCGAAGGTACCGATGGCCCTACAACTGATGCTGAAGTGCGTTTACGCCGCCGTCCTGGCTGGTCGCGCAACGGCGGCGATTCCCTGCCCAACCGAGTTGTACGCATTGGCAGGACTTTGATCAGTTCGGGGACTACCTCGGCAAGTACATCAAGAGCACCTAGTTCGGCACGCGCACCTAGCCAGATGCCATTGCCTATGGGCAATGTCAGTACCGCGGCAAGGGATGGCGAGGACTCGCGAGTAGATGGTGGAGCCAATAGTAATGTGCCGGGTGCAGATGAGGGCGTCATCCCTGGACGTACGATTCGTTTCCATGATGAGCAACAGAAGGCCAAGATTGCGGAAGACTAGTAGCAAGTGGATAGGTGAAGTTTTTGATTTTACTGATATAAAATTATGTATGCTTTTGCATGTCGAGCTGCATTAAGCATATATCTAGCATCTTAATAGCGAGATTGAGAGAATGCATACAAGAAAGAAACTAGACAGATACAGAAATAATAAGCTATACCCTGCAGCCTATAGACTGCATTATCTTCTAATAAGAAAACTTACAAAGATTAGCAGTATTGTAGTCTTCTAGTAGCTCTGAATATGCTCTTTTATAGTAGGAACGAGCATTCTTAAAGGGAAAGTTTGTTTTTTCTCTTTGATACAGTAGCTATGCTGCTCAAAAGACATCGTCAAGAAGGTGGTTCTACTATGGTACTAGCCTAAAATTCTTCTTCATCATCTTCCCTAGCCAGAGCCTTCTTCTCAGCCAACTCCCTAATCTTCTCCCCAAGCATCTCACGCCCATACCTACTCGCTACTTTACCTGCGAGGTCCAGCATCTTGCCATTTGCATCCCTCATCAGACTAACAATCTCCAAAGCCTTCATGCCATGGTCCTCACCCGCCAGACATTCCAAGCCGAGCAACTGGAGCAACGCACGGTCAATCGCCACTTCCAGCGTGCTCAGTGCGGATTTCTGAGATGCTGTGGGACGGGTGTGCAGCAGTGTTGAAGAAAGTTGTGAATGCAACGTCGAGGCAAGGATAAAGGCTTGTTCATGATCTTGCTGCTTTTCCTCGTTACTCTGCGGCTTATCGTCATCGTCGTCTTCATCTTCCATGTCACTCTCCTCGCCTCTCTTATTCTTCTTGCTCTTGGCCTTGTCGACTACACTTGTGAGTGGGATTTCGAAGCCAAATTCGGAGAGATGCGGAACGGGAGCTGAAGGGTATTGTTCTCGCCCCTTGATGATCATGCAGTGGAATTTCGCGCCTGTACCATCAGAGGATGTGGGTGATGAGGCAACACCGACGGGCCAGTATGATTCTTCTTTTCCACCACCAGCACGTCGCGAGAGGAGCTTTGTGTCGAGCATAGGTACCCATCGGGCTTGACCAGTATTTCTCCAGCCAAGGAGGGTCAGCAAGACGCCGTCAGAGTCATAGATGTACGGGTCACCTTCCACAGAGAAGAAGACTGAGGTTAGCGTTGTGCCAGGAGGTAGAGCGAGGATGTCAGAGTCCTGGTACACGATGTCGTGCTTGATATTCTCGATGGTGTAGAGGAGTTGTGTGCTAAGGTCGTTCTGAATGGGTCCGTTTCCAATGGTCAGGATGTAATCGCGCCACGCCGCACAGGTAACTGCTGGCGAGCTCTTTTGCCTGTAGACGCGTACCGGCAGGCCGAAGAGAGAATATATGCGCACGTAGTTCGCCGACGTAGTTACGCAGACATATGAGTCCGACAATGCAATGGCGGTGACCGACTCCCCAGTCGGGAGGTTCGTCCGCCACTCGGTTCTTGTCGTCCAGGTCTCATGCGGCCGGTAGTATATGATCGCAGGGTTACCGTCCCCAGTGCTGTTAGGCTGGCAGGCAAACAGTGTGCCATTCTCGTTGAGGCAGGATTTGTCATATAGGAAGATGTCGGTGAAGTGGAAGTTGCGGAATGTGTGCTCGTCGTAGAACTTGACACTCACTGTATGGTGTTTCCCTTCCTGTTCCACAGTCTCGACGTAGCCAGTCAAAGAACAGCAGAGCAACCGACGATTGCCACGCCATGGTGTACTGCCTGGTTGAAAGGGCTCGTGGACTTGAGGACGGAATAGGGCAGAGCTGTATGCGCGGCGTTTGGAGGCTGGTTCTACGCCGCTGGTAAGATGTCCATTCGGACGTTTCTTCGCTGCCGTGACTGCGGGGGCGTACCCAGCACCATCGTCGTCGATAACAAAATCCTCCATCTCTTCGTCCCCATCCACTTGGGCTTCGTCATCTTGGAATTCAGGGCCCAAGATATCCTCTAGAGAATCTGGTGTCCCGCTTCTTTGCCTTGGCCGTCCGGGAAGAGTCTGCACATTGCCATTTGTGAGCTTCGCTGGTTGCGGAACACCAGCTCGGCCTTCTGACGGGTCGTGGAAGAAAGGCGCGGAAACGGTAGGTTTCTGTAGTAGAGGAAGATGTTCGTCGGGCACGAGGTCGGTATGTATGAAGAGTTCGCCTTCGTTGTTGGTGTATGAGAGAATGTTCTCTGTTGGATGCCATGCCATAGCCAGGATAGTAGCTTTGACATCGTCAAGCTTCTTGAGTTGCTTCTGTGTCTTGGTATCCCAGAGGCATATGCTCAGGTCGCTCGAGGTAGTCGCCAGTAAGGCTCCGTTAGGTGACCATGCCGCTGCCGTGATATCAGCTGTATGACCCGTCTTGAACACTCGCTGTCTCTCCCAATCAGCCGTTGACATGACCTGTATTTGACGCATGGCCGTGGGTGTAGCGAACGCTCGGCCATCTGGATGCCAGAGGACTTTGGAACTGGTCTCCGCATCTGCCTCTAAGCTTTTGATCATTCCCTCTACCTTGTTGACCATTTCAGGCTCATCGCCATCCAGCTTGTACATGTAGAGGTGACCGTCGGTGCAAGAAACGGCGAGTTGTGTTCCGGTCTTGTCAAAGGAAACATGCTTTACGGCTCGTGGCTGTTCACGCAGTGTTTTCATGCTCTTGTCTTTGGTGTTTACGAGATTAACGACGAGTTCACTGTGACTGTTAGTGACAGAGGCGCATAGCTGAAGCCATATACATACTCGCTCGCAACAGCGATCCAGTTCCCGTCCGGACTAAGAGCAACGTCTCGTACCGGCAACGTGGTCCTCACCAGTATCTCTTCGAACTTCCCATTCTCTAGCGAGAACCTGCTCACTGTGCCGTCCTCTGAGCCTGTGATAAAGTAACCATTCTACGTGGAGAATCAGTGTATTGCCTCAACCCCGACCGTGCGATACCACGTACACCAGCAACCACAGCGGTGTTGTTCTCCTGACATTCATCCACAGTGACCGGTTCATCGTCGGATCCAGTAGTGAAGACGCGGCAGTAGTTATCGACTCCGGCTGTGACGAGTTTCTTTCCGTTCGGTGTGTATGCGAGGTAGGTTGCGCCGGGGGCATCTGAAAACTTCCATTAGCGTGACGTATCTAGACCATGGATCTAGTTTACTTACGAGCCTGTCGAGCACGTAAGCGCTGTGTTGTAGCCATTGTGGTATTGAGTGATGGTTGCTACTCGGGAAGTTCACCGCGTTTGGGTCGACGCGACCGCGTAAAGTGGGTGAGGCTAGCGCGCTTTCGAGGCGCATCCCCGCCGTGCTCCATCATCTCTACCATCACGATGCACTACCCGCGACAGGACCATGCCTGATGAGCATTTAGTATCTACTGATTCCGCACAGCTCGAATCACCTTGAAAGCTCGAATCACCAAGTGTGTATCTATGTCACTCATGCCGAGTTCGTGGCTGTCTCACGTGTGCACCTTCCGATTCTTAAAAAAACATAGAAACTACAATACTACTAATTTTTATAGGTTTTCTTATTAGGGGACAGTATAAACTGTAAGTTAGAGCTTGTTATTTCTGTATCTGTCTGTTTTCCCCTCGCATGCGATACCTGCTTATTATTCCTCAAGAGTCTTTCGTAAACTCTGAATGTTGTCGCCACTTCTCTCCAAATTTGAAGATCGACATCGGAATGATTGTCAAAGATAGGCTCAACGCGCCCAGGATGCTGAAACCCAATCCATATCCGAGAGCATCAGACAGTGGCCCGGTGGTCAGTGGCAGGAAAGTACCCATGAGACATCTGGTGACAATGACGCCAGTCATAGCCGAAGCAGAGTACATGCCACAAGCGTCAACGACGTAAGCAGATAAAGGTATGACTGTAAGAAGGAGCGAGAATCCCATGAGGGCGACAGAGGCAAGAAGCAAGAGTACAGGGAGACGATACTCAGCGATCCAGCCATACGCTGTTACGGAGAAGGGCAGCAGGATCGCACCGATAATGGAGAGAGGAAGGCGATACTCGGGCTTTCCTTTTGCACCATCTGGACCACGAAGCTTGACATATATCCTATCGAGTGTGAAGTTGCAGACTAGGACACTGCAGAAAGATCCAACGCCTGGACGTTCATTAGCTACTGCGATGAAAAGTATCTGGGGGCCACTTACTGAATGAGATGAATGTAGTACCAATCATGGCAAGTTTGAAATCATACTTCTCGATCAAAATAATCGGTAGTGAGACACTGACGACGTAGAAGAAGCTGAACGCTACGGAAGCGAACAAAGAGAGAAGCATGAGTACGGTCGACCCGAACAGTACCGCGAAGGGCCGGGTCATCGAGTGCCATAGCTTCGCTAGATGCTCATGCGTAGTCTTGGATTCGGAGATTTCTCCGGTTTCCTGCATCGTCTTTGCTGCTCTCCTCCTCAAGATAGTCATCTTGTAGGTCTCTCTGAAGTAGACAAGGAACAGGACCTCGCACACAATGGCCAATGCCGCGGCAATGGTCAACATGCGACGCCATCCTAGCGTCTGCGCGATTGCGCCCGAGATGGCAGGGCCGATGGCCCCTCCAATTAATGGTGCAAGCATAACCAGAGACATTGCGGAACCACGTTCTTCGCTCTCGAAAATGTCTCCAATGATCGCTGGGTTGAGAACATTTGAGGCGACGCACAGGCCCGTGAGCATCCTAGCAGCAATGAAAACGCCGCTGTTCTGGCTTAATACTGCTAGAATAGTTGCAGCGATGAATCCGATGTTACAAGCGTTGAAAACAGGATATCTTCCAAAGATTTCTGACATTGGTGCGATGAGCAGAGGTCCGGCAGCTTCTCCGAGTTCCCAGATAGTAACGAGTAAGGCGCTGTTTGCAGAGCTTGAGTGCTTCCCATCGAGATCCTCAACAATCGTGCTAGCCACCGGCACAACGCCGATGCAAGTGAACGTGCTGCGAACGTAGTCAGTCTCCATGCTTTCGTGACGGCCACAATTCTGATCGGATGTGCATACACTGTAAATGCCATCAGGGCAAGCAAAAAGACGTTTCCCCATTTAAACGTTTTCGACCAATTCCTAGGGTTTTCAGGGTCCAAAGGTTCAAAATCAAGCGCGTCATTCCCAGCTTCTTCACCATCGCGCTCCTGTTGAATACTTTCGTACTCGTGTGATATAATTCTGAGCAGAGGCTGCTCTTCGTCCGCAAATACCATTGCGTTTGCTTTCCAGAGAAGTTCAAGATGAGATTGTTGCTAGGTTTACCAGGCCCAGGAACTTTTTTTACAGGACCAGGCGGCGTATTGTGACTAATGAACGCCCTAAGGCGTGTTTAGGTATGGGGTGCATTTTTAGTGTCGGTCGACTGTGACAGCGGAGAAGCTCGCATGTGTTGAGCAGTCCAAGTCCGTGCATCATGTACCTAGGTATGTATCTGGGCTCGTATGTGTGGCGTGATTGGCCGGTACATAATTATCCCGCCACCTTACAATGACATTGGACCTGTCTCATATTGAGATACAGTCAAGACAATTGCACACGACTCTTTGATTTACCATGACTGTAGCTGTATTGGGGATTTCATACTTCTTCAATGTCTCTCAAATAATTCCTGGCCCTACTCAACTACGATTATGACTCCATCACTCAAACCACGCCAACAACTCCCTTTTCTCCAACCTCCCTCCTTGCAATATCCTCCACATCCACAACCGTCCCCTCCCGAGCACTCCTCTCCAACTCCTCCCTTTTGATCGCACACTTCGCACTATATGTCGCCTGGTCTCTTTTACACTCCCTTTCCCAGAGGAAGTTCTCGCCCCAGCAGGACACGCCAACCAACTCCAACACCAGCACAGACGCAACCAAGCCCGTAGTCGTTGCTATCAACTGCAGACTATCGAGGTGCGCAAGAGGCAGAGTTATTATGACTATAGACACACAAACACGGTAAGCGAGACGAACAGGTTTGCGGAGGCGTTGATTGGGGATCGTGCGATGAACATGTGTTGCAGAGATGATAGCAAGACAGAGGAGAGATATGCCCAGACCGCCGCAGTAGAACCATGCTAAGCCCTCTGAGATGTGGTCTTCGGAACGGGAGACGAAAGTTTCGGATAAGGAGTCGAGAGGTGCTGAAGATATGTCGTGAGCACGAACTAGGATGCCGAGGGCCGACGCAGATAGGACGAAAGACATGACGAAGGGAAGGTGGACGGAGAACCATGTCAATGCTTGTGATAATTAGCGGCGTCGCCAGAGAAAGATAGGTTGGATCGTGGGAAAGATCAGCATCTCACTTACCAGAGTATACATGCCTCCGAATCGCATGCGTGTGCAGATTGAAAGAGTCAATCTCAAAGTAAATCCAGTTGAAAACAAAAGCCTGTATAAGTCCCAAGACAGCTTTGCCGAAGAAAGCGTTAATCCCCATCTCAACATTGCTCTGGTACAACAGACCCAGCACGCAAGATCCAAAGACTAGCGTGACAAACGCGTTCGTACGCTCAATTCGATGCTCGATGTTCGTCGCTGGGAAGAATTCCAGACTTCTCTTAATCCAATCGGGGACGAACTTGGATACTGGCGATCCAGGCCGCTGAAGCAGCATCATGCTAAATTGGCCAAACAGGTCAAACATGATAGCCGTCCAGATGAGTCCCTGTCTTGCTGGCTCCTCAACATGTATACTGCCAATCCATAGTGCCGCGGGAATGAGCATGATAATCCCATTGCCGAGCATGGTTCCTCTGACCATGGGAATGATCCACGCGTACCAAAGGAAGCTCGTTGCTACAAATAACCTGGCTGCCAGATAGAACGCTACGAGTGGCGCGTATGTCCTCTCCCATGCTTCAACCATATTTGTTGTGAACCCCAATAGGCAAGTGAGCAGGAAAAGCACTGAAAGCCGCCTCACAACGTCGTCGCTATCGAACCACGAAACCAGGACACCAATATCTGTCCAAAATTTCCATCCCATGATGAAGGTGATGGAAAACCGGAGCAGAGACTGGCCTGTTGGGTGTTCAGCCGCAGAATCACCGGTGATGGCGATAATCCCCACGTAGAAGAGGTCGATGAATAGTTCATACGAGGCGACTTCTTGGGCTTCTTTTGCGCGCCACAAAAGACCTTTGTGGAAGTACTGGCGTACTATGGGCTTTTGGTAGAGACGGATGCTGGCTCCGTGGTGGCGGTCTGCATGCCATGTTTCTTTGTCGAATGAGAAGGAAGAGGCAGATGAGTCTGTAGGGTCTGCTGTGTTGAAGTCTTCTTTGGTGCGAAGATGGGCCGAGTAACCGTATTTGGAAAAGTTGGCATCCAATTGCACAGCGTGTGAGGTTAGCATGTGGAGTTCGGTAGATAGGGCGTCAAGATCGCGTATTACACGCTCAAATTCTTGGGCTAGGTCCCCGTGGTCCTGATGGAGTTGGCGGCGGCGCGCTGTGTGGTGGGCGTGTGTATGGCGGAGTGCTTCAATCTGCGACATGTGATTAGGCATCTATTGCTGTCGAGGAATGGTTTCCAATCTCTATCCACTAAGACTTACATGTTCAGGAGATCCATGAACGACGAGATCGAAATCTTCCTTCTCCTCCGCAGCGCTGAGTTTCCTCCTCATGTGGTTTGCTTCATCGGGCGAACTCGCAATGTGTACTTTTCTTCCATCGGGTCTGAGGAAATGTCTCAATCTCTTGCCTGTGTGGTGACCGTGATGGGAATGATGATGCTGGTGAGATTGGTTCTCTGCTGTCGTGCCTGCTGGCGTGTCGGTGCCAGTATGTGGAGTATCTGCCATCTTATGAAGGGAATTCGTATCTTCTAGGTTGTCCTCCCAAAATGACACCTAGTTACATGCAACCTCAAAGGCACTTCTGGTACCTTACGCTAGATATCTATTGAGATAGTAGTAGTGTATACCTTTGTAGGGTACAACTTGATAAAACGAGCTTCTTCACGCTTACCACGAGGCGGAAGGAACCCTAGGGCAGTCAAATCGAACGACAAGAGAAAATCAACCCAGCGGGACTATATAGACACCGCGCCGAAAGTTTAATGATGCTGCCTCATTGGCACGGATGGCTGATGCTTGCCTGTATCGGGGCTAACGACTACCCGATTGGCTAGGATGTGTACCAAGAGCGTGAATAAGCAATCACCACGCTTGGGTAAGCTGCGGGGCGGAAGCCGATTAAGAGTGTTTTGCTGTTTCGTATAGCAGCTTGGACATCTAGCAAGAAGCCTCTGTGAGACAAAATGCTTCGAGTCTTGCGTAGGCGGTCCAGCTTACTAGTATAGCCCCGGGAAGATTAGTCAACGCTCATGCATTAGGGTGGCTGTTGGCTAGGCAAATGAGTAGACTTCATGTGAAACATGGTTTCCCCTATACTGTAGATTTGTCCCGTAGGTCAAGAAAACAGACCTGAGGTGATGATAGTGTGTATTGCTCGCTAGAAATGTACGAACGTACTCTGCCTCGGACCATCTAAGCGCTTTGCTGCTTTCCGAAGCCATGCGTATCCGCCATCTATCGTTTCTTGGCTTGCCCGGCAGGGCTCTGTGTACGCGCGCTCGTGCTGCCCGAATCCGTCTTGCCCGCCATCCACGAAGCAAGGTCGAAGTTCTGTAGCTGCTGTGCGGTATTGGTGGAGCCGGAGCCGAGGACGCCTTGCTTTTGCATCTCTTCGAATTCTTCCTTCATCTCGGGATCCACTACATGATTGTCAGTAGGTGTCTGCATATAATGAACATTCCAGAGACTTACTGTTCTCCATCAACTTGGGCATGCCGAAGATAAGGCCCATGGAGACAACGGCCATAAGAATCATGGGGTTCTTCAAGAATGACAAGGGCGAGACTGGAGTATGTTAGCAAGGTTGCCGAGCAGCACGTGGTCACAAATGCCGACTTACAGCCCTGTCTCTCCTGGTAGAAGTACTTGGTTCCCACCGGGCGGGCCTCGACCACCAAGCCATTTCCCCCCTCACCGCGACTCTCTCCCTTGTTTTCCCATTCATTGCCCAAGAAGGTTTGCCATGCCCTGATCATCTCCTTCTTCTCCCCGCTGCCCTCAACCGTCTCCTCCACGGTGACATCAATCCTCAGTGGCTCGAAGGCATAGTCGCGGCAATGCACAGTAGCCAGGTAGCTGCCGGCGCTCACGTTGTTGAAGTTGAATGTGTTGGAGCGCGTGAGGTAGGCGTCGATGGGCGGGCCAGAAGACTGGAGCGTTGCATGCGTCGTCGAGGGGAGGGTAGACGGGTTGACCAGGACCGTGTTTGGGATTTGAAGGAGCAGCCGTGCAGCGCTTGTGAGGGTCGCAAACGAGGACAGTGAGGCGAGTGAAGTCTTCATTGTCGCGTGGGTTGAGCGGGTCGTTGGGTTGGCGATGTTGCCCTGCTGGTGGGCGTCCGCTCAATGCGCGAGAACCTCCGCGCACGGACCTACCTACGTACGTATGCGAAGTACTACTCTCTAGAGGGCCTGATTTGGTCACTTAGGTCCCGCGTTTAGTATGCCCGTGTAGTAATGATGCTCGTCTTCTCGACAATAGTGCAACATTCATCGTGGTTTTGATTAACATCCTTCTTCCCACCTGATCATCCTTTCATCGAATTGATCACCATATGTGGTCAGAAAGGGATAGAAAATAATCGAGTCACCGCGTAGTTCGCTGCTCCGGATTATCGGCAGGGAACGACTCTGCCAAGCTTCCCCCGCACCCACATCAAGCTTGAGAAGCATCGTTGCTGTCTTGTATGCCAACATCTAGCTCATCTCCGCGCTGATCCCATCGATCTTGAACTGGAACCTCCTGATGTCGTTGTCTTATGCACCGAACGGCCGAACGGCTCCATACCATCCCACGTATGCAAGGCATGTATTCATGCAGGGTGTCAGATCCTCCTAGTACACCGGGTTGGAGTTGAGGGCTCGAATCCGCAGGATCGTCATACCTGCATCGAATTCATATATAGGTGTGAACGAAGCTTAAGGACGGAACTCGTACTCCCTCTGTTCAACTCCATTAATTGTCAACATGCAATCCAAGCTGTACCTCTTTTCAGTGTTTGCCGCATTCGCTGCGGCATCCACGACTAACAGCCACCATCTCCCCAAGCGGCCAAGCATTATACCTGCCCCGTATGACTCTGGAAAACCAATGCCGTGTTCACCGGCACGAGAACCCAAACGCTTCTGTTTTGTTCAGCCGGGGACAGCCCCAGACCGCGATGACGCAGCACACATCCTTGACTCTTTCCACAAGTGTAATGATGGCGGTACAGTCGTGCTCGATCAATCTTACCTTATAGGTTCACCTCTTGATCTGACCTTTCTCAAACACATTGACGTCGTCATCACTGGCGAAATACACTTCGACGCCAGTGACGTCTACTATTGGGCGGAGAATAGTTTCAAATACGACTTTCAGAATCAGTCTGTATACTGGAAATGGGGTGGTGAGGATGTGAATATTTACGGCGACCTGAGCAGGGAGAAGAGCGTTATCGATGGACATGGTCAACCTTATTGGGAGGAGATTCAGACCAACAAAAGTGTGAGTAGAGACTTTTTAACGGCGGTAGAGGTATCGTATCAAGGACATGTATCTGACGTTTGTTTATTGCAGTTGCGACGACCTATGTTGTTTGCCTTTGATGGGATGGAGGGAGCCACCATGTCAAATCTGCGCATGCGAAATTCACCACATGTAAGGACGAAACCACATCTTACATCTCGTGCTTATTGACATGTCATAGTGGTTCAACATCATCGCAAACAGTAGCGACATCCTCATCAGTAACATGGATCTGCGAGCAGAGGTAAAGTATCCATTAAAGTTGCTCAGCCACTGGACTCACAGCTATGCAGAGTCTGAACGACGTCGAGATCGCAAACTCCGATGGCTGGGATACTTACCGCTCAGATCGCGTCGTCATCCAAGACTCATACATCATCAACACTGATGGTAAGAATCTTGGACTTCCTCCGACACACCCATACTAACCATCACCAGACTGCGTTTCGTTCAAACCCAACAGCACCAACGTTGTCATTCAAGGCCTAGACTGCACGGGTTCCCACGGGATGAGTGTAGGCTCTCTGGGACAATACGCTAATGAGACTGATATTGTCGAGAACCTTTACATCTACAACGTCTCTCTCACAAATGCTAGCGACAGCGCGCGTATCAAAGTGTGGCCCGGTATTCAAACAAGCTTCCAGACGCTGCTGAACGGCGGCGGCGGTCTTGGACGCGTTAGGAATGTTACATACGACACATTTCGTGTTGATAACAACGACCGCGCGATTACAATCACGCAGTGCTATGGGCAAAAGAACCAAACGCTGTGTTCAGAACATCCGGTAAGCAGGGCAACAAACAAGTTGGAGATATCATATCGAAGCTGATGAACTCCACACAGGCAAATTTGACCATCTCCGATATTACTATCAAGAACATGTATGGAACTACATCTGGTAAAGAAGATCCCGAAGCAGGTACCTTGGTTTGCAGCGCGTCGGATGTGAGTGCAGTCATATTTAGATCAATCGTGAAGCAGTGCTGACGTATTTCATCGTAGCGATGCAGTAACATACGTGCCGAGAATATCACCGTCCAAGTACCTAGCCGAGAGCCGCCGGTTTATGAATGCAGAAACGTCGATCCGAACCTGCTGGATATCAGTTGTATGGCGACCAACGAGACAGAAAGGGACACCACGCAGGGCTGAGACGAAACTGGTATTGTACGAAACGAGATGATGCTACATTGGATGGTGTCACGAAGGCCTGTTGCTAATAGCAGCTTCACTCTACGCAAACGATCATCGCTTTGACGTAATTCATCTTTACACCGCGTCATAGTGCGTGCATATTGACGAGAGAGTTACAGTTTGGCAGAATTGATTGTGTCGTTCCAGGAATGTGAGGAAAGAAAACTAATAATGATAAGGAAAGAAAAACGCTAGTAAAGCACCATGAGCAGCAACCCTACTTCCCCAACCGAGATGTATGTAACTCACGTCTGAGAAGTGTGACGGGGTCCTCGACTCCCACTTCCTCAAGCCCACACTCTCTGAACACTAACCCTTGAACAACTCGAATCCAATGGCTCATTGGTCAGACCCATGTTCCACATCAGATATTTGGTACATATATACCAATTCGAGACCTTGATTGCCGGTATGGAGAAGGCAGGTGTGCTACCAGTGTCATTGAGACTGACGATAATGTACATGGTACTGTAGCTGCTGTTTCTTTGTTCAAAGTACACATTCTGATGACTCGCCTTCCCAGGTGCAAAGATCATACTCATAAGGTAAGGTGTGGCGGAATACTGGAAGGCCATGGCAGAAGACGCGATGCCCTCGCCGTTGTTGTATCTCAGGGGCCAATTGAGGATACCTGCTGTATCGTTTGCGTTTTGGGGGTTGTCGTGGTTGTAAGAGGTTGTGTTGTGGTAAAAGGTAGTGGCATAACGAGCTGGGTCGATGATCGTGTCGTTTGTCAGACAAAGGCTCTCCTCAGCTGCGCCTACATGACAAGGGCCGAGTGCGCGGCTAGTATTCATTAGTTTGAAATGTATTCAAGAGAGCTGAATCTTCTTACTTGTTATAGGCGGAGTTGTTGGTTGGTGATTTCAAGACGAGACGGAAGCCGTCTGACTGGACGTTGTAGGCTTGGGCATCCGCCTGAGCCAGCAAGGTCGCGAACGCTAGGATAGCGAATTTCATGATGAATATAGGTCTTGACGCTGAAATACGTGCTCGCGGCTGGATAGAAACTTACAGATGTTGATAGTGATGGTATCGAGGAAGAGTCGAGCAAGGAGGAAATGAGATATTGTAGAAAGGGCGGGCAACGTGTAATCTCATAGAAGCTGCTGCGCACACAAATCCCCAACAGGAAAACGCGATTCGGGAAACGACACATATGGATATGGTATGCGTGGCAGGTGCAGCCTGGAGACCTTCAAGAAATTTCTAGCCTTTGGAAGATTTGTGAAAACTATGCCAGGAGATCTTTGGGGTTTCTGCCAGAGGTAAGATCGGGCTGATATCTAAGGCTGGAAGATACCAACACATCCACACATGGGAGAAAATATTGGTGCCAAAGCATTCCAGATTATATTTGCTCTTGATGACCCTCCCACGTGTTGGGCAGGACATCTGTTCCATAGTTCGACAAGTACCCTGTGCGATATGCCTTTCCAGATTTGCCATTTGCGCAAACTCCCTCTGGCAACCACCACATGTCAGCCTAGCACTTCTAGCCGCATCTCGCTTTGGTTTACACGCGATTTCTGAATCTTTGTGCCTCTTTAATCCCGTCTTGTTGGCAAAGTTCAGACCACAGTCGTTGCAAGGGAATTGTGTGGTTTCCTTGGCTGTCTTCGCTCTTTTCCGTTGATACTCGTTAACGTGCTCTTGATTTTCTTCATTCCATTGCCACTTCACTTCCTTCCTATGCTCTTTGTTTTCCTCGTCCCAAATCTTCTGTGTCGCTCTAATCTCTTTCTTGTGCGTTGCTCTGTAAATGTCGTGCTTTGCTTTATTTCTTTTCTCTCGCTCTTCAAGTAGTTGAGCAATTTCTTCTGGCCTTATATCTTCCAAACTCCGACTCTCGTACATGCAGCTGTGTGAGTTGGCGCCATCGTATTCTTGGTCTTCTTTCTTCCGTAGTGCGAGGCCTTTGCAGTTATTCCAGGTTCCAATCATAGTCCAGAGTCGGAAGATGAGAGCGTGTTCAGCAGCAAGCACGAGAGTGCGAGATATATGGGGTATGGAATTGTTGTTGTAAAAGCTGAGGTCCTATCTACCAAGGAAGGGGCCTATTGTACCCGTGAGGTAATCACGTGACAGAGATTTTGTACAAACCCTGAAGTGACGAACTTTTCAACTCCTCTGAGCGACAGCACTAAGAGCACTCTTTCCTGCTACAAAAGAGCATATCAAGAGCTATATAGATGTAGATTCAAAGCCTAGAAGACTACAATACTGTTAATCTTTATAAATTTTCGTATGAGAAGATGATGTAGGCTGCAAGGTAAAGCTTGTTATATCTATACCTGTTCGGTTTTTCCCTCCTATACGGTGTAGCGAAGACTTATTTGCGATTGCTGATTCACGTAACTCACGTCAGTCGTACACATATCCAAGTCTTATCAAACAATCATGTGAAGGTGCCATTCGACAATTTATTGGCATTACTAAAGGTAGTAGTAACATAGAAAGAGGACAATTGATCCCAAATCGCTTCATGTATGGAGAAGAAGGTACGCTAGCAGCTCTCCTTGTAAACGCCGTAGCTCGCTATTGTCAACCTGGTGTTTGTCTCTTTTCAAAAGCGAGGCTTCGAACAAGAAACATTCCAATCAACAATGCAGAGCCATACTGCTCCTCACAACGCTACAGAGTACAGTAACAAGCCGTTTAGTACTCTGCCTCAACACCCTCATCGTCGCCGAGGCTGTCAGCGGCCACCTCTTCGTAGTCTCTTTCAAGGGCTGCGAGATCCTCACGTGCTTCGGAGAATTCACCCTCCTCCATACCCTCACCAACGTACCAGTGGACGAAGGCGCGCTTGCTGTACATGAGGTCGAACTTGTGCGAGAGAGCAGACCAGGCCTCGCTGATGGCGGTGGTGTTGGACAACATGCAGACGGCGCGGTTGACGGCGGCGAGGTCGCCGTTGGGGACCATCTGAGGAGGCTGGTAGCAGATACCAACCTTGAAACCAGTGGGGCACCAGTCGACGAACTGAACGGTACGCTTGGTCTTGACCTGGGCGATGGCAGCGTGGGTGTCCTTGGGGACAACGTCGCCACGGTACAACAGGCAGGTAGCCATGTACTTTCCGTTGCGAGGATCGCACTTGACCATCTGGTTGTTGGGCTCGAAGCAGGCGTTGGTGATCTCCATGACCGAGTTGGCCTCGTGGGCGGCCTTGGCAGCGGAGATGACGGGGGCATAGGCGACGAGAGGGAAGTGGATACGGGGGTAAGGGACCAAGTTGGTCTGGAACTCGTTCAGGTCGACGTTGAGGGAACCGTCGAATCGGAGCGAGGCGGTGATGGATGAGACGACTGAGTCATGTTAGCAGGCTGCATTTCTAAGCAAAAAGTTCTGAGAGCTTACCCTGAGCAATGAGACGGTTGAGGTTCTCGTAGTTGGGGCGCTCAATTCCGAGGTTCCTGCGGCAGATGTCGTAGATGGCCTCGTTGTCGACCATGAAGGAGCAGTCGGAGTGCTCAAGGGTGGTGTGGGTGGTGAGGATGGAGTTGTATGGCTCAACAACGGATGTGGCAACCTGGGGAGCTGGGTAGACACAGAACTCGAGCTTGCACTTCTTGCCGTAGTCGACGGACAGACGCTCCATCAACAGGGCACCGAAACCGGAACCAGTTCCTCCACCGAAGGAGTGGAAGACGAGGAAACCTTGCAGACCGGAGCAGTTGTCGGCAACGCGGCGGACCTTGTCGAGGACCTGGTCGATGAGCTCCTTTCCGACGGTGTAGTGACCACGGGCGTAGTTGTTTGAGGCATCCTCCTTGCCTGTGATCATCTGCTCGGGGTGGAAGAGGGAGCGGTAAGGGCCGGTGCGGACCTCGTCGACGACGTTGGGCTCAAGATCGGCGTAGATGGTACGGGGGACATACTTGCCCTGACCTGCGCAGAGTTAGTCTTCGGAAACGGCGCCTCGGGGCGGAATATGCGTACCAGTCTCGGAGAAGAAGGTGCTGAAGCCGTGGTCATCGTTCAGGGCCTTGCGCTCCTCGGTGAGGAAACCATCGGGCTGGATACCGTGCTCGAGGCAGTAAAGCTGCGAGGGCAAGTCAGTATAATCGCGCACTGGCGGTGAGGGACCCGCAGCCCCTTGTTTTGCCGTGCAGTGCAATGCAGTACAGAAGAAGGCGAAGGCGGGCGTGTCCTCGTCTTGTACTCACCTCCCAGCAAGAGTTTGCAATCTGGCAACCGGCCTGGCCGACTAGACGCGTGAAAGTCAGTATCAACAAATAGTCAGGGATGTCCCGCCCAGGCGGTCAAGGCGCGTATCAGCGTATAAGGCGACATACCGTTCAGACTGATGACTTCTCTCATGTTGGATTAGAAGCAGAGTAGTAATTTGGGTATCGGAATGCGGTCTCGGGGGTGGCTGGGCGAGGTTGAGGAGCTGCTGTCGGTGGGAGTGGAGCAGTGGGGGAGAGGTGCTGGTGTTGTCTGTGGAATCGAACTTTTAGGCTGTGCAGGCGCGGCCTAGCGCGGACAACGGCGCTAAGCAACACGTCCAATGCCGCTGCCTGGCCACTGCGTAGACATACACGACTCCAGACGACTCTGCCATCTGGACGGCTAACATTGCTGTTCCAATGCTACTGCTCTGGCCCACGTGAGGGACCATGAACTGCTTCCCACTCAGCTCCTCCCCATCCTCACGTGCTATCCGCCAAAGATGCGCCTCTCCGCCGCGCTGCTCTGCATCGTCTCACAGCTCTGGACGGTGAATGCCAACGTCGAGAAGACAATATTCCTCGGTCCCAAGCCTGTGACTCTCCCCAATGTCTGCTCCAGCTCCTATGACTGCGGTCTGAACTACTTGTCGCCTGACTCTACCATCCTCCCGATCCGTGTGCCCGTACAGTTTCCTACCGAGTTGGTGCCCCGCGGTCTCGAGTCCTGGTATCTGCTTCGCGACTTGGAAGAAGGGCGGAGGTACGAATTGCGCATCTGCTGGCCGGCAACTGTGAGTCCAATGCGCCTTCCCGTTGCATGTCGTGTGCATACATACGCGTTTGCTTGTACTGACATGCCCAGCAACCCACCGACTTCTGGCTCGACACTTATTCTGTCACTCAAATACTCGACACGCCTGAATTGACATCTTCGCTGGTACAATTTAACTCGGAGTTTCGACGCTACCTAGTCGACAACGACGACATCACCACCAAGGAAACACCGTCTGCAGCCCCAAAGTCGATGCTATTTCTACGCCTCCAGGCTGCAGCATCTTACTACTCGACCAATCGCACATTGATGGACTACCCGCCTCCAGTCGATGCAGATCTCAGTACGTCTCCTCGCATGTACAAGTCGCATAAAACCTAACAACCGCAGTACTCGATCCCTTTGTACTGAACGTCTTCCCTCAGTCACTCGCTCCCGTCGCCATATACATTACCGCGGTCGCTGTAGGAGCCTGGTTTCTCTCTGGTTACATCTACCGTTGGCTATTGTCAGTCGCTGCCGACGCACCTAGCAAACCGCACACCGATTGAGCAAACGGCGTCCGCCCTTGAAACCACAGCGCTGTTTCCATCTTGGTCATCTACCCTTCTGCACGCAAACATGTCTTCGGCCGCCGGGCCGCCTCCACCGCCTCCACCTCCGCCGCGCAAGCCATCCTTCAACGGTAACATCTGCGACAATCCGTTCGATCTTCTCCCCGCCGAATTGTTGCTTATAGTTTACGAGTATGTGGGTAGTGGTAATCTCATGAACCTCGCTCTGGCCATCTACCCTACCCTGGAGCAGCACAGAATTGTACCACAGCTTACAGCCAGCACGTACCTTAGCATAGTACGCGGGGCACAGGGTGCGACGGCGACGAGACGATCCCTAGTCCTACCACCACCTTTGGATAGGATACCCATGGAGATTTGGCTCGTTGTAGCTCGGGATCTAGAACCAATCGCTATTCTATCAATGATGGTGGCTCTCGGTAGATACCCGCGAGAGTCGATGACCCCAGAGACGGCAACGCGCATGAGATCATGGTGCCGTAGGTCAAAGAGAAAGGATGCATCGTGATTATGATTGACGAGGACATGGTAGTGTATGGTGACATGGACTTCACGGTACACATGTCGCTTGTTCCGGCTACATGGCTGTAGGTGGTCTAGCGTTGGAACGGGACAGTATAGCCTGACGAACAGCATACCTATGATACGAGAAATTTCCATAATTATGTACATTGGAATAAAGACGATCATGACAAACGCCACGCTATGCACCCAAGCCCAGTCCAGTCCAGCGCCAAACATGCATCGACATCTTCTCCGTCTACGCATCCCTAGGGAATTCATCCTCCAATCCAATAGTCACCTTGACATTCATGCTACCCAGTTCCTGAATCAGAAGCTTAGCAGCATATGGCATAGTGATCTTGCGAACTGCCTTTTCGCTTTCGCAGAGTTTACAGTAGCCGCTGTAGCCCATTTGGCCGCCTGTTGCATTGTTAGTAAAATATTGAGCATCGAAACATGGACAAGGCTTACACTTCTCGCAAACATCAACATTGTGCGCATCCGAACTGATCATCAATCGCTCAAGCAGCAGCTGAGAAGCACCGTATGCAATCAAACAATCACGTTCCATCTCACCCAGACGCAGTCCACCGTCCCTCGCACGACCTTCGGTAGGCTGTCTCGTCAAGATAGCACGCGGACCTCGAGCACGCGAGTGCATCTTATCCTGCACCATATGCTTGAGCTTCTGATAGTAGATCGGCCCAAAGAAGGTGTAGAACTGGTGTGCTTCTCCCGTGATACCACTCGTTAGGTAGTCTTTGCCAGTGTACGAGAAGCCCTTCTCCACAAGAATTTGTGACATGTCTTCAACCGTGGACCCACCAAACGCAGTTCCGTATTCGAGTGTGCCGTTGAGAACACCAGCTTTTCCGGAAAGCAGTTCCATCATCTTGCCGACCGTCATACGCGAGGGGAAACCGTGGGGGTTCATAATAATGTCAGGGCAGATGCCTTGGTCGTTGAAGGGCATGTCTTCTTGTTGGACGATGAGACCTGTCGTACCTTTTTGGCCGTGGCGCGAAGAAAACTTGTCGCCAAGTTCTGGGCGGCGGGTTTGTCGCATGAGGAGCTTGATCAGGGTGGTTCCTGCTTCATTCTCGGTGATGCATGCTTTGTCGATGTAGCTGCAGTCGGGCAACTTGTACTTGTCGGGCTTGTCTTTGTAAACGTTTGTTGCAGGTCCTGCGGTGTCCTGGGGAATGGATTTCAGGAGGTAAGCATCGCCAGCTTCAATGCGGGCACCGACTTGAGCGATACCGTCTTGACCGATGGCTTGGTGGCTGGAGTTGTCTACGTCTAGAGCGCCAGCATTGATGCGGTCAGAGGTACCGTTGGCATACGTCTTGAGAGGCGTGACGTGCTTCTTGAACACCTGGCAGCGACCGAAGCCGCGGTCGCAGGAGGCTTTGTTCAGAATGAGCGCATCCTCAATATCGTATCCGGAGTAGGACATGACTGCGACAGTTGCGTTTTGACCGGCAGGCAGTTTGTCGTACTTGGTGAGCTCGATAGTCCGTGTCTTGACCATAGGCTGTTGGGGGTAGACCATGAGATATAGCAGTGTATCTATTCTGTTGAACTGGTTGTAGGCGATGGCGCCAATAGCTTGCTTACCCATGGCGCATTGGTAAGTGTTACGAGGGGATTGATTGTGGTGAGGGTATGGGATAAGACCAGCGACAGCACCCAGGATGGTGAAGGGTTCAATCTCGAGATGTGTGGTGTGCTGGTTGATTTCGGTCTCTTTCAAAGCGATGTTCGTGTCGTTTTCTTCGTTTGTATCGAGATACTCGACTAGACCTCTGTGCAAGAAGTCTTCAAACTCCATTGTTCCCTTGCGAAGGGCCTTCAGGTACCTCGACGTAACTTTAGAGCGTTGGTTCTCAACAATAATCATTGGACGGCAAATTCGCCCTTCGTCCGTAGCGATGTGGACTTCGCAGTGGTCGTGGTCAATGTGAATGCTGGTGAACTCAGAGATGCGACCCATCCGCCTGAGTTTCCGGAAGCTGTTGAGGAATCGCTTTGGTGTATCGGTGACAGCGATAGGTGTACCGTTGAGACACACACTGTACACACCCTCCGAATGGATCTCTTCTCCTGTTTGCGAACAGATATCTTCAGCGCCTAGCATGAACACAATCTTGCGCACTGGATCGTCATCATCTTCGGTTGTGATATGTGTCATCAACGCCAAGTTCTTGACAAGACCGCAGGCTTCTCCTTCTGGGGTATCTGATGTGCAAAGCATACCAAATTGCGATGGCTGCAGCGCACGAGGACCGGAAACCTTACGCGTCTTTTCGAATTGTGAACTGATTCTCGTCATCATACCTAGCGCAGCAATATAACTCAGTCTGCTCAAGACGTGTGTAACACCAGCCCTCTCCATCTTGAAACGCTTCAAACTCCAGTTTCCAGTCGCAATGGCACGTTCGACACCCATGGTGATGTGGTTTTTGTGTACACTGAAGTGGGAAAAGGCGTCAAACTCTTGCGCTCGGACCGGCTTCTTCAGGACCTTGTCGATACTCAGCTTGAAGTCGTGGTTGAAACGCTTGAAGTGGTCCTCGAAGAGAAGCGACAACATCTGACCGGACAACTCAAGACGCTTGTTTCCGACATAATCACGGTCGTCCACTAACTTTGGGTCTTGCATGGCCATCAGAACTCTGCGCGCCATGAGGGCAACGTAAAGAGCCTTTGGTCGGTAGTTTGTGCCTTCGACTGGGACGTGGGGAAGTACGACGTTGGACAAACACTCAATAGCCTCCAAGTGATAGTTCCGGCTGCGAGACGTACCAAGCGGCTTCTTCACTAGTCGTACGCGATGGCCGATGTACTCAAGCGCTCGTTCCTGGGTGTGGATCTGTTCCCTTGCGCATGCCTCGAAGTTGATAGCAAAGTTGTCCTGATACGCGCTGTCCTCGCCGGCTATCATCAGCAGAATTTCCTTGTCGGAGTGTACGCCCAGTGCCTTCATTACGAATACGATCGGAATCTCTTCGGAGAGCGTGTTGTGTCGGAGGTACATGAGGCCCTTCTTCTGAATCACGTATGTCTTGGTTCGCCTTTCGTGCGTAGAACTCGTTACGCTGGCTTGCATGATACCCTTTGCGCTCTCAACGATGACTCGATTCTTGTTCAGCTGCTCTTGAACCAAGATGACCTTCTCTTGCCCTCGAGTAATGAAGTAGCCTCCTGGGTCTAGCGGGCACTCCTCCATGACTGCCATCTCGCGATCGTTCTTTCCTGCGAGCACACACTTGTTGCTCTTCAACATGATGGGCATTCGCCCAATTTTGATGCCCGTCCGCTTGACCTTGGCATTTCCGCGGGTGTATATAATGTCCACCACTATCGGCGCAGCATATGTCATGTCGCGCAACCGACATTCGTTGGGTGTAATGGTACTGCGGTGGTGTTCGAGGTCATCTTCTTCCTGTCGGTTCGGAGAAAGGACGCGAATGTCTGTGTACTCGAGGAGGAACTTGGGGTCGAAATCGCTACGGACAAAGCGGTTGGCCTTGATGATTTTCTTGAGTTCCACATCGACAAAGTGGTTGTACGAATCGACGTGCTGCTTGACGAGACCCTTGGTCTTCAGGAACGCCGGCAGTAGGTTCCATTTGTCGCGCGCAGTATTGATCGGGTCGGTCAGGCTCTTTCCGTAGTAGAACGGCTCGAGGAGGGCGGCGAACTCGTCTTTGGCATGAGTAAGCGGCGCCCGTCGCTTTCGTGTCGCTCCGGCCGATGTTGAAGCATCGGGATTGAGGTCGGTCGCATCATCGCCCGCTGTTGGCTGAGGGTTGGCACCCCCAGTATCTACATCCATATCGCCGTCAACTTTCTTTACCGCAGGCGCAGCAGTCGCAGCATTCGCCTTCACGGCCCCGCGCGGGGCAGCTTTGGGCTTCGCGACTTCCTAAACTCACGTTAATCCTTGGTCGCCGTTAAGCATAGAGCTCCATACCTTCTTGCCTACCATTTTTCTGGAACAGCAAGGCAGTCTGCGGAAGTTGAGGCGACGGATGCGTTAGTTAGAACAGCTGCTGCAACAATTTGGCGTTCGGCGAGTCAGAACTGCAGGTGGGTGGAGAATCAATACTAGCCAATCGGTAATCCGCAGTACATCCAGCCCTCTGCGCCGGGTGAGTGACCATCAAACACCTTAAAGACATACTCTAGTACTTTCTCTAGAGATCTCCGACACAATATGCACTATGCACATCTTAAACGTGCGATGTGGGTAGACCGCCAACTCCAGAGAATAACAAGCTTCTTTTATGTGAAAGTTCGTTCCTTCGAGTCGTGTCTTATCAACCATTTCATGATACTCACCAACACTGCACTAATACGAATAAAGCCGACTCAACGAACACAATGATAGGACAACATATTGCAAGTTGCGAATAACAGTAAGACGTTCAATTGATTGGCACCTGATTGCTACCAACGTGTTCCACTCAACAACCGCTATCCCTCCTAAGACCTTACTTCCAAGCCGAAAATTACCATTCGTACTTCCCAAGATCAAAACCGCCCTGAGCTGTCAGTCAGCTTCGAAACTACCATGTATACTCCTCAAGGTCATGAATTAGTAGGCACAGCCCCTCCTAGAAGGCATCACTAACATCCGCCTCTCCATTTATGTTTCGCAATGAACCCTCAGCAAGATCAACCCTCAGCTGGGCCGTTTCTGCCTCACGTTCAAGACTGTCCCATTCCCTGAGTTTCTGTCTCTTTGCGTCCTCTTTCTTATCAATCATCTCCCTCAGCTTTTGAGCCTCTGCCTCGAGCTTCAAGATCTTGCTCTTGTCGTACAGTTCAGGGGCTCTCTGACCCCCGGGAATCTCCTTGGGGAGGTCGGAAAGATGGTCTCGGAACCGCATTGTACGAGGGTAGGTCGTAGCAGTCGAGTTGTTAGACCCGCGGAACGAAGGAGCAAAAGGTGCCGCTCCACCAGGGCCGCTGCTGGAACCGCGTGGGCCAGATGGCGCACCGCCGTAGTAGCCTCCTCCTCGCGGACCTGCACCCCAAGACCCTCGTCGTGAGGATGGACCAGAAAAGTCTCCTCGTCCTTCGTATCCTCCAAACCCACCACGACCACCACCTCGCGGTCGTGTTGGCGCTGCTAGCACAGGGTTGTTGCCCCGAGGAAAGGCAGGAGGTTGTGATGCCAGGCTTGACGGGCCAGCGGGAGGCGAAATCGCAGGGGAGGGATAGCTCCGGCTGGAAGGCCCTGTTGGTGGAGCTCTGGCAAAGTTACTGTCACCATTGCGGTATGAAGAGGAAGATGGTCCAGTAGGCGGCGCAAAGTCCCTATCTCCGCGCGGTCCCGTAGGAGGGCTTTCCCGACGGCGTGGAGGCGAACGCTCTCGCTCGCGACTGTAGTCCCGTCCTCTGTCGGGGAGGCGCTCACGGAACGGCGATCGCGGTGCTGAGACGGGCTCTCGAGCTGGTCGGTCTTCTACCAGTGCAGCCCGGCTAGGATGGATAGGTGGCGGGGAAGAGCGACGAGACGTTGCCGCAGAATCCCTACCCGATGCATCATTTGAAGCGTAAGTCGGTCGCGCAGGCGAAGGGGACCTACGACTTCTCCAGGTATCCGCAGTGTAAGGGTCAGGACGGTCGCGCCTTGGAGAGGGCGAGCGGCGTCGGTAGTCGCGTGTGTCCCGAGTGTCGCGGGGAGGGGAGTAGCGGCGAGGAGGGGGGCTTCGAACAGATTAGCAAGTGAAATGGCATTGCGCTGGGCTCAGGACAAACCTGTTTACTCGAGAGCGCGGCTCTTCGTACCGGCTCGAACGGACAGGCGAACGCACGCCACGGCTCCTGGCCGGAGAAACATCGCGCTCTCTGGGCGGTGGAGACCTCTCGCGTGGACGTGGAGAGCGAGTGTACGAGTCGTACTGATCGCGATCTCGTCGCGGTGGCGGCGACCTTGCCCTGTAGTCATCCCGTCTAAGTTCATCCCTTCTAGGTTCGTCCCGTCGCGGTGAGAATGCTCGGCGAGGTGGTGATCGAGGACGTGCCCTCCAGTTGTCATCGCGACGTGGGCTTCGAGATCTTCTTCGGAAAGCTGGCGACCGACTGCGAGGACGCGACGAGCGGCCACCAGGAACATATGTATCAGCCGATGCTATACCGCGGCGAATGGGTGAGACACGGCGAGGAGGCGAACTGCGACGGGGAGGAGGTGAGCGTGCTCGATAGCTGTCGCCGCGTGGAGAGCGTGGACGTGGGCCAGGGGAACGAGGACGGTATGTGTTGGAGTACCTATCATCTCTATGTGGGTGTTAGTAGATGCGCTCGTATTAGATCCCGCGTGTCTGGTAGGGTATTTGCTCGTCGCAGCCTAGGCGACAACTGGTCTGGAGTCGACAAACCTTCGATCTCCTCGGTCTCTGTCTCGCTCACGATCCCTGTCCATCTCTGCAATCGAGGCGATATGTTTGGCCGATCGCAGCTAAGTAATACCAAGAGATGCGCTGGTAGAGATTAGTCGGGGTGGACAGCTAATAGCTACGATTGCTGCGTGGTGGTGGCTGCTCGTGTGTTAGGTCGCAAAAAGTGAAGTTCGGAGCCAAGCCCTGCGACTGGACGCGTTCCTTTGTCACGTGCCGGAAAGCGTCCACGCTTCAGCCGCTGCTCATTCACAGTATGCAAACAGCGAAAGTGTGTCTTACCCTAGTTGCGCGCCGGACATAAGATCGAAGACGAGGGTAGCGAGTGCGGGTGTGCGGTAAATCCAGCGTTGTGTAAGTGGCACTTCAAAGAAGATTTGATGTCTTCTTTCCCTTGCGTATCCCACCATCGCTTCGTCGTCTTTCCATGGCCAGCTAGGTATTGACATGGAAGCCCGCATCCAGCTCCTCAGTACGAACGTAGTCTTTCCGTGTCTATCTTTCAAACCTGAGGGTATGCCATCCCCAACTCACGCTTTCAGCTCGTGTCTTTCACATCCCTTGCTTTGTGTGTCGCATCCTTCGAGGCTTTTGTTACAGCGAGGCGTACTACCGCCTTCGCAGTCAGTATGCAATTCTTCCATCAGTCTTGTCCTTGAAATTGGAAAACTCTTCATCTTGATTATGTTCAACTGCGGTCAACCTTGGCTGCCGCATGTAACGCCGTATCCCAATGCTGAATATGCCGAAGCCCTACTGACCCTTGACATCCGTGACGCCCGCTCGCTCATAGAGCTCTTGAGAATGCAACCCGTAATCTTTTGTACAAAACACATGTCCTCTACGGACTCTTAATCAACAGACCTAGCGCTTGGTCTTTCGCTCATCCTCCCTCTTCGCACGCTTCCTGCTCTCCTGATTGATCATGTCCGCCAAGTCATCTTGATCGATACTCTGCCATTGCCCTTGTGCTTCGGCTCTTTGCCTTGACTCATACTCTTTCTTTAGCGCGTCCTTGTCAAGCTTATCGCTATCTGCCAACTGATCAACGTCGACAGAGACGTCAATGTCCCCAGCCTTGCGCTTCCTCTGTGCGTTGCCGAGCGCATCGCGCCTAGCTGCGTCAAGATCATAAGCGTGCTCGCCGCCGAAAAACCCAGTCGCCGAAATATTCTTTTCGGGAAGCACTGTACCTGCGCTGCGTGGGATGCCCGGCTCTTCCGTCTCGATTCCTTTCCGCTGCTTTCGGAGCTGGAATTCTCCACCGATACTCTCTGCACCTCCAATCTCTGATGGCATGGCGGATGCTGTTGTCATGGATGTCTGAATACCAGACGCGTCTTCGTCACCCCCCTCCTCGTCCTCGTCCTCATCCTCCTCTTCTTCGTCACTTTCCTCGTCTTCGCTCTCGCCCTCGGCTCGTAGTGCTCCCCAGATACCGCGCTCTACAGGCTCACCGACGTGTGTTGGTTGCTGCTGCTCTTCCAATATGGCTGTCCCGTAAAGATCGCCTCCAAACTGTGGCTTACCAGCATCGTCGATAGGGGGTTTGCCCCACTGGCCAGGCTGGAAACCCCAAGAAGAGCCAGGTGGGATAGGTGCGTTTACACCAGGGACGCGCATGTTGGGGTAGGATGGCGGAGGGCCGAAGCGCTGCATGTTGATGAGCCAAGGTGGCGGATGGCCTGGAGCCATTCCGAGTGCCTCTCGGAGCTCCTCACTCAGCTCACCAGGCTTGAGGTTCACCAGATTGGTCTCGAACTCCTTGCCCTCGTAGTAGACTTCGCCATATCGCGTCAACTCTGGCTTCGTTTGTCGCCTGAAGAAGGCATCGTATAGTTTCGCGTAGTCGATATCGAGCTTGCCGAGCTTTCCTTGCACGCGTTCTCGCTGCTTTTGCCTCATCGTCATGTCTGCTTGCTTCTCTAAAACCGCATCTCGCATCTCTGCAATGCCTGTCTCCTGGATAAACTTGGGCAGGGCAAACGGAGGCTTCTCGATACCACGTTTCGACGAGAGATATTCGCGTTTGAGCGACCAGTGGGTCGGAACTGGTATGACATTCTTCGCTCCCTTGATCGAGATTAGCAACTGGGGATTGGAAGATGACACATCCGTCCACTCGACCAACTCAGGCCTGGGAACCAACGACTTGAGTTGTGCGACCGACAACTTGTTCATCTGCTTCCTCTGCTTCTTGGAAAGCTTGGGCTTCCCATCGTCCTCGTCCTCGTCAGGGATGTCGTCGTCGGAGAGATAGATTTCTGGCTTCTCCTCGTCCTTGGTCGCCGCCTCCTCCTCTGTCGGCTCCCTGAACTTTTCGAATACGCTCTTGTATTCTTCAAACACGGGGTCGTCAAGGTCGTATTGGTTTGCGATATCGTCAACGGTGAGAAGGTTCGCGGGCTTGACCGCCTGTGCTTCGTTATTGCTGTCGCTTTGTGGTGCGGGAGATTCGCTCTCACGCGCAGAGTCACCGGCTTCCGATGGGGTCTCCTGTGGCTGATCAGTACGATGGCTTGGGAGACGCGAAGCGATGCATGTGTGCTGCTTACAGAGCGCTGTTGCTTCTTCTTTGCCCGGCGATAGGCGTTCTTGTTCGCCTGCTTCTTGCCCTTTGCAGTTGCGCCTGACATGGCGGCGGTGATTGCGCAGCGCGACGCTTGGACTTGTGTTAGATGTGACGGTATGCGCGATCTTATGCGTAGATGCCAATCGCGCGATGTCGGTGGGCGTCAAGGGTGGATGCGCGACGAGTGGAGGTGGAGGTTGAAGTTGCTGAGCTCGCGCGGAAAGATTGAGCGACTGTCTTGGCGCCCCAAGTGTTCACCCCGACCGAGCCAACGCGCAGCAGTCTCGAATCACTCACACCAAGACCTGTGCTCATAACATTATATACGGCTCACACGGACATGTACAGCGATATGAGATACCCTGTTTAACCACTGCTTTGTATACTGATATAGGCTCAGAGCTCTGCGTCGGCCAAATCTACGTGCTGCTCAATAGGGACTCTGCTACGACCGATCGTCACCCTTGAAGACATGGTTCCAGAATCCGCGGAAGTGCTTGTTCTGTCCGATCTCGTTGATGTCCTTGACCTCCCTTGGTGTCAACTTGAACGTAGTTGCCCTCAGATAATCACTCAGTCTCTGCTCCTTCCCGCTTGTCGTGATCGGCACAATGTCCTGATCTATGCACCACCTGAGGTAGATTTCATTCTCGCTTACCGCATATTTCTTCGTCAGCTTCTCCACGTAATCGTCCAGTGGGCCAGGCTTGGCCTTGGTAGCAGGAGTTAGAGGCGCGTAGGCGGTCGTGGCGATGCCGTTCTGCTTGTGGAATTCCAGAAGCTCCGGGCGTTGCAAATAAGGGTGGAGCTCGATCTGATTGCACACTGGTTTGACTTTGGCAGTCTTGAGAGTTGCGGCAAGATGGCTGGGAAGGTAGTTGGAGACGCCGATGGATTTCGCGAGACCAGACGCTTGCACGGCTTCCATGTCTGCCCATGCTCTCTGGAGGTCTTCGTCTGAGCCTGCGAACCAGGGCTGGTGAATGAGGTACCTATGCTTGTTAGCATTGAGTCTACCTATCCATTGGTTTTACATAACTTACAGATCGACGTAATCTAGTTGCAACTTCTCCAAGCTGGTCTTGATAGCTCCAGCAATGTTGTTGATGTTGTCATTGTTCACCTTGGTAGTAACGTACAACTTCTCACGAGGGACACCACTTTCTTTGATGGCTGTGCCGAGTTCAGTCTCGGTCTTGTAGACTTTCTAGCATCAGTAAAGCCCTCAGATTTAAGAATGGCGCTGTAATCACCCTCTGCACCGTCAAGATGAGTGTACCCCAACTTGGTTGCGATCTTGACTGAATCAATGATAGCCTGATCTATCTTGCTTTCCTCTCCAGTCTTGAACCAGGCGGTGCCGGTACCATAGCCGAGCATTGGCATTGAGGTTCCGTCGTTGAGTTTCAACTTAGGAATGGTAATGTTGAGGTTGGCCATTGTTGCGAATGCCTGTGTTAATGGTAGGAGGGGTAATCTTGGGCAGTGTGACGAAGTGTGATTGAGGCTGAGCTGACGTCGAAGGTAAGAGTTGATGCTTCTTGATTATTTGAGCATCAAGTAGGCTATAGTGTGATGTTGATCAAGTTAAGTTGTGTTACGTGATCCTTGATAGCTGCGCGTGTTTCAATGCCGAAGGTGGGGTTACGATGCTGGCAAGCGACGTCACCACGTTCGCCGTGCCCCGGAGCCCGATGTTTGTTGTGCATGTTGTCAGCCCACCTCTGAACTCGGGATTTGCATCGTTGTTGTAGAACGATTGTCAATCGCGTATAGCCGAGTATTTCCATAACCTTGTAGCTAATCGCTTCCTAGGTGATACTCATGCATGTCAGACGCGTTTAAGCCACATCGCACTAGCCACAGCAGAGCAGCAACAAACCTAAGGAGTTTTCTACAGGCTTCAAAGGGAAACGAAATGCAGTGCAACTCTATCAGTGTTACACTTGACCGTGCAATGCCAACGTCGTGTTGGATGTGTTGAATTGAGATAAAGTTGCTTGTCATAATCAACACGTCGCCACTGGCGTACAGGTGGACTTCCTAGATGTTCTACAAACCCCTGATGTTCGCATCTATCTTAAACAGGTATGAATACAAATATACTTCCAGAACCCAACCATGAACAGTGCCTAGGAATCAGGAGTGCCGCCAAACGCCCTCTACTGACCCCCGCAGTGTTGCAGAGAAGGACCAAACCACGCTCACGATGGCGTAATGTTGGATCGCTAACGTGGTAGTGAAGGCCCGTTATGGTGAAGATGCTATGTCATCTTCTCATGCTGAATCTTCTCGTGCTGTGTTGACACCCTTTGCAGCGAAACAACTAGATGTGGTTAGCGACTGTCCTGTCTCGGATGCAGAGAACCATCATGCTTACCAAAGTCTTCAAGGTTCCTCTGCTTTTGCTTTCTCTTGAGAAGCTTTCCGTGCATGAGGTTGTCGAAGCCTTGACTGCCTTGCAAAATGTAATACACTCCTGCCATAATACAAAAGATACCGAAGGAAAAGGCCCAGACACGGACCACGGCAACAATGTTTGTTCTTCCACCCACAAACCACCCGAAAATGGTAAAACACGTAGCAAGGATGTCGACAACCAGGATCGCCCCGGCGAGTTGCCATGAAGGAATCGATGACCAGAACGGGCCATTGGCGCGGGTGATGAAAATCAGCCAGTTCTCAGTCAATGTAATCTCGAGGAACAGGATTGGGTCGCGCTGGCCATGGTTCTGAACAATGCCACCTTCGACACGCTGCTGCTCGCCAGTAAGGTAAGGCAGCATGGTTGTCATTGTGATCCAAGTGCCTACAGCCAGAATGACGCCAAGGAGGATTGACATTCCCCAAAGTTTTGGCAGGTTCCATTTGACCGGAGTTCTGCTGTACGGTGCATTATCGTAAGCGATAGCCAAGGTCGCTGCAATTCAGTCAGTACATGCATAATAGAACCCAGGAAGCAAGTCTTACCAATATCAGCGAAGATAGCAATGAACACTACCAACTGCAGGTTTAGACTCTCGTTGAGGATAGCGATCCAAAGACCTAAGAATATCTCGAGGTGCAGTGACAGAGCGATGCGGTAGACAACGTAAGCGTACATGCGATGGAAAATCTGGCGTGACGTTTTGAGGGCGTCAATGATAGCAGAGAGGCCAGGGGCAAGAAAAACGATGTCGGCAGCGGAGCAAGCAGCGTCGGAAGCGCCTTGCACAGCGATACCAGTATCTGCTTTTTTCAACGACGGCGCGTCGTTCACACCATCACCGGTCATCGCGACAAGGTATCCTCTCTGTTGTAGAATTTCTACAACGTTGTACTTGTGCTGTGGGAACACTTCTGCAAAACCATCTGCACCTTCGACGAAGTCGTAGAACTCCGAGCCAGGCATCTCGCCACCTCCACTCAATCCGAGTTTTTCAGCATCGAATATGTTGGTACCTACATCCAGAATTAGTAATGGGCTACGCGTGACAAGTGCTTGTTCTTACCTAGACCAAGCTGGCGTGAAGTTTCTCGCGCAATACCAACGGCGTCCCCAGTCAACATCTTGATTGAAAGGCCCAAAGACTTCGCCTCGTTAATTGTACGATACGTGTCATGGCGTGGAGGATCTGAGCATGGCATGATACCCAAGATTTCCCAACGTTCATCTTCCCGTTTGCGAGCAACACCGAGTGATCGAAAGCCGCGCGTAGCGAACTCTGCAACCTTGTTCTTGTAGGCCAATTCGACCTCGTGTGGGACGGAACCATCTTCTTCGACAGTCCGAAGCACAAAAAGAGGAGCGCCTTTGACGCATGTTATGCGTTCGCCTTGAGGCGACTCAACGACAGCCTGAACTTTCTTGGACACTGGATCGAACGGATGGAAACGGATGCATTTGTACTTGCTCAGCACATACTTGGCACGCGGATAGTGGCGTAAAGACTTGAGAAAAGCTTTGTCGATAGCATCGATGCCCTTCTTCTTTCTTGACGCTGCTAAGCAGGCAGTAAGCATAAGGTCCTCTGGATCGACACCTTGAACGGTATATGGCTCAGCCAGCGAGAGCTTGTTCTTTGTCAATGTTCCAGTTTTGTCAGAGCACAGGATCTCGACGCCCGCAAGCGATTCGATGGCGGAGAGCTTCTGCACAATGGCTTGTTTCTTCGCCAGATACGCCGCTCCTACTGCCATAGTTGTAGTGACAACAGCAGGAAGGCCGACCGGGACTCCGACTATCGTGATCGCGAGTGTGAACCGGAGGATAGTGACGATGTCGTTGGATCGATAGAAAGAGCTTATCCAAACGACCAGCAATGATACAATGACCAGAACCAGAAGAATCGTCCCAATGCCGTGCAATACTTGTGTGAAGTGACCGGGTCCGCTGGAGGCGCTGGCAACAAGTGATGCCGCACGTCCAACAAACGTCGAGTCGCCTGTAGCTGTGATCACGACGAAAGCCTCGCCGCGTTTCACCGCAGAAGACGCGTAACAGGTATCTCCACGGTGTTTGTCGACAGCCAGTGATTCTCCAGTGATGGAAGACTGGTCGACCTGCACAAAGGCATTCTCCGTAACGATGCGCCCATCAGCTGGAACAATTACACCCTCCTCCACTTGCAAGATATCGCCGGGCACCACGTCTGGTGCTTCGATCTCAACCAAAGTGCCGTCACGCAATACGGTAGCCTTCAAAGCTAGTGTTTTCTTCAACTCTTCAACGATGGAGCCGGCTTGATACTCTTGGATGAAGCCAACACTTGCGTTCAGGAGGAGCAAACCACAGATGACGCCAAAGTCAACCCAGTCTTGGAGCCCTGCAGCAAGGATTGCAGCAGCTTCCATGACGAACTGAATTGGACCAACGAAAAACATCAGAAACTTTACCCAGTTATTTGTTGACTCCTCTGCACATAGTGAGCAAACGCGGATCAAGGGATAAGATAGTTGGTACCTTTCATCTTGTTCTCGCCGAACTTCTTGCGCCGTATCAGTACTTCAGCCGACGTCAAGCCAGTGCGTGTGTCGGTCTGCAAGAGTTCCTCCGGAATCAGACGCGCACCGCCTGGTTGTTGCGCTTCCTCCTCTTCGTAGTCGGCATTTTCGCCATCCTGTGACTCTAGGTCTTCGATAAGTTGATCTATATCCTCGTCTTCTTCTTCATCATCCAACTCAATGCCTTGCATGTGGATATTCTTTTCCTGAAAATGATACTTGTCGTACGTCCGGCCATTTGATGGATAGATGCCGTCGCGATCCGGGGATGTACCGGTCGGTGACTGTCCTTGGTCAGTTCTGATGTAGATGTGCGGCGTGGCAAGCTAGTTATGAGGCTGGCAGCCAACTTACTTCGGACATATTGGATGTCGAGCTAGTCGCTAGCAATGCTATACGCTGTGCGCGGTTTGCTAATATGAAGTGGTACAAAAAATGCTAACAAGAGGTCCCGGCCTGGCACAAGATGCATGAACCTATACTGCAAGTGCATCTGACGATACTGTTGAATAGTGGTGTAGTGGCCAATGCGCGTTCATCTGTAGAAGGAACTCCGAGGCATCGTTGCGCAGGCGAGGGCTTCAAAGCGCGCAGAAACGACTCTGGACCTGGCTACGACACGTTATCGCGCTGGGAAGCACAGTCGCGATGGCGCAACGTAACTGATGCCGCCGAGAGTGCCTGTGAAAACGGCCGATATGGGTTGGGACGACTCCAGAGTGTTGTGCGAACCCCACGGTCGTGATGAGGCCACAAGGACGCGCATGATCAGTCTAGCCTATTTAGAAGTTAAGGGTCATGGTCACGTCGAGAACCAGTTGCCAAGATAAAGTGGCCAAGTTTGTGGGATGGGAGCTGCGGCCGGGCGAGCTGCCCAGGTAAGCATCCGTAAGATTAGCCCAACCCCTTGGGTTAGCGCATTTGGCATCGCAATCTGCCATGTGCACGTATCCACATTACGTTTGTTTCGACAACTCTCATCAGGCCAAAACTGCATCGCCTGGGAACCTCAGTCTGTACTACGCTCACCGTGTAGGCGGCATCTGTGATTTTCTATCTTGGTAGTGGTTCTGATCCTTCGCGAGAGGTTTCCCGCGGTTGTTTTTTAAACTCATGGCTAGCCTGGTCACTTCGCGTCACCAAATTGACCATTCCCGGGGATGAACTTCTTTACGTCACGTTTGCGGAAATCACTACGCACCCACAGATAACTTGCAAAACCCTGATCATTAATTTTGATATTTCCGGGTGTTTGAACAGTCCCCACCAAAGGGCGCAGCTCAATGCGCGCGATGACAATGCTGAGTGATGCGACAGCACCCTCTTCTCTCGACGCATCGCAATGGAGATTGGCTTCTCGGCCAGTTGCTGTCCCGTTTAAGCAGACTCTGGTTGAAGAATGCTATGGTTTGTATGGAGGCAAAGTCAATATAGCCTTCGTGCTATCTGAATGCATGTCAAGTTCCGTTCATGTCTCAAATATCTAGTCATTCAAGAAAGCGTAGCCCAGGTCATGTCCCAGGGATAGCTCCGCCCATGCCGTGGAGACGTGTTACCCGCTGCAATAAATGCATATCAGGCGAAACCAGTCCTTGACTTCTGCTGTAATCGTCCTTCCTTCGGGTGGAGACTTCTCTAATGGGCTTCTGCGAATATACAAAAGACTTTCTTGACCAAGGACTCCAATTGACTTTTATGTGACTTTAAGTAGTCCGAAAAATGTTCCAAGGGAGCATCGAACAGAGTTGTCAGTCCTGGACTCTAAACCAAGCGTTATGCTTTTGTAGCAATCCTCAAACGTGATGACAAGGTACCGGTCAATTCATCGTCAGCCCAGATTCAGTCATGAATTTATTGCTTGGAACCGAACCAGAATCGCTGGTGCACGGTCTCTGGAATTGGTTGCCCCAATCCGCCCTCAAGACTGTAGCCTACCTGAGCCTTCTAGACAAAATGAAGAGGCCCGTGATGCTCTCTTGTCGCTAGAGAAGGCTACATGACCAATGCGCTGTATGCAGCACATTATCGTCTGATCTTAACTGTTAGCGACCTAGGGTTCCTGTCTACAGACGACGCGCAAGATCGCTAAGAAAGCCCGATGTGGCCGGATGATCCGCCTGTCGAAATACAGTTCCTGCCTTCGTCATCGCGAGCCAAGGTGCCTCTCCACAAGAACCGACTTGATCAGAGCGACTCCAGACTGCCGATCATAACGTTTTTCACCGCACGCATCATAGCCGATCTATCAGATCACTTACGAATATCTCAAAAAGAGCTGCAATGCTTACATTAGCTTCTTCAACAGCTCCTTAGCTCACGGCTGGGCGCTTTGTCGCGTCTGCTCCATCACGAACCAACGTTCGCGAGTCGATGTTGTCACCGAGATGCAAGGGCATGAACACTGCGACCCCTCGAGGTGCTGTACGCGGCTCCCGCGTGACTTGACGCCGGCTCGACTGCTCAAGTTGAGGTTCAATTCCGGCGACTTCAAAGGTTTTCGGCTTGTCTTTGGACAGGACGTCCAAGTGAACGACAAGCAGTGATACCATGGAATCCCTGCCTCGGTCTTGGCCTCTTCTACTTGTTTACCGGAGATGCAAGCTGAAGGACAGAACGAGAAAAGGGGCTGTCCGAGTGAGTTCAGCGAAGGTCGCGGATGGACGGCTTGGAGACTTAGTACTGGGAATACATGATGCACAATGCACGCCTCACGAGGTTGCCGAGTATGTGTGCTCACCTGGAGAGTCGAATGGCATTACGGCCAAGAGACTGAACGCACTTAGTAAGTTTGTCAAGAACAAAAGAGATATTCAAAATCTGGTGGGGCGGTGCTCGTGCGCGGGCCGAAGACAGCGTCACAGCTTCGCGACCACACGCCGACGCTTCTTCTTTCCATTGGAAACCTCGCCAATCTGACAACCCAGGAAACCTCCAACTTTGATCCTCTGGCTCGCATCTCAACTCCAACTATTATGCTATTTACGGTCTCCAAACTCTTCTCTGAGTTATGAAACCTGCCACGATTATTCACTTACTCTGCAGTTGCCAGCCACTCTTCATGGATCTTTGTAGGATGCCTCACTTACTCTGTTCTCCGCTGAAGAAGTCGTGATACTTGGAACAGTTTATCTTGATGTTAGTAGGTTTCTTCCTGTCCCTTATTGAATGTAACGTTTCGTAATTTTCACCCTTCCAATCAAGTCTGCGTCGGAACCACCCGCTTAGTTGACTATTACGTTTCTACAAGGGCTTTGTTATACTTTTTTGGCCATCACAATGCTCCAGGGGCTTTCGAATACTCGGTCAACGACGCGCTGCTCTTTGGATTCAATGATTATTGATCACACACGATCCGGACTGCACTGCTCCAATAAAGGGCTCCTTTGAAGCGCATGATCTTCCTTGATTCCACAAACTTCACTGAAGAAGATGCCACATTCCTTAGGAACCAGGGCGAGTTCTGATACTTTGTGTACTTGGAGGCCAAGCAGTGCTTTGTGTTTCTTTCCAAGATTAGGGCATCGGACAGAACCGCAAGGACCACAAAGCGCCGCTGGAACACTTCCTGAAGTCTCTCAAGACACTAAAACTCCATGGTTTTACTTGTACGATGGTCAAAGATGGGTACTCTACAACTGACTTATCTCCCAAGTAAGAGGAAGATCTATCGCCTTCGCTCGGAAATGAGTGAACTTGTCAAGAGCAATGAAGACTGGGGTGGCGACGTCCATGTTAAAGAGAACTAAAGTTGGTGGCCTACAAGAAATTGTCTTGTAACTGATGAGATTTAAGCCCCTTAGCAGAGTTGCCCTGCAGGCATGAGAGAACGCCGTGTCGCCTTCGCCACAATCTTTCCACGGAATTGAGAACTAAGGGTGCGAGTGTCTTGGGTAAGCGAGGGATGTAAATCTTGAAGACAATCAGGCAAGTTCTTGGGTAATTCTATCTGTTTATGCGACTCATGTCCACTGTCGCGACCGAGGTCGCCGGTGATGGGCATTCTTATGGTAGGTAGTAGTAATGTAGCAGCATCTCATGGACTTGAAGCTATTCAGTGCCATGTTTTTCACTTGTCACATACAATGAATTGGGTGTGTTTTGTGACAATGTTTCAAGGTTGGCCCACCGTCTCCTTTGAAGAAGTAAAACCCAGTCAAGAATTCCATTAACGAACAAAGTTACAGACGCCGACGTCATGGCTCGTCATCGCAAGTGGCCATACAAAAGCAAATACTAAGGGGTATGCAGGGAATGCTGCGTTCTTTAGTCATGGCGATCTAGACACAATGGCAGACAGCATGAAGAGCAACAACATCTCTTTTGACGCGCAACGCTTCTTAGAGAACAGACAGCGGGAACTGCCATTGATCTGGTGTTCAGGGGAAAAGTAAGCTTGTTGGAATGGCATGGATCTAGGAACTTGATGTTTTGTTTTAGGGTTTTCACAACGTGCAGAGCAAAAATGTCGACACTCGGTTGAGCTGGGAGGTTTGAAGACACAGATAACGCATAGCACACCATCTCATCACTATTCATTAAAGTGTTCTCTTCTTCACTGTTGATGCAAGATGTTCGGTGACGATCGCACAATAGTGAATGTGGAGATGCAGTCATAGTATACTTCGAGCGAAGGTAGCATTCCGGCAGTTACTGCGGCATGTGGCCCAAAACCGGGCCCAGAGAGCTTTTTCGGTAGAATGTCGAGAGACTGTCGCTAGCATGACTACCTAGGTACCTACGTTTTCTTAAGGTTTCATCAATACCTAGGTATTCTCACAACCTGCATCTTCGAGTGTTTTTTAGAAGTGAACAACGAATTCGTCTATGCATAACATCGTCCGATTCCATTACGCCCTGCGCGCATCCCGACAGATCTGGGCGCATGTAGTATGCGGCTGAGAAGCAAGGCTGCGTGCTTGGCTCGAGCTAGCACCAAAACAGCCACACCACACTCTTTCAAGCGCGCTACCCCTTCGCCAATACCATTGGCCCACCTGAGCAACAACCAATTCCGGCATTACAACGAATAATGCGTCGGAGATAGGTCTGTTGCTGTGAACGCCATCGGAAGCTCCGCAGGCACCGGACGATTAACAACGTGCCGTCACCAAAGAAGGCTGATGAATCACAACGCCTGGCACACATGGTGTGGAGCGTAGGGCTGGCGTGAGGGTTCAATCAATGTTAGTTCAAAGACGATTTGGTTGGTAGCTGCTGAACATTGCACGATGGTAGCGCCGTGACGTTGATGTTGGTCCACAACAAGACTCTTGTGGCGTCGCTGGAAGATGCAATTGTTGACCTGAGAGCCTTGCTGTGGCTTGCTGTACCAATTCTGCAGAATATCAGTGCGGTAGAGGTGCCGCTGGCAACGTTTGAGACGCTTGATCCCCAGGTATATCATGCACCCATTTCTTTTCTCGAAACCCTTCTGGCGACTGGACGATCTCCTAACACGGAGTTGGAAGCAAACGTTCATAGCAGGCCATCGGCACTCCACTCTCTCTTTTCGATAACTCCCTGCCCAACTTTCACTACCATGAAACTGTTCACCTACGAAGCCTGGGGTGTACCCAGGGCCGGCTTCGACACATCACACTCATTCGTTCGATCTCACTTCATTTCGCCAATTACTCTCGCATGTATCCGCGCCCTACTAAGCTTATACTGCTTCACGACAATCATAACATGTTATTCCTGGCTGGCGCACGAGACAGCCACAATTAAGCTCAAAGATGTCAACATTGGATCGTACACCATACAGCAAGGCGACGCAGCCATCGGACAATCATTCAGTTTCTTCACATACCTTACTTTCTGGTCACTCGGCTTTTACTTCCTCGTATCGAGCGTGCACACCTTCATGTACGCATTCCGGCAGAGGACATGGCTACACGACTGGCCTAAATACCTGCAGCTATTGCATAGCATGTACTACTCCACCATGACTTCGTTTCCGTTTCTGGTCACGATTGTGTTCTGGGGCACCATGAACTCTGGATGGCCGGCCGGAAGATTCGAACAGTGGATCAACATATCTGTCCATGGCCTCAACAGCGTCTTTGCTGCGACTGAGATCGTGCTATCAGCTACCGAACCATTGCCGTGGCACCATCTATCCGTTGTCCTTGGGGTTCTGTCGGTATACCTCGGCCTTGCATACCTCACTCGATATACGCAAGGGTTCTATGTGTACGAATGGATGAATCCAGCTCACGGCAACGTTAGCATCATTCTTCATGTCTTGGGATATGCCGGTGGAATGATTGCACTGTTTTTGCTAGCAAGATACGCGATGGTTGCGAGGAATATGCTCGCACAGAGACTACAAGATCAAGATAATATTGAGTACTGTGAGAAAGGAATCCAGCTCGATGATCGGTCCGATACTTGGTCGGCGAAGGTCGGGGTGGTCAAGCCGACGCCTATGCGCGTGCAAAAGAAGCCAGAGGCAATTGTTTCGGAAGTCTAAGAAAAGGGAGTTGAACTAAAATTCAAGTCTACTTACAACATGTTTCGTCAATTCGTGATAGCGTTTCGCATAATAGTGTATCCTCGGCCCAAAATGAATTCGCATTGATGCGATGTCACCAGGCCGTCACAAGCTTACTTTTCTGTTACATTGCACACCTTTGTTTGGCGCATCCAATAACTGTCTAGCAATTAATTGGTACCATCACCCGGCTCAAGACCGTACAGATGTGTATGCTCCGACTGGTGTAGCGCACGGTAGCTTCACTAATTAGAAGGGTATGCCATGTGGAGGGGGGCTCTCAAATACCGGTGCGCAGAAGCAATGCTGCAGCTATGAAAGATCAAACAGAAGACATAGAGTGACAGGGAATCCAATGTGGAAGCAGGCGGCCTAAGGCTCAACGATGAGGGGCTGATGGAGAGTGATATACCCTTAGGCCGTCCACATTATGATGTTCCAACCTTAATTCTTGATCTGATGGAAGAGAGTGAGACAGAGATCAATAAAACAACGTGTCGCATGCGACTGAGCCAGCGGCCATTGCGGCTACTCGCATGCACATCGCCGAGACGGTGCTGAAGGCAGTCCTAGGACCGTGTGTACTCACCGTGGCTTTGTTGTTCAGACATTATTCATGATATCGTTGCGCTAGACTTGCAGTCGCTGAACTACATGGTGGGCTACTACGCCTTGATGCTGCGACCTGTGACCGCCTACATCTGATCTACTGTACGTACTCAGGTATGTACGGAAGATGTGTTCGCTACTACCTCCATACTGACTGCACACATGATGGAGTGAATATGTTTCCAAATAAACAGCTCTTTTGGTCAACCGAAACGGTGATACACGATCGGGCAGAGGTATGCTATACAGAGCGGTAGAAGTGTGCAGTGCCTGTGTCAGATTTATCGTAATCTCGGTGTTTGCGGATGCAGGCCCGCCACGGAAGCGAAGGAAGCGATCAGGCGAGCACCGTGACGCCCTGAGTGGGCGTTTCCAGGTGTTTTACATCGCAGATGACAATCTCAGGGCCATGGTTCTAAAGTAGAAAGCGATAAGAGAAGTCTGCCTTACCGCTGAATGTCTTTGAGAACCATGGCCAAAGAGTCATTTCTCAATCGACAACAACAGGCTTTTGTGACGCTTCTGGCATATGACAACCTAATAGTGACAACAAAGGGGGTATCGATGCTGCATTGTTGTTACTGCAGCTGAAAACAGCACGAAACGATGGAATGACGGGCTGATGTCATGGGTTGTTTTAATCGATGCGCATCAGCACCTGTGCGTTTCTGTGTCTCAGTATTCACCGACCCTAGCGAAAAGCTAATTCTAGGAACAAACTTACTAGAGAAAAGAAAATCAAAATCGGAGGATACTCACCATGACCATTGACAAGGTGCAGTGTTGTCGAAGGCGATCCTGATGGTTGGGGATAGACAACGGTGGGCAAAGACAGGGTTGTGTGGCAGCCTCGGTTGCTTGCCACGTTAGAGTCTAGCGTTTCCTACATCTAAAATTAGGGGAGGCAGTGCACGCGTTCCGTCCTTCACCTGGTCCTTGATGATCGCTTCTCCCGTTATCCATTGCCACACATCCAACTCATTGCATAACCAGAGTAGGATTATTGCCGCTGGGCGCGTTCCCTCGGCACTGTGATATCCCATGCGCTGAACGCTGAGGCGAGCGGCTGGCTGTACAGAGGTCAAGTGATCACGTACCGTCTTGAGCCTCACCGCTTGCAATTCGGTAACATTATGTTACCCATGCTCCGGGCGCTGAAAGGGGTCCTGATGTGCCGTACCCGTACTGAGCATGACGAGCCTCTCCGAAGCTTTGGCGTTTGGCCTGAAGAGTTAGGCCAGCAATCGTCTAAAAATCCTTTCAGATGATCCCAGATATGGACTGTCAAATTCACATCCATTTCCGTCGAGACCTGACCTTGAATTGGAATACTCTTGTATATTCGCCCCGTTGAGACGGTTGGGACATGCACACTTCAAGTAGTCTGCAAATCCTTCTGTAAGGACACTCCCTTCCGACATCTACACACGGTAATCTAGCAACGGACGCCTTACCCCTGCGCCCGTTAACCACCGCCACCCTTTACCACGCCGCACTAACCTTTCCGACCATATACATCGCTCTTGTTCCACTGGTGATACCACCCGCCCGGGATGTCGGAAGCATAGAATAATTGGAGCTGTCAGATCTGCGAATCGGCTATCAGCATCGTTTAAACTCGCTCGAATACTACAGTCGTGCAGTAGCGCAACGCCATCAAGCCGCACTTAACCTCCACATTCAACACCAAGCTCTTAGGCCTGGCCTGCACACCCCTGCTTTCAGCCTTGGATACATTTGCATACGAAGCAGCTCTCTTTAGCATGCTACCCGACGCCCAGCTGCTGACGATCCCACCAACATCTTTCAACTATAAGCTTGCGGATTTACCGTCAACCAACAAGCTAGTCGCAGCTTCTAGTCCATTCTTCATATACATCAACGCTAGCTCAACATACGTGGAAGACACAGAACATATGGCACACCACAATCACCGTTCCAGTCGAGTGCAGACCGAGAACGAGCTGTGGCTAAACATGCCAGCTTCCACAAGGCGACAACAAGAGCACGACTGTCGGCCAGAACGATCGGCGTATCAAACAACCTCGCAGCGTATTAGTGTATGCTCCAGCAGTGGAATCAACCCGTCGATGATACCTGCTATCACAACCAGTTCGGACCTTAACAAACCACTTCCACCATCACCGTCCGGCCAAGACAAACGATCTCGCAAATCACCTTCCTTGCGCGGGTTTCTCCGACGCGAATCTTCAAGTCAGACAGAGTCAACCCATCTCCGACCCGGATCATCCCATCAAAACCGATACTCCACTAACCTAAATGTGGATACGAATGGTCATCATAGACACAACTACTCACGAAGCATGCCAAATTCTCCCTACGAGTTCAGCCAGTCTTCTCACCAGGATCCAGCAGCCCTTCCTCGAGCACATTCCTCTGCGTCGGACTACTCAGACGTGGTGCAGTATCAGCCGTACTCTCCGCTACCACAACACCAATACACTCGTCCTCAACAGCAGCGCGCGGTGTCAATGAACCCCTACTTTGAGACCACATCGCCTCCACGATCACGTACCTTTCCCGAAGCTACACTTGACGTTACGACACGCGACAATTTTTACAGTCGGCCACGGCCACACACAACATGGGTGTCACCCACAGAGCCATTTACAGATGTTTCTCAATTCCATCTATTTGCTGAAGCGATGACCGGACTGCCAAATGATGCCGAGCCTTTTTCACCAACCGGTCCACCGCAGCTTCAGGGCTCACTTTTCGCTCGAAGAAGTGCCAATGACACTATTCCAATACCTCTGCAGAACCCTCAATATTTGTCGAGAACACAATCGACACGACGGCCTCATAGAGAGCAGAGAGATGATTGGCAGAATTTTGAGCCACCACCGCATATCTCGTTACATGCAGGGTCCACACAAAATCATCCTCTGCCTGTTCAAAATCCGCCTGTCCACGCATATGAACAATGGCAACCACCATCACATATGGGTGCCATCACAGCCGAATTAGAGCTGCTGGGGCTAGAAGATCCTCAGGGTTCGGACGATGAACTTCCAGACTACCAACAGAGCCAAGCGGAGATGGCGGCGAAGAAGAGACAAGAAGCGTCAGCAAGAGCTCGGGAACTAGAGGCAAGATGGCGAGGTACATGCAGATGATCATGGTTCCAGGTATTGAGAGCCATCTGAAAAAACACGAAAGCAGAATTGTATTCCATTCTGGATAATTCCCACTAGCCTAATCCAGAGCATGCGGATTGCGCTCTTGGAGGTCAGGGTTCGTATCTGTAACCCGTACGGTTTTGGGATAGTCCAAAGCATGCCGGTTTATGAAGCAATACTTCGGCCTTTTGGCCCCAACCCACCGTTCCAACTGATGGAAGGAACCATCTCATGTTGTTATTGGTGCCTGCCACCACCTTAGTGTTCATACTATATAGGCAGCATCCGCCATAGATTCAATCTATCACTCTTATATCCCAACACCAACCACCTGTTAATGCCACAATCACGATAAAGGACCAAGTGTCTGCATGCATGTATGTAGCGAAGCGAAGCGGGTACGTACTGCGTATGCCCTGCAGTAGTACAAGCGCATTGACTCATTGCGGCACCGCCCCCACAACTCAGCTACCGAGACAAGGTACGTATAAACCGGCCGCTTTGATGTTATACCCAAGCGAGTTATACAAGATGAATGACAGCCGGAAAGGGGGAAGTGGCCCCTGCATAGAGTACGATGACATGCGCCAAACGGCTGTTTACATTTATGCATTTCCCAATGCAGCTGCAGTTGTCATTGTAGGAGTTGGAGCCGGTAACGTGTTCAGTGTACATAGGTATTGTTTCCGAGGCAGATATTGTAATGCACTCAATAACCTAGAACAGCCTTTCCGCCCCAACATCTAGCGGATGGTCACACACCAGATGAACTCTCATGACTAGCTTTGCATCACTTGATCAGTCTGCTGCTAGCGAAGGAGAAGTTGTCAGGCAGAGGAGTTTTCATATCCACGTGAGTAGATTAAACGATGCAAGTATGCCTTGTGGAAAGCCTTGTACAGAGCGGAAATTTGAAACTACGCATCGTACCTAGGTACCCGGCCAGTGGTTAATCCATGCAACAAGGGTTTGAAATGATCACGTTCGGCAACACGCATCTATGAGCTCTGGCATGTAGTCTAGAATCTGGGCGCAATTTCTGATACTCCATCGTCTGCTTTACCTCATTAGCATTTGCTCCATCACTTGAGCAGATCAGAGAGGACGGTGTGACCGTCATCCTACTGCCAACTGCCACTTTTCATACTGCCAACTGACGAGCTCATACTTATTCTACCTATACCAGTGGTAGCATCGAAGTATCCAGAAACGCACTAGAACCCACGTAAGGCCCAAACGAAGAACACATTGGATGCAGGGAGTTTGGGGGCGGAAAAGCTTATTTCGCGGACGTTGTGCTACAACGGGCTGTCCAATACACCAATCCAGGGTTTCGAATGCATCGGATGTATTGATTGCAACAGAACACCTGGTTTCCCAACGTGTATCACATGGAAGTTTACTTTCCCAAACATGCGGTGTGATATGTAAAGAGCCCAAGTGGCAATGCTATACACCAGACCTAGCTGCATGTAAGGCTTGACGCAAGAACCACCACGATTCACCTACAATAACCTTTCTAGGTAACACACCCCGCTCCTTCGCCCAACTGTGACTTCAGGTGATCAGGATGCGCCAGCCTGGGCACAACGTTACGTGGGGCAAAGGGACGGTGGCTCCTACCGTTATCAAGATTCACGGAGGATGATCATATCCGCCAACCCGGTAGTGAGGCTGTGCAAAACGCAAGTGAGATGCACATGTGGGCCGGAACGATCGTCGTAAGTTTGAAAATAGAAGATGGTGCATATTGAAGGAAAGAAAGGAACAGGTAGTGAAGAATATCATGGAATCTGCAGTGAAGATCACAATGCGTTGTAGAACAAAGATGAATGGGAAGGCTGGTCATGGGTCTAGAGAACAATGAGCGTACATGTGCAGCTGGGTCAAGGTCGCATACTACCTAGCCATCGGCAGCAGTCTTGACTTTGCAAAGATGACTGATAGATTGTCTGCATCATGTAGTGTTTTCGCAATGGCCTTGGTCTTTGTTCATGCAGTCTACTCCTGTGGTCGCACCCTTCTAAAAATGGCTGGTGGCTCGTGGTGATGACGTCATATTATCCCACCTCCCTAGCATGCTGCCCACTATTCCTCGACATCACTTTTCGTTTGCACCAAAACCTCGTTCATTCTGACAACATGTCTTGTTCATTGCAAGCACGCTTGATATGCTATGGCTCTCAGCATGCATATCACTGAACCAGTCGTGTGAGAGCAGGACCTAGGCATAGAGCGAAATCTGGCATTCTTCATGCTTGCCAAATCTCCCTCTCCCACCCTATGCCGTCAATCCATCTCTCACAAACCATATTTCCCTTTCTAGGCCGCTCTATTGAGGTACCGTGCAGATATTGTGCTTCTCCTGCCATCCAATGCTTCTGGCTGTGTGTGCTAGATAGTTCGGGAAGATTATTCTTTGTCTTGGCTTCCCAGTCCGGATCGACATTTCCTGCTGGCTCTAATCCCGGCACCCAGAAGATGTCTCCCTCGGCTGGTGTGCTTTTTGTTTCGAGCCACAACTTGTGTGCTAGCATAAGCATGTGCATGTCTTGTGCGTTCGTCACGACGAGGCCATCGAGGTTGTGGAAGCGACCGAAGCGCGCAGCAAAGTTTTCCAGCCAGGTACAGACCTGCCAGTGGTCGCGTCGAGAGCTACGCGACAAGTCCTCCAAAAAACGAATCAGTAAGCCACCACTGAGCACTCCATGCGGCCAATCATTAGTATCGGACTGACGTCGAGTAGGACCTGGATGGCGAATGTAGCCGGGCGGTGAGCCAACGTGTTCATTGTCAGAGCTATAGTCTGACGGACGCTTTGTAATGTCCACTGCCGAGGACGAGGGAGAGGAAGAGCGATTTGGTACAGATGGTCTACGTGAAAAGCGTATCTGAGCAGGTGGTAATCCATGACTTAAGGTATGCGAAGATGGATGGCTGAGCGTATCGGAAGACTGAGAAATTTTCTGGAAACCAGCCAGTGGTACAGTCACTTGAGTAAGAGGGGAGGAAGCCTCTTGTGACGCACCCAGCATCTCCATGTCAGTTGGAGATGGATCGATAAACATCAAATTTTCGCTGGTAGTCTCCTTTCCGTCCTCACTCTTTCGAGATTCCAGCTTTGGCGCCATTCAATAACTTGTTGTAGTGAACTAATTGCTGAGTAGGGGGTTCTTTGTAGTTTCAGCGACTGGAAGGTCGTGAACCCCCACACTATTTGAATCTAAAAGGTTTGCTATGCTAGACAGTTCTGCGTCACATGAAGACTCTCGGTAGACGCACGTGGGCTAAGAGACATAAGTTTTTCACTGATCAGATTCACAAGATCATGTCGTTGAAACGATACAGACATGTCTAGGGAAATTCAAACATTTTGCATGAATGGCGTTATATATGATTTGCGTCGCAAATTCTATCCCTTGAAGGTGAAATCAAAACGACAACTAGAACGTTGTTATAACTGTTGGCGTTATATACCAAGCAACAGCGTTAATTCACTATCCCTTAATCATGAAAACCCCCCGTTATAAAATACATAGATCAAATCTAGCGCCTTTTTCGAGACCTATATAGCTGCCAAATGCAACACAACCCTCTAGTTTTTCACGAAGCTAGCACCCACTAAGACTGCTAGTAACTTGTTCTAACGAAGGTAGTTGTAGATACGATGACAAAAATCTGCAAGAAACTTTCCGTACAGTATCGTCGACAAGCAAGGGAAAGGTGGACAGTGATTCAGCGCCTCGGAACTATGGACGGAGGTCTTAATGGTGGCATAAGCAAAGTCCGATGCGACAACCCAAGCGCCAAGGGCATGGTTTTCATTGAAAAGCGATTCGGCAAAAGATTATTCGAATACGGCATACCTTCTAAAGAAATCCAGATTCTTCATCAGATTCAGGACCATGACCATATTACGAAGATGGTAGACCATTTCCGCGATAAATCTATTCTAGAGGGGGCTGTATACATGGAGTATTGCGACGTGGGAAGCATGGCAGATGTGGCACAAGGGGTTGCCAAAGGGGCTTATGTTAACGAACGCAAGATCTGGCATTGGTTCGGCGAACTAGCTAGCGCGCTTACGTATTGCCACCGTGGCCCACAGCCGGAGATGAATGACGAACAGATCTTCCAATCCGGTTGGAGCAGAATCTACCATAGAGACATCAAGCCTGGCAATATCCTGCTAACAATCGCGAACGGCCAGGTAGTAGCAAAACTTGCCGACTTTGGCTACGCAGTCACTGAAGATAGCTTAGCAGCCTGCCCTAACCGAGAAGAAGCAATAGTGCAACCAGGAGGAACACCTGGATTCTTCGCTCCGGACTTTCCATTCTTCAGCGGTGCTTCCGATATCTGGCAACTAGGACTCAGTATGATCTGCGCATGTATCGGTATCAAATCACCACAAAGCAAAGAGAACCCTAATGGTCAACTGTGGAATAAAGGACGACCGGCAGGCGCCAGGTACTCTGTTGAATTAAGTGGCGCGATCAAAATGTGCCTGGAGGAACACTATGAACGGCGTGTGCAGGCATATCCATTGTTGGTTTTCATCAATAGTTGCTACCAAACGATCAGGAACAAGCTTCCTGTCGATAAATGGCCGGCGATGGTTTTCGATAGGTCTGAGGATCACGGCAAGGCGGTGTCACCACCGGAACATCGCCGGCCGAGACACCATTATACAGGATTGGAAGGCGCTGTGAACCCCGCGTATAGAGGCAACTATCCCGGACCACAGTTGCGTGTACCTGGTGGTATGATGCCCTTCTATGGAGCGGGATATCATGGCGATGGCAACGGGTGGTAAGGGAGAAGAGGATGAACTGATCCGGAAATGCTTGGTACTTCAAATGCGTGCGTTCTCGACGTCGCTAGGGTTCTCTCGGAGCACAGACAAGCATTAAAACCACTACAGAAATCCAGGTTGAAAACGTGACAGGCGTTAAGAGTTATGCCAGCCCCAGGATTCTTCAAGTTGGGCAATGGTAGCTGTCGGAGGAAAGCCATGCGACCGTTCGCAGGCGTACCACAAATCGCGAAGCTGCTCTTGATCTTCACGAAGCGTAAAACGATCACCAACTAAACTCGTTAGATGTACTGCTGAGCAAATGGTATACTTGATAGTAAACGCCCAAGTTATGGTGTGAATCGAACTGAACTTACCAAGTGCAATTGCGAAACAAGCAACAAATTTGCAAGGAAACCACTTGGAATTCGATTGCGCCACACCGCATAGTGTCCGGACGTTATCTTGTACCGTTCTATCGACAACAGCGCGTGATGCCTTGTGTGCTGGGCCAAGTTGGGGGATCGTCGGATCATGCACGATGAGGAGCATGTGAGCCAAGAGGTTGTACTGAGTGCCCATGACATGGGTTTTTTGATGGAACCGGATATCTGGGAAGTTCCTTCCGCTGCCATCCCGATCCTGCCGAAAATAGTACGGATCAAAGCTGTCGGGCCTACACTGTGTCCAAGATCTATTTTCGTCCATTAGTTGATTGTAGCGAGCAATGCTATTTCTACCTTCTCCAAACACGAAGTTGCTCACATCACCGAGGTGAGCGATGGTTCGTGTAGCCCAGATAGAATCGTTGGCCGGCTCGAGCGAACGATCAGCGGGGAAGATATGCAGCTTAAACGCTCGTTGCGTCATCAACGATATCCAAAGCTCTTGACGGAAGGCAGCCCAGTAAATGGCCTGTCGTCGATCAGGCCCGGAGGTTGCAGCGTATGACTGTTCGGCAGCGCGGATGATAGCTTGGGTACCGAAAAGATGGCCCTGAGGATCGGATCCGATAATCGAGATGTTCATCTCCTCCAGAAGCCGTAGTATGACAGTCGCCGCAAGGAGTGGCTCTTCTTTGATAGTGACGTTGTCGTTGAGCGCTGGGATGAGTGTGTCGAAGCATCGTTGATAGTATGCATCTGCAATATAAGGATCAAAGTCGGTGGTTCGACTAAGCTGACGAGCAGACAACGCTAGGATGGCATTCCTGAATGACAGCATTGGTCAGCCGAAGATCAATGTATCTCTGTGATACGCATATTACATACATCAGCGTACTGTTTTGTTTGGCCATCTGGACGATGTGAACCCCAAAATGATCTCTGGTATCGACCATGTCAAACTGGCAATGATCAGTATAATTTTTCCAATTTGATTTGAAGACTTACGAACAAGGCGACATTCTCAATGTAATGCTGGAGAAGCATTGCTTCCTGTTCATGTTCCAGCGGCCACAGCACAGGCTCACCAGGAGGTTGCTGATAGACAAAAGTACTAACACCTTCATCATGGTGCGGATGGTACGCACTCGTGTTTGCTCGGTGATCATGCAAGACTGGGGGCGCTGTTGTTTGTTGTTGCACAGGAGATTCTGAATTCAGTAGCGACAGGACTGTAAGGTTTTCCGTTGGAGTAAATAGAGTTGAGCTTGGCGTCAAAGCGGTGCCCTGCGCACTTCCGGGAGTACCGCTGGGAGACGGCATGTGCACCGAAGGGCTGCCAAATGGAGAGTAGCCATCTTGGACATATTGAGAGCGAATTTCGCTTGATTCGTCCAAGAATTGAACTGCCAAGTGGTGTCAGCGAGAGCCGCAGCAAACATCAGCATATCCCTACTTCGTGGAGGGAATGAAACCCAAGGTTGTTCAACACTGAAGGAATCTGAGATCGACGAACGCCGGAATCGTCTTCCGCTCTCATACACGCATTCTTTCTTAGCATGCTCACATCTTCCGCACGCCGGCTGCTTGCCATCACCTATTGCGCGATCGTCAGTGCGACAGTCTCCATAGTAGACTAATTGAGGCTTACATCGATAATGACGCGTGCGGCATCGGTTGCTATAAATGGTTAAGCGATGTCGTTCTGGCGCGCAAAAGACGCAAAATCTCGTACCATGGCATTTGCGATAGACCTCAACGTGGTTATGGGGTAGCGGAGGATTCCCGTGCGGGCTGATTTACGAAGCTGGGACGCGCGCGATAATGCTGCACGATGGAGTCCAGGACAAGAAATGCCCGCCGAGATGCGCAATGTGGTGTCCAACCACGTCTGGCCTGTTACTAAGGGCGGACGTTGATGATCGCTTCCGCGCAGCAGCTGAAAATCCGGAAAACGCGTCTCAGCGCCGCCTGGCCCCGCTCCTTACCCCACAGTTTAGCTGCGCCGAAAGGGGCAAGTTTCTCCTTGTCCACCTGTCATGTCCTAACAGCCCACGGGAGTAGGCAATAGTACGAGTCTACATAATACATGCGTTGTTCGAAAGACCTTGTGGATCTATTGTCGCTCACTCTGCATACTTAAAGACACTTGAAAGGTTGCTCAGGTGCTGCTATCTTGTACAACCCTCCATCATGCCTCATGCATTGACCCTAGAGCAAGACATGCCGAGTTTCGACGGCAAGAAGCTCTTTGTGAACGATGGTTTGCTCCGACCGAGTCAAGTGGGAAAGCTGAAAGAGTCATCTCCAGATCTGCCCATGGAAGAGCTGCGCCGGCGCTACAATGAAGATGGGTATGTGTACCTAAAGGGCCTACTGCCAAGGGACGATGTCCTGAAAGCCCGCGAAGAGTACTTCAAGATGCTCGCGCCAAGTGGCGTCTTAAAGCCTGGTACCCAGCCAGTACAAGGCGTTTTTGATTCCGAAAAAGATGCTTCAGACTTCCCTGGCATTGGAGCTGGTGCGGCTCCAGGAAACGGGAAGCCTGGAGAAGCAACCGCGGACAAATTCGTCGGCCTCGCGCTCGAGGCGCACTATGCAGATTGGTACAAAGAGACATTCTGCAAACATCCTGTGCTGAAGGACTTTATCGCCCGCATGACAGGGTGGGGCGATAATACTCTAGGTGTTCGCAGGAGTTTGCTGCGCAACAACACACCAGGAAACAAAGCTATCGGCGTACATTATGATCAGATATTCCTCCGTCACGGTGAGCCTACCAGCGTCACCGCCTGGGTACCAATGGGAGATGTGAGTTTGACTGGAGGCGGTCTTATCTATCTGGAGAATGGTAGGGCATTTACTTTCCAATGACAGTCCAGGCAATGTTGATGATTATTGTAGGCCATACGTTAGGTCGCGAAGTGGAAGCAGACTTCAACCGTAAGGCAGAAGAAAGTGGTTTGAGTGAGGAGGAAACAAAAAACGCATTCAATCAGAATATGCTGTCAACGGGATTGCTCGCCGATGGACCACGGGAGTATTCTGATAGCTTTGATAGGCGATGGTTGGTGACAAACTACGAAGCGGGAGATGTGGTACTGCACACTCCATACACAGTAGGCTTACCAAGGGATGACCATACTTGAACGATAGCTGATAGCATCCAGATACATGCATCCACGTTGAACTATGACCCGGACAACGTGATCCGAGTCGGTACTGACCTGAGGTTCGTCGACGGCAGCAAGCCTTGGGACACGGTAAGCAGAATATACTCATCATACGTATTGTACTGACTAGCATAGCGGTGGGACAAGGACTATGAGTTCAATGATGGTGTGTAGACCTGTTGGTCATGCATATCCATCATGAGCTTGATCGAGCTAGGCAAACGGCTAGTATATAGATAGCGTCGCAAATGAGTGTATTCTATAGCGTCCACAATGCAGGCACATCTCAAAGCTTCCATGCACCTTTTTGCCATCAGTACGGCACCTTGGCTGCCATGACTTTCCAGTATTCACATCGCTCACCTCTCCCGCCCTCCCAAGCAGTCGCATCGGCCAGACTGATCTGGTTGCTGACACCCGGATCGCTATACGTGTAATAGTACAAATCTTCTGTTGCTTGCACAAAGGACGGAACACCTCCTGTAGCATTCAGGTTCAGTAATTTCGGCTCCTTCTCGTTCCACCTTGGCCACGGGACGTTTTTCTCACTATATCCAACTGCAGGCGTGATTGTGGAGTTTGCGACGCCACCCTTCGCATCTTCCACACTTACGATCGGCGAGTTCTTAGTGATAAAATTCCCCCATATCTTACGGAAAGCGTGCTTGAAACTCTGGCCGGGCGTCGGGTTTCCACTCCATAGCGCTTGCAGATCATACCCATGGTAACTCGGGGGCGCGCTGAACTGATACTTCCAACCTTCCGGAAAGGCGGCAGCAGCCCAGTAACTAGGACAGACAAAAGCATACTCTGCGAAGACGTTGAAAACGCGTTGCTGGTTTCCTGTTCCAAACTCACTTATGTTGAGTGCCGTAGGCACGCCCGTACCAGAAGTAGCGAAGCGCGTAGTGTTGGGTTGCACGTCACTAGTATCACCAGGAAACGAGTATATTTCCTCCAAGCGACGCTTTTCGGAAGTAGAAAACCCGGGAAATGTCTTATCCACATAGTCACGAAAATCTTGTAGTGTACGTGTCGTTGGTGGCGCGAGTGGCACGCCTTCGTTCGCCATGTTACCGGATAAGACACGTTTTCCCTTTAGCGATTTGGAAAGCAGGGATTTAGAAAGGCGATCTTGAACAAACGTGCCATCCGTTACGGGCAGGAAGGCAAATGTACCGAAAGCCCCAGCCTCGGAAACCTTCGCGCTGGCATTCTGAAGAATGATGGTATCGGCTGTGCGAAGGCACTCGATGGTATTCTTTTCCAACGAGCACCCGGAAGCTTCGACGAACTTTGTATATGCTGTTCTCGGTACTTCGTCATTGTAATCGTGCTGATACGGTACCCATGGGCTCGCGGTGATGACGTTACGGAAAAGGCTCTCCCTCTGCTTTCCACCGTAGGCTTGGGCTTGGTACAAAACAGCGCCTGCTCCTGCGCTCTCACCTGCCATCGTAACCTTACGAGGATCGCCCCCAAACTTTCGTATGTTCGCTTGTACCCAACCCAGTGCGAAATTCATGTCGAGGAGTCCAGCGTTGAGCGCACCGTGGGCCTTCACCTCGGAGCTTGAAAGGAAGCCAAAAGCGCCTAGACGGTATTGGATTATAACGCTTATGAAGCCATTATGGTTCGTGGTCATAAAATCGCTCGGGTCTAATCCAGAGGCGCTAAATAGTCCGTAGCCTCCACCATCTTGATGCTGTTAGTGGTGTGTTGATGGTGATTTGTACGTCGCAAACATGTTCACTTACGAATCCAAAGGAACACAGGCAGTTTCTTTGCGTTAGCTGGCGCATATACGTTCAGAAATAGGCAATCTTCATCGCCAATTGCAGAAGTGAAGCCATATTCAGCTGGGGTTTCTGAGGAGGCACCGGTCTGTGGGCAAAATGGGGGGTCGCTGAGAGCTAATGTTGTCGTTCGATTGGGCGTTGGGGCCTGAGGAGCAGCAAACCTGAGCTTGCCTAGTGGAGGAGCGGCATACCGAATCCTATTAAAAACAATTAGTTCTTGGAGTCTCGAGAACTCTGTGAGAAACGACGTACCCTTTAAAGATATTGATGCTGGTGTTAGCATCATGAGTCCCCTCGTAGACAGCGTAGCCTAGATCGATCTTCGGGGCTTTCACAGCCCGCTGTATCGGCTCGGCGCTAGACCCCAAAACAAGCGCAATTACCAATCCGACTCCTTTGACACGCATTCCGTTTGTTTTCACAAGTGCTTTGAGGAGGAATGCGGACGAGATTGGGAAGCCAGGGAAGTTGCTGCAGCTTGTGTTGCATACCTAGGTAGGCACCTAACCTTGGAATGCTCAAAATGCTGACCCGAGAGTATGGCAGGCAGCCAACGGTTGGCCAACGCTAGAAACGTGCACTTCCCGTGGGTATATCGCGTAGCCTGACGAAAAGCGAAGAAGCTCTGTTTGAGCATGGCTCCGTGAGTGCCTGACGGAGTTGATTGGCGTGCTCGTACGGACATCCTCCGTTTCGGTGCGTTTGCCGTCTCCCGCCCGCTGCGAAACCCCCCTAACTAGCCAGGGTGTAATTAACTAGCTACTGAGCGGCGAAGCAGCCACTTTAGACTCGATTTTAACGTCCGAATGGGTTACCGATTTCTTGTATTTTGCATGCCATCTGTGTATCGCGGCAGGCATGTTTACCTTAGGTAAGGTCCGCCAAGGGCCAGCGCGGCATGGGATTTCCCTCAAGCAGTTTTTTGCGCATACACTCTGAAAACATATCCCTTCTAGCACGACCAATCTGTCTGAAAATCTTCGGCGTCTTCCTCTGTGTCTGCCTTCTTCCATAGCTCCTCCCCACCATCCACACCACTTACGTTGACGCTCCAAGAATCATTCTCAACCTGTTCCCACCAATTCACCAGTATCGCAGCAAGCGGTGTTCCATGGTCAGGCATGAAAGGATTACACACACCATGTCGATACAACGCGTCCTGCGCCGGCCTGTCTACCGTTGACCCATCACCCATCACTACATGACGTTTCTCACCGAGTTGGAAAGGTAGAAGCAGAGTGCTGGCGTGAGCGTGGAGAACATCAGGTACAAGATAGAGGCCGACACGATCGTCTAGTATACCTTGTTTTCGCGGAGATTGCCACCGGTCCCGTTCATCTTGTGAGGAAAATTGCACACCTGGTGCGCGCCATGGAAACAGTAGAAAGGGTGGGCTGTCAGCAAGTTCATGCTGGTGAGTAGCAAGAGAAGCATCGGGATACCTTGCCTGCAGTTCAGCGCCTACACGGTGGATGAAAGCTTCATTTGGTACATCCAACTGCGGTGCAATGGAAGTAAACCGCGGTTTTTTTGCCCGAGACAGGAAGACGCGCGCAAACGGCGGTATGGCAGGATACTTGTTCGAGACTTCAGCAGGAATTAACCCAAAGTCTTCCATTTTCCTCCTCTTCTTTGGTGGCGGTTCCTCATTGCCATGATCTTCTTTTGCATCAGACACTCCAACAGACTCCGGTAACCGCGCAGTAACCGCATCCACCAAACTCTCCCAAATATCAAGTACCTGCCGCAATTCTTTTTCCGTCCACTCCGCGATTCTCCAGCCCTGCGTAACAAGCCCATCCCTATTGCCAAACCCAGGATGTTCTGCATCAACAACGAACTTCTCCGACTCGATCGACCGTAGGTAAAGCTCCAAAACCGCATGAAGATCACCCCACATGCGTTCACGGGGCTCTTCAAACGGGTCGCGCACAAAGCAGACTTGATGTGTACTCCGACTGTAAACAAGACCACCGGGGTCATGCCCTATACCCTTGTACAGCAGAATGAAGTCCTCATACTCATCAACACCTTCCCACATGTCCGGCCGCAGTTCACTGGGAGCTGAGATACCAATGAGAAACGGGGTAAAAGCTAGGTGCTGATATTCTTCTCCAATAACGATGTCGATGCCGGATAGAAAAGCTACAAGGTCCTCGTCGAGTTCAATGTCGAGGCCCGGCGAGCCTGGATCCAAAGAGTGGGCGGCGAACCAGCTACGTTTTACTTTTGGCTGTTGGTGGGGTGGAAGCTTGGAACTAGCATGCGAGACGATGGAATTGTGTAGCTTGATGCACTTTTCAACGCTCCGAGGTCCATACCCATCTTGCAGGCGAGGCTGCGCTGTTGCTTGCTTGACTAGCATCGATAGGTTGTGATAGAGGATATATCGTGGCTAAGAACGTACAGACAAGGATACTCCGATCTTCCAAGGCTGCCGCCTGTGCTAATAGGGAATAACAGAGAGGTATACCATCAGGATATCCTGCAATGCAAGCTGCCTACGAATAGAGTTACAAAGAATATGCTAACAGGAAATATGAGTTTTTTCCAAAAGACCTTTTCCGTCTATATTCGGTTAGCCTTATGGGTGATCAGAACATCAAAAATCATAGTCATGAGCTAGTAACGCCATGCAACTACAACCTACCTAAGTACTCAGGCATGCTCACATGAGCGCAATGGTGTTCTCAATGGCGCGATCAAAGACCTGAAGTATGAGATGCACGCATACATCGTGGTACTTTGCCCGGTGCTTGGTATGTTTTGAAAACAATTGTGGTGGCTGGTTGTCTCCGGGTTGTCGAGTTGAACGCGACTAGTTCTCTCAGTCATGACGTAGCTGACAGCTTAGCATCACAGTTGCTACCAGCTTAAGAGGGCGTTCGGAATTCTGGAGAATTCTGCGTCCATACCAAGAGTTATCTTCAAGGAGACACGCAAAACATGCATCAAGTTGCTGTTGCCTGCACTGAAACGACATTGGGTCGATGGATTTGATACCTACCTAGGTAAGTAACTATAGACGCCGCACGGGTGTCGGACTATGGACCTTGATGATTCTGTATCAAATGGCTACACAACTATCAACTCTCGCTCTGTTCAGCGTCATATTTAGCATATTGATACTTATTGCTAAACAAACATGGCGGTCTCTAAGAAGAAACTCTTGTTCTTTTATTTCTCTTCCTAAACATTAAAACTTACCCCAAAGGTATACGCACATCTTTACATCCTAGCTTTTGTAGAAAGTTAGTAGTTTATGCCATTGTAGTATTTCGTGGTTAGCAAGATAGGAAGTGGAGGGAAAGAATTTTTTCACAGGAGCAAGCTTGGAAGCATGCTAACTTCACCAATTGCGACTCCAAAGATAGACCGCTTCAAAGAACACATTGTGACTAAGATCCAGCGGGAGTTTTTGAAGAGAGAAACACGGCACTGTGATTTCGCATCAAAACAATGCACTACTGATGAGCCACGCGCCATGTAAGAAGTGGCACTACGGGCACTGCCAAATTCAATGCCACCAGGGCAGCGATTGTGACCTGCACTTTCCACCCTGCTGGCATATATCGTGCAAGATTAGAAAAGCTGTCCATGGTTATTATGCCACCTCACATGACAGTTAGGTAAGAAGGTCTACGTTCTCTAAGCAATCACGAAATCTTCAAACTTAAGCACATGTCGAGGCCACGCGTGGTCATCGTGATAGCGGATTCGTCAATATAAAATCGTCGTATATAAACTTTTACGTTTTACACTTGCTTTCTCTTACATACTTGTATACAAAGCTTCGAATTCGAAAAGAGAACCAGCACTATCTGTTGACTTCCAATTACCAAATCAAGCAAGCATTCCTAGCCCGAACTTTCTAGAGAGTCAAGCAAGAAAAGGCTTTACCAACATTCCCAGAACAACATGTTTCCTGGTGGACGCTCACGCTACCCGTATCAAAACTCCCTCCAGGACCCTGACAATGGTGGCGGGTTTTACCCTGATCGCATGTACTGTAAGTTACGAGTTACATAAGACAATGAGACATAAGCTGACCTACTCTACCCACAGCGCACACTCCTGGCGCATTGAGAGGCGAAAGTCGCTACAATCATGTCTTCGGGACAAGTTCAAGAAACTGGAGTTATACTGACAATGGAAGATATGGAAGATTTGAGCCCTACGACAGGAGGGGACCCCGAAGGTTGAGACGAGGATGGTGGGAATGAAGAGATGGCTGATGTAAACATCACAAGGATAACTTATGATGAAATGGTGAGAATTGATCAGTGTTCGTCTCCTGGACAGAGTCTGTTGTTTAGTCTATCCATACAATCACTACTACCAACCTATCCTGGAGAGCCTTCCCGTGCTCTCGTTTTCACTTAGTCCTGTTTCGCGAAAGCATATATCTGTCGGAACTGTGTGTACGAGACTTGCCCCACACCAGGTCCAGCGTTATATTTGGCGTATCTCTTAATCATCTTCACCTCATCGCTCTCCACTCGGTCTTCTTCAATAGGTAAGTCCATGCTATCGCCGTTGCCTGTAGTTATACGGGCGAAATACTCTACTTGACCAGGCAGGTTTACAGATTTTGCGCTCTTGTTCATCGTCTCATCAGCGACCGATGCAGATGGCGGCGGCGATGGTATAGGTTGATAGGGCGACTGGTATGCTTGTGGGCGTGAGAGTGGCTGAGGAAGTACAGAGGAGATAATCCTGCCCATACCGAAACTCAATAGATGGTTATCTGAGGTTCTCGGAGGCAATGAAGGCATCTCTGACATCTTTTCTTGGGTAGCAGGCGCATTCTCTTGTACTTCACCCATATCCGTATCGCCATTACTTGTGGATAGCTTCTCTTGATTCTGTGGTAGCTTTTGCGACTTTTTCGAGGAATGAGTGAACCGTTCAACTGGTACGTCGGGTTGGATATTTGCTGTCGGCTTGCTGGATGTCAAGGTACCCAGATTTGCGGCAGCCGTTTGTCGAGTGGCTCGACATGTAGTCATTTGAGGTGGGCCTTCAGCGTCGATGGCGGTCGCTCCCTGTGGTGAAGCTGTATCATGTTGGGATTCCTGACCTTTGCGCTGCTCAGACTTCCTTGGGCGGCCGACTATGCCACCGTGTTTCCCTCGCTTACGGTCTCCCGATTGAACAGTTGACTCGCTCTTTCTCTTGTTGGACTTCCTTGAATTTGGAGGTAGCCTATCTAGATTGGAAGGGACGGCTTCAGCTTCAGCAGCAAGTAGGTACGCAGAGATAGGTCCGTGATGCGGAGCCGCTTTCTCTTCCTTGGCTTCTGGCTCATCGACGGCTGTGGGAGGTGCTAGAGCACGACTAGCTAGAGATACGCTGGCCTCTTCCTGAACTTCATGCTGCCCCTCAGCTTCCTGGCTAAGCACTGCAGGTGAAGATGATTGGGTATCTGCAAATGGTCCTTCACCTTCGGCTGGTGCAGCTTCGGGTTCTTGGGAGATAACCTTGGGCACTGAAGATTCCTTTTTGTTCAGATTGCTTATGCTCGATTGGATTTTCCCTCCTTTTTTTGGCTTCTTTGTCTTCTTTGATCCGGGGGTAATATCGTCTCTGGGCATGTAGCGTCCGTTTGGGCCGCGGACCTTGCCGGCGCCCGCATCTCGTACTGGTGCCTCTGGTTCAAGGTCTCCGGTGGGCTGGGAATCGGAGTGGCGTAACATGGCGTCACCAATAGGTGCTGACAAAGAAGCGCCAAGTTTGTCTTGTGGCATATCGTGATCAAACGCTTCTTCGATTTGAGGTACGTCAGGCCGGAGCGATTCTGACTGGGGCTTTGCCTGGCCGTCTGAGGCGGGGAAAGAACCTTGCGCTTTGTTGTCAGTAAAGTACAATGGAAGAAAGCGGGAGCGAGACAAAGAGGTGATGGATAAGTCAAGGTAGTCAAGTAAAGTTCGGCAAGCCTGGCGGTAATGAAATAGTAAACGTACTTCTGGACTCTTGAGTATTCTGGAAAGGAGCTACTGAAGATGAAGGATGCTCCAGCGCTACATGTTGCGTTTCTGAGTTCGGTGGATCAGAAGACCTTGCAGAAAGATTGGATGGAAGAGGAACAGAAGTCGAGTGGAGATGATCCTGGAACTGTGACTGATAGCGGGCAGGTGTGGTAAAGTCAAAAGGAGCTTGTAGCTCTGGTCTCGAGGACACTGGAGTGTTGGACATTAACACATGTAAACAGATATCTGCGAATTTCACTTCAACTCACCATTAGACTTGGTAGTCCCTTTGGACGACAGTCCAGTCAGGTGTGATTTCCTCTGCAGTCCGTCAATTGGATACATAATACCAGGAGCGGCTTCGCCGCGCGCATTGTTTCGAACCGTAGCTGATGACATCTCCTTGAAGTTTCTGTCGAAGAATGGCCACTTGTCCTGGGCTTTGTTGGTAAGAGATCGAACCCTGCGATAAGCCCTGTCCAATTTGCCGAATGCTTGGGCTGTACGGATCTCTGCTGTTGAGGAACCATTCTGGAGGCCATCGAGGTAGTTTTCCCACATCCATGCAGCGAGCTCAATGTCTTCCTGCAACTCGCTTTCGCAAAGGTACCGGTGAATATCCGTTAATGTTCTTAGATCGATATGACCGATTACTTCCTCAGGAAGCATTGAGTTTGGCTCGCCATGATCGGAGGGATTGTACAGGATATCGGGGTTGGGTGCCATGGTTGTAAAGCCGTTGTGAGATGAGTTGACGATACTGGGAGGAGCGTTGACTGTAAGGCCTAACACTGCCCAGAATTTTGCGGACGTTGACAGCCGAAGTGAACGTGGAATTGGTGCTGTTCAAAAAGTTGGTGTAATCATCCAAATTTTGTTATTGTCGCGCAACCAAGCAACACCAGCGGTGAGGATTTTGACCGGGCTGTGGCCGGAGTCGGATAGCACTTGTGGCGCCTGCGCAGCGCAAGCAACACGAGTGAAAGCTTTTAAATGAACCAAGAATGCCTACTTTATAGCACCTCGCAGCAGACTTCTTGAAGAGTTGGGCAGCTGGGTAGGTTTCATGCAAGAAATATGGAGTAAGATGGTGACGGCAAAGGTAAGGAGCCCGTGCCCGATGCTGGTGTTCCAGAAATTCCGTAGCTTCGATGGAAACTTCAGCATGGCACCAGCCCCATCATGTGATAAAAGACTCGCCACTAATAGCACACCATGCGGCAAGACTTCAATTAATGTTGAATGTTGTTCACTTTTTCATTACTTCTAGTTTATCTTAAATGCAACCCATTGGTGTTCAAGCCTGGAGGTCGATGGGTGTGCAGAAGGTGCTGGCGATCGCACGGAACATTTTCCGCCACTGTCAAACCTTGGAACACAGCATTGAGAGCTTGCGACGCGAACGATCGGTAATGTGACAGTAAACATCCTCATACGATGCTGCAGGTTAAGCAAGATGACGAATATCCGAGCAGCTCACTCTGCATCTCACCTTCAGGCGTACCAAACACTCTGCCAGACTGCGATGACCATGACGTCTAGCATCTGAATATGTACATTCATGTTCAATATCCATTACGAACACCAATCTATGTATTCCCAAGCTCTTCCCTCCAGTGTCCCATGTGGTTCTCTGAAATCTTTGCCTCCTAGCCTTATTCCTGGGTGAATTACTTCAAGAAGAGCATAGTTTTTACTACACTGAAGAGCAGCGGCCAAGCCCTGTCCTCTAATTAATGCCACAAGGTATTCCACCATGTAGAAGACTTTTATGTGTTTCATCACTGACTGGAAGCGCGTCGAGCTCATCAGTATGATCATGAAGTTGGAGGTAAAGGCGCTTGTTATGATGCCATACACCGCAGGTGATCCGAAACAACTCTCCTGGCTTAATCGGCCGTTGGCAATGACAATTTCGCTACTCAAGGACATCAAACTGTCTGGAATCTGATGTATTCGCTGTGTTATCTCGCCTGGTCCACCACTTTCGCCCGAAACTTCACCTGTTCGATTTGATAGATCGCTGATTGGACCGAGGGACCATCTCTCAACCTTGTACAAGTCTGTTGCTAATGTGAAGAGTGTACGCATGTCAAACGGACACGTATCTTTGTATCCTTCAAACCGTTCTAAGATACGTGGCTTGCCAAAGAAATGATCGCAAGGACGGAGTAGTACGGGCGCATAGTGTCTTCCTATATAGTCTCCTCGGCATATAGGACAAGGACACGCTGCTGAGCATATCATGACGCGTACCAACTTCTCTATGCACAACTCGCGAGGGGGACGTAGTTGATTTGCGGGCATTTGACTTGTCTACGATCGCAGTTCTAGATGGGGACTTTGCTAGGTGGGATGTACAGCACGGAACAGGGCGAAGGACCTTACATCAAATGTTGCAGAAACGCCCACGGGGTGTGAAAAACACTCGTTAGACAGCGCTTGTGACTTCTGCAAATTGTTATGTGGTGTCGCGCTGGGTGAGGGTTCGCAACATGATACACAGTTCGCGGTGTGGTTCGTTTGAGCGACATGTCTGAGTATATGTAGGTTAATAAACGTTCGATCCATCTTTGTAAGTTTCGTTGAGCTTACAATCCTACAAAATATGTGGTATACACTCGGAATATCAAAAGGTTACCGTGCCTGTTGAATCATGTCTCTGGTCCTCAGGATTATATCGTTACTGATCGCTTGCTGGCTTTGTTAACACAACCGCACTCCTGCCTTAGATCTATGTGCCGCTTTTGAGACATACAGCAACTGCTAGAGATAGTCGAATGGCATGCTTTAAGCGATTCTGATTTGGTTTCCAGCAGTGTCATTGTTAGCTTGGAGCACACTGGCACGGTCTGAGTGAGGCTCTGCACATAAGTCGAGCTAGGCTGTAATCTTGACGGTCGACGCCGTGGGACTGGCACATTATCTACTTGCAGTTGTGTCTTGTTTACAGGCTTCCAAAGAATCTTCGGAGATCGCAAACGAGCGGCCTGTGGTGGTGCCGATACGGAATGTGAGTTTAACCTTCTAGCATGTCGCTTCCACTGCGAGTGCAGGGTTTCCAAATCTTTCTTAATTTCTGGGTGGTCACTTGCCACTATCCAGGCTCCATATTGGTTCGACGATTGGATCTTAAAGTGTATTGCTGGGGCTACGATGGCAGTTGGCCCTTGCTCCGCAACAACGCTCCAAGTCTTTCTGCGAAACCATTGCGCTATGTAAGACATGGGGACATCGCAATACTCCTTACCTCCAGCATTGTCGGCCAAGGTTTGGTCTGCCCAGATTTTGCGCATTAGGAGGTGTGTGCCTGGTTTCGTCTTATCCTGAGGGTTCATAATGCTACCAAACATGAAATGTTCCCAGCCGTAGCCCCATTCTGTTTCCGGACAATCGATTTGGATATGTGGCTCGTTCAAGTTGCCTCGTCGCAATACACCTATAGCATGGACTATTTCGTGCACAAGTGTCGTGGCGAAAAGAAAATCGTGCCGAAATTGCGCACACCGCGATGCCGTTTGATACTCACCAGTGGAATAGTAATCACGAAAGCACTCCGCCAATTCGATCCTGCAAGAATATTGCCGCTGGAACGCCGGACAACATGAGGTGGCATGGCTCGGTTTTGCAGTATCACGCATCGTGCGGGCATATACTCGCTTCGCAGGCGGTTGAAATTGGAACGAAACGCTGTGTCCGATGCAATGCAATGCTTCACGCACTCCGGCCAGGTATTGACCGCGTTTCGCTTTGGACGCTTTCGCCAAGGGATCTGAAAGATGGTTCTTTTGTGCGTGGCCGATAGCGACTGTTAGTTCGCGTCCGTACAACAGCGGTATGAAAAAGGTAAGGAGAGTATCGTGGCTGATGAAATGCGAGGCTAGCTGCAGCATTTGCCGCATAGGCCCTTCACTATCAAACCAATGGAACGCGGGATGAACAGAATTATCTAAGTTTCCAGGCAAAACACTATCGTCATCTAGAAGCTTGAAGCGATCGTTTCTGTTACATGCTGCAATGAGCCCATTTATTCCGGCACTGGTCTCTGGGGCGAAGCGTTTCTGCTGTAGTGGAGCGTGTTCCGTCATGGTTTGCGAATACAGGACCAGCGTCCGGCTACTTGTATTCGAGGAGGTTCAGCGTCGTATACGTCTCAGAGGTAGACCTATCTGGGAGAGTCAACTATAACACAATGACACAAAGCCACGATACACGTAAGCGAGACAACTGGTGACTGGGAAAGATGTAGACTAGAACAATGCCGAGATAGCACATTGTGCCAAATTGTTCGAGAAGAAGCGCGAAGAGCTTCAGTGGCTGATCGTCAAAGGAGCCTGATCGTTGTGAAGTCCTTGAATGTTGACATGCAGAGTCGCGATATTGATTGGCGCTTCTCAATCAAAGCCCCCACATGCAGTACAGTCGCAAAGCTAGGATGATAGATGGAACGGAAATCGTTCCGCATGCACGCTGAGAGGTGAGCAGCCGAACTAGTCGCTATCCTGTTTAGCATACACGATGTTAAAATGTGCGACGGAGCTGATAAATTGCTCAGTAGACTTGTTCGTTCTAAATTTGAGAGGCTACAGGATAGGTGAAGATACCTTAGCAACCAATCTAGACGAAATTTCAGGTAGCTATGATGCTGCGAGTAGCTTGATATCACTTCGTGTCGGTTTAATAGTGTTAGTGGGTCGCGCCTCCGATAAGCAATGGGCAACGGAGAGATCGCATCAAAATCGTGCAGTAACTGATACAACAGGTCACAGAGGAGGGGTCGTGCCGATAGAGTTCGAGACCGCTTCGTGCAGCAACCAACGTTCTGACTTCAAATGATGGTGAAAGTGAGAAGTCAAACAGAGCAAGACGGACGCGTCATGTGCTAGCGCGACTCTACCGTGTTCTCGACGCGATTGCCCCGCTCTGTCCTTCAGTGCCGCCATTTGTTTACACTGCATCTCCCTGTCATTGTAATCCATGCTCTTGTTCTTGTGATTGCTCTCTCAACAGCCCCGCTACCACTGTTCCACAAGCTCTATGTACCTGCAGGGAGCTACTGCTTGAAGCGTCAACTTCGCTTCTACCGTACATCAATACACATCCGCAGCACTTCGCTCATGGTCGCTCTCTAGACATGGACTGGGACGAATTCCAGCGCCGGGTTAGGCAAGTGGTTCCTGAACAGGAGCTCAAAGCACGTCGGTGCTGGATTGCTGTACTCGATCATCGCAAGTCCACCAACGACAGCTTTGAGGAAGCTGATTTCATATGGATGATCGGTCACAGTGTAAGTGTCAGATCTGCGCGTATGCTTTATGTAGTGATGCACGCAAGACAAAATTGGAAGGCGGCGAGGTCCATTTCCCGCGCATGTGTCCACCAACCCACTTACATGATTTTAGAAAATTTCGATGCAAAAGATACGGGAAACATACGAAGAGAGGCACGGATTCACAAACGTTCAGCTCAGTTTCAAAGGTCGCGTAGTCGATCAAAACGACGTTATCAAATCTCTCTTGCTGCCGGGTGACGACCTGGTAGTCTTCGTTGCTATAGACCCGACAAACGCAACGGTGCAGCATCAGAACTGCGAACCAACATTGCTCGAGGAACAACTAACACAACCCGGTGTCGCAATACACGAAACTGCGACTAGTGGTCACATCACACAAACGACAAACGGTCATGCCGGTCTCGGAACAACGGGAAGAGACCTACTACCTGAG